GCAACATTCTTGTACATAGCTGAATTTTTATGCCTAGCTGAAGCCGCCAAATAACTCATAAATTTTTGGACAAGGAAAAGTTGATCCACTGGAGATCCTTTGGTGCACGTTGCGACTTAATCTGTCACTAATGAAATGCCGAAAAATTTTAATGAACATTATGGTTATGTGTAGTGCGTTCCCTCATGGCAGAAATAACTAATATATAATCAGTGTAAAAGAAATAGTCATTTATCGCCATGGCTTCAGCGAGCCCGTCCCATATTTTCACAATGTAAATACAACAAAGAACAAAAACAGTAAACTGTAACAACTACATGCAACGTAGCATGACGTGATGCTCATCATTAGTTTTATAAATGAAGGTAAACCGATGCTCATTTGGAGCAAATTTTAATACTGCTGATAATGAACAACTATTGTTGGCCTATTGTAGCAACGCGGACGATAAAAGTGGTTTGATAAAGGGATTTTCATTCTGATAAGAAATCACTCAATCTGCTTAGAGCGTATGGCATGCATGTCAGTTTTAATATGGCAATTTGTTTTAGTTGTTCATTTTTCATGAAAGAGAACCCACCTTAATCCGCTCTGATGGTTATTGTAGGATTCAAAGAAGCTAATCTGCCTTTTGCTATAGCTTTTGGAATCAGACCATATAAGGCTGCAGCTACTCAATCCCCTAATCAGTAACTTATAAAATAACTTCCGTGGAAGGATTATTGATGTATAAAAATGATGTGGATTTTTTAATTAGTTATCCAAGCAGACAATGACTCTAGTAAGGCAAAATTGTGTTGGCAGTCTTGGATTTCAAATAGAGTGGCTAAGAAAATCCGAATATTTATGCAAAGGTTACCTTAATGGTATTATTGGAATTTAAAAAAAGTATTTTAGATAGTTTTGTCTTAATGACTCACTAAATAACAGTTTCCAAATAAATAACTCTCTGGAATTTTATGTGAGTTTTGTTTCTAATTTTGTATAACACATGTAAAGACAAACAAGATGTTTAATGTAAAAGCTTTTGAAAGGAATTATCAAGTAGTATAACATACAAAATGTGCAACCTATCATTTCCGACCAAAAAGAGTGCGAAAGGGTTACCAAACGTGTTTTTAATCAAGCTAATGAAACGGGGAAATTGTCGGTCGGTTTCCATTGAGACGTATCCGGAGAGTCGTGTACAAAACTTCATCACAGTTCAAATGCTTCCTATCGGGCTGACATTAAGCGCTAATGTAGTTTTTATATTTGTAAAAAGAACATCAGACAGCCAAAAAAACCTACTTAGGCCTTTCTACAAGGCTCACTGCAGTAACCTCTTGTAACTTGTAAGGACTTGTTAAATTAAATTTGTCAAAAAAATGGGAAATACATCTGTTCCTTTATTGCGTTCGGTACTATTTTCCCCTCCTCTCGAACCGTTTTAAAGTGTATCCCATTAAACTGATGTGACTCAAGCTTGTCAGCCAGAGAAGCAAGTTAAAATCGTTTCAACGTTCTATGAGCCTAATGTCCAATTTGTCGTATGTTGTTTGGAAAAGGTGAAGTAGCAGAGCGCAGCACCCCCAACTTCATCCACACAAAATCGTGCTTACTTAGGGTATGGTGCATTGCGATCTACAAAAGCGCCTTCTAGGAATTGTTCACCTGCTGAAGGTAAGAATTACGGCTGAGGTTTATCCACTCAAGATGGTGCAACTCAAATATAGTTGAGAAAACTAATTCTCCTTAAACAATAGGCATGACAGAGCAACCAGTATTTTAAAGGTGCTATTTTTGCAAAAAACACCCCAATAACTCATAGCGTAGAAGTTACTTATGAGAAACTTTTCACTTTAAAAAAGGATGCGAATGTTGTCCCGCCCTAAATATTCTCTCATATTTTGTAGCTTTTCTCGACGTTAAACGATTATGCACGAAACAGATAAGTGTTGACTGTTGTAATTTTTTGTTTCTAGCGTAAAAGCGTTCAAAAAAGTGGAATTCGTAAAAATGTGTCTTTTTGGGGAATGACGATAGACTATACTGGTGATAGGGCGAAATAATTTAAGAGCTTTTTTAACTGTCTGCTACTGTGCGGAGTCGCATGAGCTAATTTGCATAATGCTAATGAAAATCTGCATTAAATGATTTGTGATTAAAAACTGCTTACTCGCATGGTTAAAATTTATGAATTAGTTTGCTCAAAATTCTACTCTGAGGAAAATTAAACCGTCAAAATGCTTTCCTTTCAAACTGCTGGTTTTTTCTCTCAAGAGAATGAAGCTGCAAAAAGGAACAAAACTTTCAAATACTGCTTGGATTAGCAAGAGCTTTTATCTATTGTGTTAACTATACGTAGACTACACTATGTACCATTAATTTGAGGTATTCAATGACAAATTTACTTTTGAAAATTTCCCAAAAATAACATTGTCTAACTATTTAGTTTCTAACTTACCAACAATGGTTATTTTTAGAGGAGTGTTTTTAAATGTTTGGTCTTTCGGGGGTTCATAAAAAATGTCAGCGTAAACAACTTTTGCCTGATCGATTTACCTAGAGGAAACCTATACATAAAATCATATATTTTATTTAAAAGAAATTATCTCGAAATCAACTTAAGTGATATCAACGATAACATAGATGACAATATTTTGTCACATGGCCTTCTTGATATGGAAACCATATAAACTCATTTTTCATGCACATTACTTGAAAAGAACCTAGGCACATTTAAGAAAAAGTAAATGAGGCAACCACGACCATTATTACGTTGCTACTATGTAAAGCCGTAAAGAATTCAGGATGTGCAGTGATGCTAGAAATATACACTGTTACATACTCAGATTTTAGTGACTTCAAACCATTGATAACTGTTGTCCGATTAAAAGCGCGCATGTATGCAGCCATTTCAGGGAAGTTTATTTTTATGTTCTCCTCCGTGGCTCCACTTGGTATGGTTGCGAATCGAAATGGCGGCTTGTGGTTCCATGGCTGTTGCAGCTAGAAATATATTTAGAAGTTTTTACTTAGTAAAAATGCCCAATATTTTGGTACTCCTACAAGGAATCACTTAATAAACTTAATTTTTAGGCGATATTTTATGCCTTTTTAATTATTAGTAAAGCGGAAGAATATTAATCACTTCCATAAGATAAGGAATTAAACTGCACTTTTAAATGCATGAGTTCAAGATACTCTGTTAAATTATGCACATTTTGAGGAACATTATGCTACAAAGAGGAATTTTAACTCTTTTGGAATAAGTTTTATAATCGTGATGAAAAGTGACAGCGTGAGTTTATGTTAGTCTATGTTTTTATACCCTCCCAATTTAAGCAATTTTTGCAGATTGGAGACACACTCTCCAGTCATGAATGCCCTCGAGATCGTAAAAGTCATCCTTGGAGATCATGAAAGCGGCTAGATTAGCCGTGTAGGAGGCGAGGAAGACGAGGGCAAAGAGCGCCCAAATATTGGCGATGAAACGACTGGCCATGCCCCTGGGATTGTTTGCATTCACAGCAGCTCCAAATAGCATGGACCAGATTAGCCACAGCGAGCGACACATTGTAAATCGATGCTCTAAAAATGAACAAGGACCTGCTGCATTGGCAACAAGCAAAATTCTATTTTAAAAATCGCGGTTTAAGCACAAGATTTCAAACAGTTTTTCACCGTCTATTTTATCTGACTTAATGTCGTTCGCTTTACAAGGAATGCATCCATCTTGTAAGAGCCAAATCCACTATTCCTTAGTCCAAAATACTCACAAAACGTTCCTCTATCATTATTTACAATCATCAATATTCAAAAATTGACATTAAATAAAAATCAGGAGTAATAAGGATGCAACAGATTTAGAAGACAAAAAATTATTTTGTGGTTAAGCTGCAGTTAAGATGTTTTCTTCCAAACGATTTCTATAGGAAGAAAAAATTGGCTGTATGGGCGTAAATTTTTAATTCCTCAAATGCACAAAGTGCTTATTTTTCTGATTCCATGGTAAACCATGCAGGTTTGCATTTTTGACTACACTGAAAATAAATCTGTGTGTGCCTTAGAGTAACAAGCATTATCTTTAATGGAGCTTAAATTTTGTGTTAAGGGTTTATTTGATGCAGATAGAATTAATTCTTTCATGGTTGACGCAGCCAGCTAGTTCCGACGTGAACTTAAATAAATATTGCAAAGTAGATACATAGTTCCCCGGCTTTTACATAAAGTGTAATTAAAGAAAATTTAGCTTGAAAAACTTACAGTACTATCGCATAGAAGAGTTGGGAGGCTACTAGAGTGCCTCGGGGACCATGTCACAGTGTTGAAGCCCAACCTTCGGAGCCTGGATTGCCCAGTATAATGACACACAGTTAAGTGAACATTAATCACTACTAAGACAAAGCTCCGTGCGATTTCTTTAAGGCCCTTTAAGTGTGCCAATTAAAATAGATCTAAAGTAATAATGTTTTCAACTAATTTATTTCCATTAATGCTTCGGCCATAAGTTATATTTTCGGCCAGTAACTAGGTTCACAAACTATTCGAGATGTGTTTATTATGAGACAATGGGTCACGTTCTTCCAAACGATAATGAAATTTTCCCACAGAATATCGAGTTGATGAGAGTCACGGCAAATGAGTGAGGGTATTGAGAATGCCACGGCGCTCTCGTAGAGGGGCAAATCAAACTAACGAAAATTAGTAAAATTAAATATGAAGGTGCTAGTCAGGCATAAATAGGTATGCTTCAAACACACTTCAATAAAAGGTTTCTTTTGCTAAAAACCATGCAATATTTTGACATACTCCACTCTTACGCCATTTATTTTACAGGCGCCATATGTTGCTACCATACGTTGTTAATTTGTTTAAAACAAGTTGAGTTTAATGACATCCTCATGACCTCCACTTCAATTTCCACCTAGCTTGACATAGGTTCGCCTCAGTCATAGCTTTTTAGTGCATTAGTTAAAGTTTAAGTATTCCATACTCCCTGCTTTTAGAAGCTCATCACACCTTTGAAAACTTCATTGTTTTGCAGCTTGGTGTTCTGCATTGGCCCAGTGACAGCGCCTTTTTAAAGTAGTGCTTTTCTTTCTACCTATTAATCCACTTCAAGGGTAAAACAAACTGCATGCACAAACTAAAATGCAACTATGAAATTATGATGATGAATTTTCGTGTTAGCAGTAAACGAAATGGACTGCATAAAACTATGAAGTCCAAGGACAGGGAAATATTAGATCTTTCCCACTTGGCGATAAGTTAATAATCCAAACTCAAACTGATTAAGAGCTGATAATTAAATGTATGATTGAATCCATATATAGCCAGGTTTAGACGGATTTTCACAAGTTATGATTTACATGAAAAGGGAATCACCAAAATCAGACTAATTTTCAGGCTATAACACTTAATTCAACAATGAATTTCACCCTCCTCCCGAAATGTTCAGCTGCGTATTTGAGCATGGATACACGCATCTTTGAATCTGAATTAACCACATTTTGAGTTTTTAGCAAAGTGGTTTGAACATTTGAAAGAATCTATCTTTTCGGAAATTCTGATTAGGGTGACAAAAAAGGCTACAGCAATTGGTAAAAACTCCCACTGGATGAATATTCCGAAAGGTTTTGAAGCAATCAGAAGAAGAAAAAACCACATTAACTCCTTCTTTTGGCATTCCAAAGCATGTGCACTAAATTGAACGCACGTTTTTATAATTACTAATGTTTTTAACATCAGATATTACGAAGCAAATGCTTTTATTTTATCTAGATGTAGAAAGCAGCGTTTAACCGCCTCTAGACTTACAGTAACATTGAGGAGAAAGTAATAAAGCCTTAAAAACATACATTATCTATGGGATGGGACCTTTGCATCCATGAAATGTCCCAGAAAAATTGTGAACAAGAGCTACTTCTTTAAGGCACTTAGATAGTAATTTAAATATTTGAACGATTGTGTGCATTTAAATTTGAATCTAAGGCGAGATGATAACATCACGGTCAAAATAATGGAAATTTAATGTACTTTGGGTTTTTTTTTTTAAATCGTCAGTCACGGTTCGTTCCATTTTGATTAATCACAAAAACAAAGTAACACTAGGCTTTCCTGCGTTGGTTGCATCAAAATTTAGTCCTGATTGATAAAAGATGATATCTCTATTGTGCTACTCTGTAATGCATCTACTCGACTCTCATTATGTACAAAGAGTTCAAAAAATTTACTTACTTCTACTGGTTTTAAGCTTGGTTTACAAGGCGTATTTTGCGCGATATTTCCTTTTATTGTGTCAATATTACAATAATAGCTAGCAAAGAATCCTGACGCATTTTACAGTTCGCCTGATACAGCGTATTGCATAGCACTCAATAAAATCATGATTCGCAGTAAGAAAACCTCGCATGTAATTAAAACGTAGCTCTTGTTTTTTCAAACGAAGTTATTTGCAAAAAATATTGTAGATTGCCTAGCTTGAATACGCTTCGTAAATTTTTTTTAGGTCTTAGTGTCCGTTTAGCATTTGACCGTATATTAGTCGACGTACTTTACTTGATCACATATGTGCTCAATTAAGCCATCAGCTGAGCCTAAAACCAAAGTATTTTCCGATTTAAGAAATATATGAAATATTATTGTCACTAGCTATCAAAGCAAACTAACCATTTTCTCTTCGGATTTAAACAATAGACGGCTGTATTGATGCCTAAGCATTTAGAGCACTAATAAGGCTAACAAAGCAAGTTAAATTATTTATTGTTACTACAATTCTGCACGTCTAAAAGCAAAATAAACTTGTGACATTTTTTTGAAAAAATCGTAAGAAACTTAGGTATAGAGACACTTTATGACTGGAATCAGAACGAAACAGTAGGTAATTTTACAATTTACGACTCAACCAAAAGTACTAGATTTTTCCGAAAAAAGTCATCCTTATTTAAAAAGTTTTACATACATTACAAACATGCATTTGCTTGAGCTAAAAAAAGGATGAAGTTCATTTACCTGGGGTGACAAGTCTTCCACGGTCCTGTCCAACAGGAGAAAGCCATTCGTAGAGATAAATTGCTGCACCTGAGGCGTGAACGCTGAAGAGTAGTATGATGCACCAACACTGATAGTCATAGGGCTCTGAAAAGTAATGTAGACTATCCCAATTTGGTTGTCAACTGATAAGTTTATAGAACTCAGTCAAAACGGTAAATCCGGGTCACACTCTTTCAAAACCGAGTTATAAAAAATTTTCGAATATTTTCACTTATTGTAGTTAATGAGCTGGCATGAATGTGATTTAGGCACTTTGAAAAGACTGTTTCTTTTGTAAAATTTGTTTATTTCAACTAATGCTTAATTGTCACTTACTAAAACTGAGCGAATTTTCGTAATCCCATTATCTGGAAAGCATCAGTAATCAACCCTACCGGATACAAACACTAATTCACTTATTTTGGATTAGTTTTAAAAAAATTTTTGGAATTCCTAAAATAGCTTCCTTTTTGAAAGAAAGCCACACATAGATCACCGATATTGCAAGAAAAAAAGCATGCAAAAAGCCACTTCTTACCCAAGAAAGCTGTAGGTGAGATAGCCCCCTCTCTTAAGGCAACAGTTATTGCAATTCCAGTTTCCAAGAAAGGTACACTAAAATCAATCTGTTCGGAGCGGTTCGGAGTTATTTTTAACGAAGTTATGGCCATATCTGCTTTATGTTCCATAATTTCCCGAACCAAGCCATTCCAGCCTTCCTTCTGGACAAAAAAAACGCAAAATTTCGGCATGTGCAGCAAACTTTAGGTGCGTGAGGTGCTATCACCTATGAGACTTACTTTCACGGGATGAAGATTAAAATGCAAAGACGTGATAATAGAAGTAAGTCACTACTATTAAATAATGAAACGGTTGTAATTAGTACCGAGCTTCGGTTTTATACAAGTGGCAAGAGGCAGGGAATATTACAGATGTAAGTCCGAAATTATCTAAAGTTGTCGTAATTGCTAAATACCTAAACCCTATGCGAAGTGGTACTGCTTTGATGGTAGCCGAAATGGGCAACCGTAACAAGGAATCAAACTTAAACTTTATTTTATTGTTCAAAATACTCTGATAGACAGAAATACTTTATGAGGCCACAGTGATGTCTTCCTCCTCCTTTGATACAACTCAATTTAATTGCAGGCTTCTCCTGTTTTTTCTAATGAAATTTCTTCGACTCATAGTTGCTAGTATGGGAATCTTTCTAGTTATCTTTGGCCACCTAAGCATCGTTGTAATAAATCGTTTCCACCTACCGGAAATGTAATCCAGTTGACTTTCATTGTACGTAGAAGTTTCGAAAAATGAGAAAGCGTTTACGTGGCAGTAGGTTAGTGTATTGAGCTTTCTTTTTTTAGGCGATGTTAATAAACACATGTTGACAAGTGAAAACACAATAACCGAACTTTTTGATTTTTTTTTGTCTTTGAAGTCGCTCATACATTTGCATTTATACTTAGTAGTATTTTCCTATTTTACTATTAGAATTTCAATTATATTATGATTACCATTCTTCGTTGTTGTTATGATTGCCCAGATGTTTGGTTTTTAATACTCTAAATGCGGGAGAGTTAGTAAAGAGATAAACCCTACCAATAATATTTAAGAGATAATCCTGCAACGTACAGTCCAGCCACCCCATAGGCGGTCCTTGACTTCATAGAGCTCCACTTCGAAGTTAAGATCTTTCATGAGCTCAATTAAGAGATCCATTGTCAGTCCAGTACAGCAGGCAAGTTGCCTTTCTTGTCGAGTCTCTGAACGTTCATTAAAGGACAAGTTTTTGGGTCCGTCTAGGGGTTTTCCAATCGATACCATGGAATTCAATTTCTTGTGCGAACGACCCCTATCTCCTCGAATCCAACAGGGAACAGAGTTAGCGTCGCAAGATCCGTCCTCCTGTTTATAATTTAAATGTGACTCAGGCACTTCCATGAAGTTAAGGCTCGCTGTCATGAGCGCATTGTTTGTATAACTTGGATTCTGACTCGAATACAAAATTAGAGATATGAGAAGACTTCTATGTCTTTAGTACCTTTCAATGTTCCATTACCTCAAAGGTGTTGCAATCTAAGAGCTATCGTATACGAATTATGCAGTGGAGATGTACTCCCTTTACCATGAAATTACCAAATTTAACATCGGCGCAATTTCATTATTCAGGAATTAAGATTACCAATCATACACCTGTTTAGTGAAAACAATGTTACTAATTGGTATTTAACCCTTATAATATTACTGTTTGCGGATGAAAGCTTCATTATAATGATTACTAATGGCGAAATGTTAGTATGAACGCTTAAGTGGTGTCAATGTAGTGTGCATGATAATAAAATGTGATAAAATGCCTGTGTGCTCTCCTCCTAAATCTAACTATCATAAAATACCCATGGACATTAGGTATACATTTGTACCCATTAACGATTACCAATGAAAATACCCTTACCGAACCCGTATATCCCTTTGAAAGGTTTGAAAGCCAAGGAGGAAGAGGCAAACGAGAAACCTGATATATTGCACTGACGTGAACCATTCTAGTTACGATTGATATTACAGAATATTTGTGTAACGATGCAGAAATGAAGCTGTCGATCGTATTGCAGTTCACGGTAAAAGTTATAGTTATAGTGGGACTTCTGTAAGTTTGCTATCATTGCTACCAAATAAATAAAATATTAAAAAATCCCTTTGTTTGTGTTTTCTGAGGAGTTTTTTGCCAATCTACTTTTCTGCATTTTAAAGCTTTAACTGCACTTTTAATCGTAACGGAATATTAACATTATAGCTGGTCGAAATACGAAAAAACGCACTGCACACTGTTAAAATTTTCACTGTCACTAATTCAACAAGAAGAGTTGATAAATATAAGCGATTTTACATCCACAGTCTCAGTTTGTTAAGAGTTTTAAAGTGTTACATCAAACAATGCTTCCGTTTTTGTCAATCGAAATTGGAAGTAATAAGAAAGTGAACGATTGACAATGTAGGTAGGTAGTGTGCATACATTTTTAGTTAATCAAACACATATCATCAAGATCATTCGAAAATTAAAAGAAATGATTTGCTCCTGCATTTACGGGCCTAGATCTTATAACTATCTCTTAATGGTATCATTTTTGCCTCTTTATAAATTGAATGAGGTAATTTTATGAATCTGATGTTGTGCGTGAAATATGGGAAAACGCGTATTTTAAAAAAAATGCTCATTAAGTATTTGTATACTGTTCTATTCTTAAGACATTGAGCACAGTCGCACCTTTTTCTACTTGAAAAAAATTATGCATTCCTTAAATTACCAGTTTTTGTTTTCTATCCTTCCTTTAAATAAGGCGATTTTATTCGTTCCATTTACAGACGGCAATTGTTGCCTGACCTTCTGGAGTTACAAACATGGATTTGAATGGTGAGCAACGCTAGCAGTTTGATAGCACGGAATTGTGGTTGATTCAGCGTATCATGCCCTTCGAAAGGCAAGCAAGCATGCTTAGATAAATCACAGAGAACTACCATAAAATGGTGATTTTTCATTCTTCCATTCAGATCAGTGTTTGAAGCATGTTGTTGTTTTGTTGTTGATACTCTCTACCGTCACGGAAATAAAAAATGTATTTTATCTACAGTGTCGTAATGTTTCGCACAATTTTAAATCATTTTCATTATCTTTTTTATCTTTATATTAAAAAAAATCTTGGACGCTTGAATAACAGAGCCCATGCGAAAAGGCAACAGATGTTTTACACTCTACAAAGCTTTGGACTGATAACTGTGGTGGGTTCTAAGATTTGGGCATAAATTAACTATAAATGACAAATTTTAAAAGCGTCCCTGCTCTAATTTCTCTATACAGTTAGGGATATAAATAAGGTGATTCGTACCTGGAGATTGCCATATATGAGAAGCGGCTGTTCCTGCAGCATAACCGCCTTCAATTTAAGTCGATGAGCCCTACCCTTGGGTGGCGAATTAGCACCTCCTGGCCAGGTGACTCCGTCGATAAACAATCGCGATTTGCTTCGCCCCCACTTGCTGCTCATAGACCACGTACCAACCTGAATTAGGAAATAATGCATGAATAGGGATAGGCTGCAAGTTCAGTTTTGTTGCATGGTGGTTGCAGTATTATGCGCCTCTGGTTTCAACATCACGATGATTTAGTTAGTTAATTTGCATTACCCTAATGTTCTTAATAGTAACTCGAACAATATAATAGTGGTGATGAAATCTCATCAAACCATTTCTATCAAGAGTACGCCTATTATTCAACGTTTTATTGCTGCATTGCATCGGTGCTGCAGAATTTTATTATATATATGTGTGCATTTTTTATTTATGTAATTCTAAATAACAGGACAGGTACAAAGCATCGTGTAACTCATTTTTCAGAGAAAAGGAAAACTGTAATTAAAATTAGACCTCAAAAAACAGTAGGCAATTGCTTTCTAAGATAAAGGCAGAAACGTTATTATCCATTGATCATAGGAAAAATGGCAAGAGCGATGCAATATACTTTTTTGAAGTGGCATAGTAAAAAGCAGATATACAAGAAACTGTTTATTTGTACAAAAACAAGCATTTGTATAAAGTAGGACTAACCTTAAACCAATTCATTCGACCACTGGTAATTCTGGAATTGAAAATCAAAAACTTGGATACATTTAAGCCTCCATTGGGCAGAAAACTTATTGGTTCACCTTTAAAGTTCATTTCGAGTGATCGAATGATGCTAGAGGAGGGAAAAACATTTAATTTTTATGCATCTTGCATTTTGCTGCATTTGTGTAATACATCCAATGCGTTGCAAACCCGCACCCCTTCTACGTGGATTTACCTATGCTGGTCGTGTTTATAGCCCCTAATCTTCAACATTATGAAAATCACTCTTTATTCCTATGTCAACAAATGCAATAGGTTCAGGGGATTCAAGTCCTAATTTTTTGGCATACATATTAACGGAATCCAAACAAATAAATTAGGTCTTCAGAAAAATGTACTAGGATATAACGAGGGGCCAATAAAGGAAGTCTTAAGATCTAGCATTAACTAAAGAGACGAATGAGTAAAAAATTGTTTCTGACCGGCGTGGAGAATTGTGTATTGTTAAAAAATTTAACATACAAATGGTTTCTGGTAAACGCCTAATAAAAGTTGATTTATTTGCATAGCCCTATTTGATATTTAGTTCTATTCTTTAGAAAACACGAGAAGAGTGTCAAAAAGAACAGCGAGAACTCAACCGGTAAAACAGAGAAACGATGTTAATTTTTAGCAGCTCTCCTAATGTCAAATTTGCGGTTTTAATGCACCTAACTTGCATTGCGATGCTTCTTACAAAAGTGTAGTAAGTGGCACAACAAAATAAGGGACACTAAAGTTGCGCATTTTAATCGAACAAAACATCACGAAGACCTTTAGTCTGCTGCATTATAGGTTTATAGCCCATTAAAGGCCATGCCAGTAGTTCAAAAACCTTCTCTGTGCTAAATATATGTTCTGCCTGAGTATTGTGACTTCCTTCGTCTTCAGGGGGTCTCAGAACGCTACAGAGCATTGACTTTTAAAGACTCAAACTTTCAAGGTGAATAAGCATCTGTTTTGATCTCCTATTTAGATCACCAACAATATTTTTAAAATTTTGAACTAATTTTACTACTTTGTTGACCAACAGTGGGAAGTAAACTTGTAAAATTTGCGTTCTCTATTTTCATCCACTTAGAATTAACTGTGTTCCCTCCCAGACGCTCATTAGCCGCTTTAATGGTTATTAGGTCAAATACTAGAATTTTTGAATTAGGATAACTCTGACAAAAGACCATTTTCAGCACTACTTAAAACATCTGCAGTCCACTTATTTACATCAAATAAGTATAATTATATCATGCAATTACATGCTAAAGTTTGCAATTATCTAAGAATAATAAAATAAGCCTAGTTCTAAGCCTGATTGTTGACAAATAGTAAAAGTGCAAAGTTGTTTGAGAAGTTCGTGAAGATGGATATGAGGCGCTGTTATGAACGGAGGAAATCTAATTCTTTACATAGTTAACAATATCTAGGCAGGAATTAAAATAGTATACTTGAGAAGGGTGAGCATCCATTACCTCTAGATATAGGGCAACAAGCACATACGTATGCGCAGTACCCCTAATGTATCCAAATGATCAGCATTAAAAATCCCCATGTTGAAGTTATTTTCTGTTTGTTCTGTTTGGAACCTCACGTGTGTTACGTGGTAGTTCATAAAATCAGAAGTGTCTTGCTGCCATCCTACATATAGTCTTCATGTCAACCAACATTTTATGCTAAACTTTCAAATCTTTACCATGTTTTTATATTGACGAAAAATTTATTATTAATTTCACATTTCCTTAGTTTTTTTATTTGATGCTGTTTGTGCATATTTTTCATGGTATTTTGTTTTATGGCATTTAAATTAACTGCGATGTTTTTAAGATAACTGTAACTTGAACGTGTTACGTCTGCTTTGTTTTGTGCACTTTGACATTCTGCAGAATTGTGGAGTTCAGATTCTGCAAATCTAGTCTACAATTTTCATCACTTGACAGCATATGGCTAACATCTGCTACCTTTGTTTTTGTTCGAAAAATAAAACTTTTAACACGCTCACGCTCCCATTAATTCACCTTCAAGCACCGCCTGTAGTTGCATTGCAGTATTTATTATACTGCTTTTTTAAGATAAATGTTTAAACAATTCAAAAAGGGATTATTTCTCAAACAGGCCTGAAAAGGTGTCCTAGTAGCAATTCTTTAGATTTTAATGGGTCAGCATTAAAATTAGTACAAATGGTAAGGTATTTTACTGTTTCTCTTTTTTTTGACTCAGTTTATATCTACCGAATGGCGGATGATAGACAATTATAATGCACTACTTAATATACACTGGCGGATAAAATATTTTTTAAATTGGCTGCAATTACTAATGGGTCTTCATTGGGAGAGGCCACTAGAGTAAATTACAAGCTTTCCTCAATTTAATTCTATGACCCTTTCGACAGTTCAACAACAAACACTCGGACAAATTACCTCGGTATGTTTTGTAAGAATAGAGATGTCTTTTGAATGGTGGATACTAGGAATCAGTCAGCTTAATTACGTGTGACATTGTCTCAGCTTTTGCCTTTTTTGCCTGTAAATATTTTAGCATGCGATAATTCGTACAACGTCTGAAAATCAGTTTTAAACAGAGTACCATTCAATACTGCACTAATGATATCCAATGGCGCTCACTACTGAATACCTAATGCACCAGTGTTTGATCACTATCTCGAAACTGTCTACATTTGGTTTCTATACGGTGCTTAATATACACTCCACCTGATTCCTAAAGCTAAACTGATCTTTTCAATCTCTTTTATACGTTATGTACAAACACAGTTCTTTTAATCCCTTCACCCAAGTAAAGCTACTTAGGCACAGAGCAGTATTTCGAGCTTGATTATGCGACGTCATAGGTGCGCTACTTGTTGATATATGATACTGTAAAAGTGGCTTATTTTCGTATTCTTTTTTTCTAGCACAGGTTTCTACCTTTTTTAATGCTGCTTAAAATTTAAATAAAAACATTCTGCACTTTTCAGGATTTTTCAAAAAAATTTTGTTCTTTGAAATGAAGAAGCTTCACTCGTACACATAATCAGCCACTTTGCGGAAGCAAGCCATGGGTTCACGTCTCCTTACACAAGTATTGAGGTTAGAAATGGCCATGAGTCCAATCAAAGTACAATTTTTTTTCGCGAATGGGATAACGAACGTTAAAAAACATTGTGCCTAAGTAAGGACAGTTCTTAGGCGCTTTGGTATGTAGAGATCATAAATGAATTATTATGATGGTGCAGAGGCATATTTTGAAGGTTTACTTCACAAGTACTAGAGCAATAAACATTTAATTTTGTGAAAAACTAGGCCAACTTTTAAGTGTAATGATTTAATGCCTCTTCCTCGGCCCTGTTACATTTCTAAGACTGTTACAAAAGGTTGATAATAAAAAGGTGACTGTTTGACGGGTGACTTTTAGTAATTAAATTGAAATCTATCTAATGATATCACCTTACACTATTTGAATATTTTTTAGGCGGGACCATTCTTTAACTAAACATGAGAGCAGGACGGCTTACTTGTTTAGTCGACGCCCCCACTGCCAAGCCACATGTTCGCTGCTTTCGCAAAGGTCGCCCGGCCGCAGTTTTTCCAACAAGAAGCGATGGTACTTGATGGTCTCGGCAGAGGTGGAGTTAAGATTGATCGGTTTTACCGGTGGAAAGAGATTAGCCATCTGCTTTATTAACTCCATAAGGGACTTGTGCCACACCTCACGAGCCAACTCAGCGTGACGTTTTCGGTTGTCTGCATCATTTAGACAAATCAAACCTACCAATGATTAAAAATGGCAAAAAAGCCAATATTAGGAGGATAGGCACAAAACTAGTTTCTTTAGGTCTTGCTATTAAATGACTCAAACCCTGATCTTTTAGTGAGATTATTTTTTTAGTTTAAAAAAAGGTGACTGACTTATTTACTTATAAACCCTTACTGTCCTTTAAAAAATTTTGTATTATTTTGATTGCAATTTTACAATTTTTATTTTGACAACATTGCGCAGATGCAAACAATCGTAAATTGTGGTTCAGTACTCATATTATGGTCTAACGTTAATTATATATGATGGAGCGACTCTTTCCATGAGATTATATGCCTGAACATGAGCAACAAGAAAAAGCTAAGCTGAGGTAGAAGTAGGGGAAGATTGTCTAAAATAGACTGCAATTAAGGCAAATTTCAGTATCTTTTAAACTATTTTGCTCGAGGACAATGACTCTTGCGAGAGAGCATTTTTATTCGGTTTTATGGTAACTTTTCTTACTGAGAATTTTAAGTGGGTTTCAGTGCCCTTCTTAGTAAAGGGGTCAACTTGGATATTTACGATTATTAACAACCTATTGTTTGACCTAATAACTAGTGCTAAATCGCAAGGACAAGCAACCGTATAACACAACCGTAAACACAAAACGGGCAAAAGTGTAGGAATTTTAGGTTTTCTTACAATAAAACATATTTTTTTAATTTTTTTTGCAAATTTAAGCAGCACACAATATCAACGGAAACAATATGCATGTTTTTCCTTTTTTTCATTCTCATTGGACAATTTTAGGAGTCTAATTCGTAAATTTGTCAAAAAAAGGTTTATTAGAAAATAAATAAAGAGAGGAAATGTTTGTCAATTTCCCTTAGAAAATTATTAAACGTCTTTTTTTCCTAAATTTTTTAACGATAAATCATTAAACTTTTATGTGAAAACTCGATGTTTTTACTTATAATGAGAAAAACCTGCTGTAATTTTTAAATAGTTAACAGGTTTTAACTCAACATCATTTAATGGTATTTGTGTTATTTGAAAGTGCTTTCTGCATTTTTTATTTTAAAAAAAATGCTAAGACTGAAATTTTTTTCACAAAAGGAAGTAAAATAACGTCTTTTTTCAAATTTTTTTAATTTTTTTCTTACCTATTAAGGTCAAATTCAAGTGGACTATTGTCACTTAATAACGCCGTCGAGGAATAAAATATTTTCTTTCATTAGTGCTTTTGTCAGGTAGAATACAAAAGACTAAGAAATGGTAATTTAATCTAAAAAATTTTTTTTTATTGAGAACCCTACTCTTTGTAATGCTTTGTGGAGTCACGCACATTCATAGGCTAAACCATCAAGTTGTGGAGATTGACGTGTGTTAATGTAAATCAAGTTATTCCAATGGCGTTAGCCTAATTGAATTGCAAAGAAATTAAGTTAAGATGCATCAGAACAATTTTAGTTTTCGACTGAAGGCCAGGAGCCTCGGATTACTTTCTTTAACTAACCGAACATGCCGGGAATTTTCCGGAACATGGTGAATTCCGACAGGACAATGTTGTCACGATTAACCGTTTCAACTTGATCCACTATTGTTAGTGGAGCCATTGTCGAAGGCGTAAAAATCCACACGTAACTTGTTCCGAAAAGCTCTTTAAGGTGTTCATTTTGTGTGCCTTCCAGCATATCAGCAACGTACATCAACGCATTCAAATCGTATCTATATCAAAGTGAGCAAAAAATTATTAGGTTTTGCTAATAATTTGAAGGAATTAAAAAGAGCTTGCTCATTAAAAATATCATATGTGTGAAATTCATAAATTAACAACCGCATTTAACGGCCAATCAATTTTAATGCAACGGAGCCTGACTGCTTCAAAGAATGAAAAATTAAGTAACGTTTGGTTATTAATTTAGAGCACTAAGCAACTCAAAATATGTTTTTATTTTAAAAAATTGTTTACCTAGAAGAATAATGAGGGATAACTTAAAGTCGAAAAAAAAACTACACGTTTTCACAATAGAACTCGTAATTGCTCTTTTCGCAAAAAGTGGAACATTGGTACGTTTACTTAAGCGCTTTTTCGTCATTTATTGGGCGTTTATTAATGTTTTAGCTAAACTTCCGCGGTTTTTAATGGAAATATGGTAAAAGGTAATTTTTACTTGTAGTTTATGCAACCATGAGAAGTAGAACGTATATCGCAAAAACATTGTTACAAAAATGGTTATACTGCGGTGCTCTTCAATCAGATAAATCACTCATAAATATGGTATTATGGGATAAAAGTAAAATATCCTGGCTTATGACTACATTGAACTTTAAAAAAAAGAAAAGAAAGTACAAGAATCTACATGCACTAATTACTTTTTTGGTTAAGTTGTATTCAGGAATGCTTACTAAACACAAAAGTTTATTTTAATACTCTGAAATTGTTTTAGTTAATTTAGGGTGTTTCCTTACAGCTACGCAATTTAGAGAATAAATGATTACTATCGTTTTTGCAATAATTAGTTGGTATTTTTTGAGAATAATGTCCACAGTAGAAGCCCTTAACAGTCAGAACTTAAGTGTCAACTTAAGCCTAAAGGCTTTATTTCGTTGTCGGGCACGGTTTGCTATCTTAAGTCCTCTTACACTAGTGTCTGTATAAATGTATACACTAAACCTGGGGATCTACACAGCCAAGTCAATAAAAAAAATTTTGCATACGTCATTGCGCATAAATGTTTTAGAATTAGAGGCTGTACTGTGTTATATTTACCAATCTTTGGCCGAAAATTCAAGGATAGTATCAAGGTTCTATAGCAAATCACATTGGACTCCTCTTAACTCTGCTTTGGTAAATAAGAAAGGTATACTTACGAATTATTTTTGCAAATCTTATGCTACTTTTTATCAGGCTTTTTTTAATCTCTATGATCAGAAATGTAACTAGGCTCGTAGTTTTTTACTTTTTACATCAATTACATCGATTATTTTTAACGCACTGATTTCCATTGAAGATGATAACTCGGCTAATTGACTTCCAAATGTTCTGCATTGCAACCAACAGCGAATCAAAGCAGTCCACATCAATATTATTCTTAAATACAGTGCAGTCCTTTAATTTCCGCTTTGTGAAACCGTCAAATGGAAGATAGGCATCTACTTCAAATCTAAAAGTTTAAAAGCTATGCATAACAGTAACAAAGAAAGTTTTAAAGCCTAAGTAACGAATTCTTTTACTTCACTATACCTACAAATAAAGTCACCGTTGCCTTTAGAAAAGCATTAAGCCACTGCGTTTATTTGCCCTAAGTCACTGAGACTTTTAATTTCTTTATATTCAACCCTTTTATTTTAGCACAAGAAATTGTAGCACACTGACGGTAACATCTAGTGATAATTTTTGTCGAAATTTTTACTTGTAGGGCTGCTGCCAGTTAATTTAAATATTTTAGTCTTTAAAAGCTTTTGAGTAAGCAATTTTCTATATCTTAAAGAAGATTTAGGAAATAGTAAAAACCTTATCACTATCCTAAAATTGGTTATTTTATCCAGTAAAAAATGAAACCACAATGTAAGGCCAGAGAGTAAATGTTGCAGTAAAGTGGATCATTTGTTACAACTTTTCTACCACTTTGGTCAATTTCGCAAAGTTCTTTTAAAGTTTTAACAAGTGGTATTATATTATAGGCCAGGCAGTACTTTCCTTTTCTTTGGGTTAAAGCAAATGCCATTAGCATTAGATTAATATTTCCTTTTACAAAAAAGTAAAAATTTAGAGCAATAATGATTTCTAGCTTACATTTTCAATAATTCTAGGCGTACCGTTTTTCTTCAAAAAGTCATAAAGAAATATATAAAAATTTAAAAAATCGTATGACACCATCTTGTCGATTACAAGTATTTAAGTTGTAACGCTCCCATTGCACTTCATTAAAAATGTTTTTTCAATTCAAAGGATGTACCCATCATCGATGAGCAATTCTTTTTTCAATCGACGTGTATTCCGTTTACGAAAGTGAGGGGTTCATGCAGCTTACTCGTAGTAATTTGGATGGTCCTGTTTAGCTCGCTCCATTTGCAGGAACTTCAACTCTGAAATCAGGGGTCTGGAGCCAGGTGCATAGGTGTTGTAAAGCAATATGATTATATTCCAGTTAAAGGCCTGCGAAAAATCAACCAGCGCTCTTGCCACATGCCATGTGAGCGGCTCTAATCGAGTCGCCAGTTGTGTCTCCTCTAACTGCAGAAGAATATAAGGTTTGTTGATATTTATTTCGTACCAAAATTTTGCGCTATTCTTGTTTTTTGTAATTTTTTTTGTACAAGAAAACAACAGTAGGTAATTTGCTTAGTCAGTTTGAAGATTCTGCTAAAATATCAGTTTTTTCCTAAATATTGCGCCTTATTATAAAGGTCCTTCATATTCAAAATACAATTTTCAAACACTAAATTTTACCACCTCTTTTATTTTCTCTAATTTTTTTCTGCACCATTGCAAATGATGCTAAGAAACGCGTTTAAAAAAGATAACTGATGTTGTTAAGGCCATGACTGGTAACCATAACGGCCCCCAAAAAAATACGATTTTAATAATAGCACATCAAAGCGTTAGCTCAGATTGTCAATTTGTCTGGTAAGGTCGTAAAGTGGTGGGCACAAAAATCCATAAGAGTACAAAAATTTAAATATGATGGTTTTGTTTTTTACCTTAACAATTGTTAGTGCGATAAGAATGTGAATGGCGAACCCCGATTACAAATTCATCGTAACATTGGAATATTAATATACTATATATTGTATTTTATATATTTTACTGGTAAAATTTTTCACAAAAAAATACTTAAAAGAACTACTGTAAAACATTTTTTGCAAAAAGCGATAAGAGGAGATAGGATGTGGCGCTTATAATATTCGCAAAAAAAAATTACCAAAGAAGGTCAGTGGGGAGAGAATAACAATTATGGCAAATTTTAAAACAAGGCAAAATGAAAAACGCAAAGAAATCACATTTTTTGACAAAATGAAAACAAAACCAAATACATAAATGCAACTGATGTAGTAACAATCAAATGGCATAATTGCACTGCTTGTAATTATAAATACCAGAAATTACCATCGCTTTAAAGATCTTTAATGACTCCCTACAGTGAAGAATGATAATGACTACTAGTTTGTTAACAGTGTATTAAACAAGGGTCATAATTGCTAAAAAAATTTAATTTTAAAAAAAACAAGTGACCTCGAATTCTCCAATCCTGTTGGGCATCCAGGTCAGGGTGGGTAGACCAAGCGATGCAGTTATTTGAAAGAACAGTTGGAGTAATCTATCGTGCCTTGGCCTATTTACCATGGCGCCAATATCATTAACAACAAAGATGCTGGTTGGAACGCTTTCATAATTTTTGCGGCGTGTGGCCTGGAATTGTCGACAGATCCCCGCTTGAATTGAGAGTGGATGGTAGGAGGTGATGAGATTGGATGTGTAACCGGGATCAAGTAGGATGTGGGGATAGGGTTTCATGAGTCGCCTCAAGTGACCACCGGCATTGCCCTTTTCAGGTTTCAAATAATGTGTCACTTCGAAAATGAATGCTTGCAGCTTAAGACGGACGTAACCTTGGCTAGAGTTGGTGGAAAGGGCAATATTGAAATCCTGACGTAAGAAACGGCTTGTGTTGAAAGAAATGTCTTGTTGAGAAAAGCCAGATTTTTGATAAATGAAAAAAATAGCAAAAAAAGGCAGCATTGACAGCGCACACATCCTCAGGAAGCACATTCTAAAAGTAAAAGGTCATGGCAATACGTAAAGACTCCAGCAGTGCAGTAGACCCTATTTACATGATAGTTACGTACCATTTGCAGACACTTGCTTTTCGGCGCTATTATGTGTCTTTATTTGTAATTCCACATTTTACGCTACTTTGTAAAAAAATTAAATCTTTTAAAAAAATTTTTTTGCGTAAAGAAATTAGTAAACTTACGAATGGTGCAAATCTTTCATGCTGAAACGTTTTTTAAAAAAACCAGAAGTTTTCACTACGGATTGCATGAGAATTTGCTGATATTTGACAAACTAGGAACTACAAATAAATCTCATTAGGCTTTAGTTTTCTAACACTGCATTTCTTTTGAAACAGAGAAAAATAGTCACTTTTGACATTGTATTTACATGTACCAAACTTAAAGGCAACTCATATTATCAAGTAATTTTGCTAGGTATTAAACAGGCAATCCAAACGTTTCACACGATTATAAAGCTTCCATGCGTTTGTAAAAAATCAAACACTTTGTCAGAGAGCACAAAATTTTAAATTCGTTACGATCAGGTCTGGAACTGTGAAGAAATTAAGTTTGAGCAACTGTTGTCTTTAAATTTTTTTCGCTTTCAATTTAGCAAATAGACAGTAAAAGAAATCCCATTTGTATAACTGGTATACATTTTTTTAGGGTTTTTTTTTAAGTTTCAAGTTTTTTGGCATTTTGAAAGGGGCAAGTTTGCGTTATTGCATATTTTGCCTTAAAGCCTTACATCAGTTTTAATTTTTTAATTGTAATGTAGACAACACATTTGTTGCCTAACTTTGAATGATGTGAAAGTTTTTCCAATTCTACTAATACCCTTTAAAATAAAAAGCTTATAATGGCGTTAACGGCAATTAAAAATTCTTAAGTCGCAGTATGTATTGAATCTGCAATAAAATGAGGCAAGGAGAAGAGTACCTCAAAGATATACATATACATTCAATCGAAAATTCCAGAATGAGTGAAAGTGTAGATCGCGTTCTTTGTATTTTTGATTAAAACAACGTTAAATTCTACCACTTCTATCATTTTACACGAATTTACAGTAAGTAAATGCAGCTTTAAACATCATTTACCTCTCTGATATACTAGAGAGCCAGCTGTTTATTTAAATTTACAACCTTTTTACACAGCAAAAATGCATTGATTTCATTAACAAAGTTTAAAAATATTTTTTTATGTATATAGATTTTATATTACAAAAGTTATAACATATAGCTTAATATAGTCAGCTACTATGTTTAGTAAAAGTAATCCTTCTGCGCCAAAACATAAAGATTGTAAATTTTTTGTAGGCATCTAATTTAATTGAGGTTGTATTTTATAATAAACAAAATGATTTCTAAGATAAAAACCTATCAATTTGCTTTCAACTTTTGAGGCAGTTGTCGGTTAATACAGTTTGTTTGCTAAAAAGTTTGTATTCGGATTTTAAAAACATCTTGTTATTTATCCTTAATTTACAAGTTTAATTAGAACTTTTTAGAATATCTTTTACACGCCATGACACTATCAAAATGTATTATATCTCAAGAAATGTAATCTTTTTCGACTTTCTAAATATTAAAACTAATAAGCCAGAACTGATTTTTATTAAGAGCTATTTTCTATTTTAAGTGACTTTTGTAACAGATAGCACTTTTCAGAGCTTCATATAGGTCATATTAGTCAAATGATAAAAGGAAAAATTTTTTCATTATGTGCACCTATTTACATACATTTTGACAGCAGTCACAGGTAGCGAATTTTTATGCATGTATTTTTTAATTTATTTTGATTACAAGAAAGTTCCTTACACCCATTAGAGGACTTAATGCCGAACTTCAGATGTTGTACTGATTTATTAGATGTTTTGTTATTTGATGCTTAATTACAAAGTTTTCTTTAATATTTTAAAGTATATAAAAGGTTTGTCTTATTTAAATCCGTCGTCATTAAATATCATAGTAAATTTTTTAGGGCAGGAAGTTATGCAAAAATATTTGACAGTATCTCAATAAATTTTTTTAATTTTACACAATATATTAATAAGCAAAATAGATTAAACCTAAAATCTTGCCAATTTTTAGCGTTTCATTAATGCTTAAAGAAAGATTTTCAAGAACTAATAAAGAAAATGCTTTACTAGAAAATGGTTTCGAGGATACCTCATAAGTTCGTTAAAGCCCTGCAAAAAAATTTGATCATAAATATGATTATTTTTAAAAAAAAACAACTTCTTTGCATTGGATTTTTTGATTTTCCAAAGACAATGCAAGATAATGATGGTAATTGTGCCTTTTTTTATCACAAGTACGGGTTGAACTCAAGTTAATTAAATTCATAGCAGGCTAATTTAATGAGTGAATTCAGCAAAAAGTTAGCCATAAGAAAGAAAGTTAAGCTGAGACTGGGTTCGATCGTAATCTCCGCAGTTGAGTTCTCATGACTATTACCTAAACGGTAGATAGTTATTACTAAAAAATTTTTTTTCTCTGCGAAAGAACGCAATTGCTTTTTTTGGAATAACGTTAAGACATGCAAGAAAAAAATACGCCTACTTTATTTGCTAATTTCTTTTAGAAGCCACAGGGTAAAGCACTTGTTAATCTAGCCTTTAGCTTATTATAAAACCCTTTTGTTCAAGTTTAATCAATGATGCTTTGTAACATTTTGGAATAAATTGAAACTTAAAAAAATATATTGTATACCAGGAATTATTCTAATTTGTTTATTCTTCATTTTTTGTGTTAGTAGATGGTTTACATTACATTACCTGTGCAATATGAAATTCTGAGGATTTTTTGAAGTCAATCCGCAGATTTTTTAATACAAATAAATTTGAATATATACGTTCATATATAACAGGTTGCCTTGTTAAACATGACACGCATTTCAGTCTAATTAATATCAACATTTTTTAGTTTTTTAGGTAATAAATAACCCTAACAACGTTTTTAACACATGATTTAATGTAAAGTTGGATATGAAAATAATTTTGAGTAAAAAGATAGTTACACAAAAGAAAACTATAAAAAGTAAGTTTACAAAATGGGAATTCAAGTGTTTCGATAAAATAAAAATGATCAATTTACATTTCTCTTATAACTGTGGCGATTACTTATTGTGCCACCTCAGACAGCGAATGGTAAGTGAGAAAGGGGAACGTACGGTCAAGTTGAACGAGTACAATCTCAGTTATGGGTAGAAATGTATGGGCCACAGAGGCAGCGCGCCTTGGACAGGATGACGTCGTGTTGATAGCGAAGCATTAGGGGCACGACTGCTGCAGAGGGAAGGTAAGTAAGCGAGAGGAGAGCGTGTTGCTAACGTTAAAAAACGCATACGCTGGCAAAATAGGACGTACGCTCGTAGTCGCCTGCTTCTTTCCACTCAGCCAATGAGCGTCCCAGCCTTTCCTGTACTTCCGCCTACAAAGTGTCTGACCACCCACGAGCTTTAAATCAACTTGCACAAACGATCTGAATTTATAAATCGTGTAACGCAAGCGAGAAATTTAAAGCCCAGTACTAGTTTGAAAGCAGGAGACCTTGTACTATTAAAACGCAATTTTTCGATACAGATAAATAGCATTTGAAAGTTCCCGAAATATATGAATGTTAAAAACCAATAGATGCTGTGAACATTTCTTTTCATAGTATTCGGGTCATTTTCTGGACCACAGAAATACACCGAAATGTTTGTGCATTTTACTATAGTGCCTAAAATCTCAAACTTTTTTTTAAATTCTGATGTGGTTAAAAAATAAGTAAATTTATAGTAATTTAATAAGTATACAAAGAAATTTTGGATATAGAAAAACACTTAAATCTAGTCAATGTCAGCATAGTCATCAGACCTCATTACTACCCCACTTGACCAAATTCAATGACTCGGTTTTCAACAACGCAAAATATAACGCAGCATAATAATTCTTGAAGCTCTTAATACCTAAATTTAAGTCCTCGTCCATGAATAATGTTTCTCGTAACTAAGACTTGGCGTCTAGAGTGCAAATAACAAAAAAATACTGGTCATGCTTGACCAAACCTGCACGTTTCTTAATTATTTTGAACAAGATTCCTCCGAAAGTTCAGTTTAGCTGAACAGCCAAGATAGCACAACCTTCTAAAATACATGGTTCAGCGCTTTAGCCAAATCAATTATGAATAGCAAATCAGTGTTGCCTTTATTTTGGTGGCATTTAGTCATGCATTAATTGACTTGTTGCCTTTGCGCAATAAATTCTGAGGCTGCATATCATTTTACCATCAACTTGATATTTTGTTTTTTTTCTGAAAAATATACTGAAAGTGGGCATAGTTTGTAGAAAAAAAAGTAATGGAAAACTGCGCCTCTCAAAAAGTAATACTAAAAATTTTTTAAGGATGTCGCAAAGCATATTTTTAAATTTAGTTTTTTGCATTTGTGCCTTAATTTTACAAACCCATTTACGGAATAGTATTCCTTGTGAATCTATCGTCATATCACATCTTTCTGAGTAGTTTTCATTACCACGTTTTGTCTGATAAGAATTTCCATTACATTGATAGAAAGGGAAACTGTTCTACAACCTTTTAGTAATTTTGTTTGATGAATGTGTTTTAACTTTGGCCATTATACTTGTGCTTTGGAAGGAAAAAATTATTTCGTATATTACCTAACGGTACTTCTCCAATAGGCTTCAATTTTATGCCAAAAAAACATTTTGATCTGTCGCGCTGGCTCAGTAAAATATCATTTGATTTTGAATATGTACTTAATCATAATTTATTCACGCAACTACTATATTGCCGTGAAGCGAAATTCAGTGAATTTGGCTAAAGCTGAGCTTTGACACCGAGGTGTTTAGTTGGAAAATGGGGTTTTTTTAATATATTAGATATATTACTAAATATGCTTTTTATTGTTTTTATTATTATATTATATTTTTATACTATTAAATATATTATTATTATGTTAGGTAAGATTAACTCTGTATTTAGATTCCCCAGTTATGCCGCAAAATGATTGTTCCCATTCAAGCGAAGGTGGAGAATATTTTCAGAAATGCATATGCTTGCCAACGGTTTGCTTAACGTTTTGTTAACCCTTTATTTGCACCAATTAAAAATACTGCCATGCTATAATCAACAATCTTGCAGACGATTGCTTTTATGACCGGGGGCAACGTGCTGGCTGCTTACTTTGTGCTGCAGACGTCAGTGCTTTTATCTTATTCCATTCCAAATCCCAGAGCTCTTTTATTGCCTCGCAGAGGCACCAATAATTAGTTTTACTGCTTTCAATGACACCAGTTAAACGCCATAAAGCAAAAATTTTTACGTCAACTGTGCAGCCTTTTGCCGTAACTGAGTTTAGATAGTTGCTGTTACAAATTGTCTCCAGTTTGTACAATCTGGGGTTTCCGTGATTGCAAGTCGCCTAGATCCTATTGAGGCCGCTAACCAGATGAGCAAATGATTAGGAAAAGATTTCAGGGCAGATCCCTTTATCGCCTTAAATAATGTTCCACAGCAACGCTCCAGTTTCATTAAAATCCATGGTTTAATTGATTCGATGCTTTCTTATTTGTCTCCCTTTTGTTTTTAATCTTAGTTTAGAGAATGGCTTTGCGAAAATTGTCTTAGTAGAATGTGCGACGGCCACTCTAATGTATTTATGCAATGTTCTTACAAATAGGTTTAGTATACTTTTCAAACTACATAATATTTTATTAGCGGGTACCCGGTAAACATGAGAACTTAATAGGTTCTTTATTTTTAGTTAAGAATGTAATTTGCTCTTTATTTTTTCGTTCGCTCGTTTTTTCCTATTATCACTTATTTGCAAGTTTCAGAAATTAACTATGGTTTATAAAATAAAGAAATATAATACAGGCTTGTAAATATATCATTTGAAAACCACTTTACCCCTTAAAGATAAAAAGGAATGCTTAAAAAGTCTTCCAGATAACATCAAACAATAAAATTCCAGTTTTTCAGAATTTATTTCGTCGTTTAACCATACCAGTAATAATGGATTTCAGATTTGCTGTCATCATTGAGGTTGCCATTTTTCGGTATTGAGATAACAAACAAGCCTTATGTTCCAGTTTTCCTGATTACAGTAATTTTATTGCGAACAGCTAAAATGTTTAAACTCAAAATGCCATAATATGGCAAAATTTATTACTTTTATGTTTTTTGCAAACTTACTTATTTAGACACAATAAAACAATGTTACCCCTGTTTAAAAAACTCTCTTGGAAAGACAAATTATAACCTCAGCGAATTTTAACAAGATAGTTTTGTATAGAACTGCAAAATTCCTTTCCAACTACTCATTTCCAATAAAAACACATCAATTTCCGTAAAAAAACTATTGAATTTTTATTTTTAAAAGGATGTAATACTCATATTGTTTAAATAGACCATTTGGCGACGATGCATGCAGTCGACTTGAACCTAAACCTCCATCTATCCCCATTGACGCTAATCAAAATATATGTTCCCCTCCAATCAGTCTCTTCATTCTGAGGGTGGAAGGCCATGGAAGAGGCGATAAACGCATACATAAAGGTGTATCCAGGCACAAAAATTTTCAGGTAAATTTGCATGCCTTCTGGCGTGGTTCCAGGCAATGGCTTGGTAATAGTTGTGAAAAAGTAGTGCACTGTTAACGTATCACAATACGGAAGTGTCTGACATTCAGGATATTTTTAAGCTTATACTGGTCAGCTAAATTGTTTTTTGCTAGTGGAATATACGCATACCAAAAGAGATGAAAATAGCATGAATTAATGGGGCGCACAGAGTTGTCGATTACTGAGTAGGGATAATCAGTGTTGATTTCCATATTAAAACAGATTCTACAATAACGTGTGAAATTCATCTTAATTAATGTTTTGCTTCTATTTTAGCATGAACAATGAGCGCATTGGGATCTGTATAGGGCTATGTGGTGGTTTGAGAAGTTTTAAAAGGAGAATGCTAAAACTACTACCACTAGTGGCGTCTAATTTGATTAGTCCCTTTTACACAACCTATAGTGTTTCTAACCTGTTTCAATTCGGTTTTCGTTAAGTTTTGCTTATAATAATTAGATGGGATCGCCGTGGGTACTTTGTAATTGCAAAGCAAAGTTAATCTAGCTAAAATTCAGGATTTGCTTACATAAGGTGATGGTCCAGAGGCTTATTTTGTCGAAAATTTGATGTCCCTGATGTCATGCACGCCTTTTTACGTTAAAGCCCTCTCTGAATCAATAAGTCTTTTTAGAATACATTTAAGAGAAAACTGCTCCAATTCGCAATGACCACTACTTTCAGTGTCATTATATTTTTCCACTCAACCTTGCTAAAATATCTAAAATAGCTTATTTTGTACCCAATAGTATGGCTAAGCACTGCTGGGCAGGCAAAGTTGGTTTTGCATACATTATCTGTTTTGCTGCTGCTGGCAAAAGTACCTGAACGTTATCGAAGTAGCAAGTAAGGCATGTGTTAGGGGGTTTGAGATGAACGCTACCTTCTACTGCACTTTCAAGAAACTACTCATAATATACTCGAAAATAATGCCTGGACAATGGTTTCCCCGAAGGGTGCTGGGCTGATAGCTAACGTAAAGGGTAAAAACGTAAAATTTTGGCGAAAAAAAATGGTTTTTAGGCAATGTTCATTGCCAATGTACATCAGGTAATGTGTGGAAGAAATGTGGCAACATCTCTGCAAATCGAACAGTCATTTATTTTGCGTCACCGAATAATTTTAAATAGTGTTTTACATCTTGAATCAGCATTCAGAAAAGCGGAAATCCAACTAAAAAAATGTTGACCAAGACCAAATTAAAGTAGCTCATATTTGGGAGTTTGAAAACCTGATTACGTTTGAACATTGCACTTGGTTATGTTGTATTAAAAAAATTGCTAACAAATTACCATGGATACTTATTTGCCTCACCATTTCGGTAACGACTCCTCTAATGTTTGATTTATCAACCGAGTACGATATTACATACCATTAGTCTTTTCTAATGTCTTAATCGGGCATACCAATTCCAACGAATAGTTGATTACTGATGTAATGAAGGGTTGGGAGACTATAGACGTACCCAAAATGCAATCTGTGTTGAATAAAGAGCCCGAATAGCCAGTGTACCATTAAATAAATACCATTTCACTGTGCAGTTCTCTTCATCTTCTAAGTATCGTTCTCAGCACTTTAATGGGTCACTTTTTTCATTTGCCGGCCATAGCAAGCATTCCTACGGATTCCTACAAACTACTAAATGGGGTAAAATCAACCTTATAAATCGCCATCACTAGTGATTCGCCATCTACCACTTTTCCGTGTTGTAGTTTTCGCTTTTCTGTAAGTCTAACTACATTAAAGTAGAATTGATTTGAATGTAGTGCATAGGATAGGCAATGTTTTGCGACAAGGGAATAAAGTAATTCAATCGAATTTAGTAGTAGTATTATCAAAGGAAGCATAATGCACCAAAATACAAAAAAGTCATCGTGTTTAACGAGGGATTTTAAGTCATTATCCCAAGTAGGTCTAAAGTTTACGCAATTTGATCGCGTTTTACCACACATTGATGCGCTGAATCCGGATTTGATGATTGCCTAAGGTAAATCACTGATTGAAACATTCTGTGGCAAGTTTATGCTGCATCAGGCATCTACGTTAAATAATCCCCCGATGAGGTGATTATACTTCGCAGTCTGTCAACGAGAGCAGGCAAACCCTGTAGCCAAGATGGTAGCAAGCTCTACGTAAATCATAGAACCTGTATGGATAAACACATAGCTGTACAAAAGTCAAATTTCTATGAATAGATGAATGCTTACTTCAAGTTGACTATTACTGCCGATAAAATATCACAAAAGTGGCACATTTCTTGAAATACAAATTATGCAGTCAAGTCATTAAAAATGTATGATATCCCCATAAAAAAGTCGACTCATTTTGCGGGCGAAAAGGCAGTTTATTCCTTTTTTAGCATTAAAGGACTACGATGAAACAATCGGCAAGAGTTCGGGAAATTGTATCGCTCTCAAAATTCATAGATTAGCTACAAAAAATAAATTGTCCTAAGCAGTTGTGGGCCAGTAGTATGTAAGACTATTTTTTTAAGCAAAGATAACTTAAATGCCCCCAAAGGACTTTAACTTTGTCATCCTAAAAATGATTTGTTTTAAGCGGCGCTTCCTAGTTTGCGCTTTCCAACAATTGGTCTGAAGCGTCGAGGTCGGTGATGGAGGTGGCGTCAAAAATAGTTAGAAAACTGGACAAAATGATAAAGAATGAACTAATTGTAACGACATATTTTTACTTGATTATTCTCCCAGGATGACGAGTTAGCGTTGTCTTATTTGCATCGTCTTCAGAACACTGATATGACCTTGGATATCCTGACAAAAACAGGTGTTGGTATCGTCATAAATAAGATCAGGAAACAATCCTCCAATGGGGAGATCAATATACTTGGAAAGCAACTCATTAAGCAATGGAAGAAACTGGTTCCTGGTAGGTGCTGAAGAAGGTCTGTTTTGCATAGCACTACTGTTCCTGGTATTATCTGACAGCAGACCGGCGTCGTATGCGATTCTTATGTATAGTTTGAATTGTTGTTGGTAATTTGCTTCCCGGTGGTGGCCTATAGGTATTAAGCTTTAGTAATAAACTGGGTTAAAGTTCGGTTTTGTCCTGTTATCAACGAAAATGTATTAAAAATCGAAAGTAGTTTTGCATTGAGTGGCTAATTTATAATACAAGCTTCTTTTAAAAGCAGATTTGAATGTCGTTCTATAATGGTAGCAATTAAGCCGATTGACTTCAAAAGAGTAACTCGAAATGTGGTTTCAGAATTGCACATGTTTTTGCTATTACTGACTTTTTCTACCTAATTTCCTTTGCGTTGATTAGTTCCGTATTGCATGTTGCGTAGTTTGAGCTCATTGTGCTGTCGTTTTACTTTGATTTCCTTTTCTTCCCAAGGTTTTCTACATAGATTAATGACTAGAATATAAACTCGACTCAAACTTACACTTTTAATTTCCCCTCAATTTTCGTTGTTCAGAGAAGGCTTCTGAAACTGGAAGTAAGCGGTCGCCGCCTATGTCAGGTGACGACTCATCTCAGTACCTGCCTACTGAGGGGAAAAGGGTTCGTCGACCTCTAACAGATGATGAGGATCTCCGAAACGAGTGCAATGCCGTCAGTAATCACCCACCTTCATCCACTGCTACCCATGATTCTATTGGCCACGGTTTTTTTATGTCGAAGTCCCTTGACACTGATGACCCAGTACGGCTTAAGGCTCGAGAAATGATCAAAAGCGCCCTGGACGCTAGTCGTAAGTTGCTTTTTCGTCTTCATTTTGACTTTAAAGTATCATCGTTTACCTGGGTAACAGAGGCACTTGCTGCCTTAAACTATTCATCTCGTTATTTTGTACTTAATGGTTCTTTTTATAACTCCAGTTTATTAGTAATAGCCACTTTCTGTCGCTTTGCTCGTCACTAATTCCCATTTTTGATAAGCATAAAAACAACCGCGTTCCGTTTTGTCAGGTGCTTTTTAACAGTTCTGATAATGGAGATAGCTAATCCGGTCATTCGAAACGCATCCACTGCTTTTGAAAAGAGAAGCGCGTAGAATCGATGTAACATTCTTGCCCCCTCTGTTGTCCGTTTTGATTTATCCAACCATTAGAAGTTATTCCTTCTACTTGACTTTCGGTCAGTGATGATCTCGACCCTGGCATAAGTCTGTTTTGGAGAGGTGATACATCATGGCTTATGAAACGATTGAATTCGTGGTAATATGTGCAATTTTCAAAGGTTTTGAACAAATTCTAATGCTGTGACCAACGCAGTATTACCACGTCTGTTGTGATCATAAGGCGCTGACATTAATAACTTTTTATTTTATTGGGTCCATCTTAACTGGGACTTTTAGAATACTCTAAAGCGCTTTTTTAATGTTAAGGGGAGGAGTATTTTGATGCTTTATGTTTTCCAACCCATCGTATTGAGCCCAATGTCTCCTAAATTTATAGTAAATTGGAATTTTTTGTTGAACTAACGTTGAAGGTCTCAAATCAGTTTATTTAAATAACTGATAGAGGGACTTTCAAAGTTAATGTCCTTTATCATTATTACTCAAACCGTGATTCACTCGTATTCGAAGTTGGATTTCACCCTATCTATTTCTAATTTATAGGACAGATTAAATTATTGAAGCATCATTCCTTGTGTCGATACTTATTTGATATACTTTTATGACCAAATAAGCATGCCTGTGTTATCCAGTGCTCAGCAAATCAAACCGCTTGTTATTGCCGACTTTCTGCTTCAATTTGAGCTTATTTGCGTGGTTGGCACATGCACGCATTTCCAATTGAGTAAGTTTGGAGTCTTCTTTTTTCCTAAGCTCCTCCAACAGGCGCTTTTGACGCCGATTACCTGGCCACCCAAATCGAGAGTGAAATTTTCACCATTTTTGGAGTCACTGATTCGAAGTACAAACACCGTGTGCGGACTCGAGTGATGAATCTGCGGGACATCAACAACCCCGATCTGCGAGCAAACGTCTTCATGGGGCACGTCCGACCCGAGCGCCTGGCCAGTATGACTTCCGAGGTGGGTTGCTCTCTCTTCACGTCATTCCACCCGCTTTCCCCCGTCGAACTTACCTCCTTTTCTTCACACCGTAGGAGATGGCCAGTAAAGATATGAAAAAGTTGCGAGACAAGTATAGCAAGGAGACTATAGACGACCACCAGATGGCTGTAACTAGTGGCACCGAATCTGACCTTCTTAAATGCGGCAAGTGCAAACAGAACAAGTGCACCTATAATCAGGTTGGTGCTTTTTTATTGTTCATCTATCTTCTGCTTGGCATTACTCTAGAAGTGCAATTTGGTCCGATACCTATCTTATTGCTTTCTTCTTGATTTGTTTTAGGTGCAAACAAGAAGCGCCGATGAACCCATGACCACGTTTGTTTTTTGTAATAATTGCGGTCATCGGTGGAAGGTAAGTCAGGTGGCTATTGGGTGAACTGCCGCATGGCAGCTGCAATTTGTCACTGAGTGGCCCAAGTGTGAAGGATTTAGCGTCGTAATTTTTTCCTTTTTTTAGTTCTGTTAAACCTATGGAAATCATTGTGCTTGCTACCATGTGCTGTATATACAAGGACGAATCGGTTTTCATACATGAACATGTGCCCTCCTTATGTATTAGAATTATTTTACAGGATTTCGAGTTGATTAGTTTGCACGTTGCCTACAGGTTGTGTATTTCATGATAAAATTCTGTAAAATATAGGTCACTTCAGAGCTTATCTTTTTCCTCAACTTTTGGCTAACCAGGAATAAGTGTACTGGCTTCTCCAAATGGATTGCCAATGCTTAGCCAGATTCATTCTGGTAAAGCCTGGCGGCATGGATTGTTTAATGTCGGGTGCGTTGTCTTAGGTTATTGTAAGTGAACTAGTAAAATTGGGATACATCGGGGGTAGGCTAATGTCATGAGTGGGAGAAGGCTGCGTGATGGTAGCACAACCATTTTGGCATTGTGGGCTGTTCGTGTTGTTTCTGTTTATATGCTTCTAGCTCCTCAATAAAACCATAGTAGTGTAATGCATTGGTTGTTTATTTCACACTCAATTTTCGCGAAAGGTCGCTTTTGTGTTCCCGGCAGTGAATCCTTGCTAATTGGGCGCCATCGGGCAATGTTAGCATCCCCAAGCTCTACTGTATGTCGAATATGCATATTTGGCCCGAGTATCATACCTCATTTTTGTCTTCAGAGGCATTTCGTGACAAAACATCAGTGGCCACAAAAAGCGTACCCAATCCTAAAGGATACCCGTCCTGATTTCTATAACTGACTGATAAACTTTAGTGGAGTAAAAAGTGCATTGCTATGGATGGGAGAATCGGTGATGGCCCATAACAGAAGGGCTAAGAATGACTTTTACTTTCGGCAGCTAACCCAGTCCCATGATCTGCAGAAAAACTACTAACTACGGAAGTGATTCTAGCCGTAAACCAACTGCTTACCGTACCTGTATGGAGAGATCAAACATGTGAACACGCGGTATAGCCCAGACAGACATGTTTGGACTGCACTGCAGTAAGAACAGCGTGGCGAGGAGGAACAGGCGTGAAATCTCACCCCAATGGAATTATGTTCAATCCCGTCCTTTCTTGTATGACTTCTTTTAAGTCAGTGTTCTTACGACTAGCTATGGACACGTGTCATGACCAGCATATTCAGTTCTCAAAAAGGACGAAACTTCTGATCCAGTGAAAATCCCGAGAGGGATTAGTGGCGTGTGGTCAAGAAACTCCTCAGTTCCATGGAATTTCGATAGCTGGCACACTTGGCTCGTGGGTTTTTACCTGCAGCACGGATCACGTCCTAATGGTTGACGCAGGAGGTTAACCAAGGGAAGAGATCAAATGAGAAGAAAGGCTCTAAAACTAGGTTTGTTAGCTAAAATCACGGAAGTTGGCAAAGGGGGTAATCGGGTGACCCGCCATTATACCTTCGCCAGTTGGGCTGGCCTCCGGACCATACCAGTGGCTCCAATACCTTCACGGTGTAGAATATAAATACACTACCTGAGTGTTATGTCTTCTTTCGTCTTCAAGGAGGTCTCGGGACGCCACACTGCTATGTGCCGAATATACGTGTGTTATCCGAGTGCTATGTCTTCTTTTGTTATCAGGAAAAATCTCGACGCTACTGTAGGGCGAGACTCACCGGTCTCCTCTACCCTGTTCCTAGTGTTCCTAGAACAGCCTGGTTGATTTGGTTTTGACATCTTTATTAAGGGGGAAAGATAGGGAGGAATGGTACAATGTTTAGGGAGGAAAAGAATCGCAATCACAGCTAGGCACGGAAGGCGACTGCCCTCTCACCAGATTCGAATTTCCAGATTGCCTCCTCCCTGAAAGGTACATTAAAACAACATATGTATTACACTGCAGTAGTTATATCAGAAAGGTGCTGGCACCCTCAAGGAAAGAACAGAAGCTGCCTAAGTTCAGCACCTTTTTCATACTTTCATTTGTATTTTGAAATGGTTAAAACTCCATTACCCATGTCAACGCATTCCCCTATCGAAATAAGTTTAGATGAAAATTCAGTCCATTATGTGTTGTCCTATTCATAGCACAGGTTTCAAACGCGGTTATTAGTTAAAATGTTTATTAATTTTTATTGGCTACAATTTAAGCCTACACCCATGAATGCATTTCCGCAGTTGTTTTTGACTTGTTTAAATCTGCACCTATGAATGAGAAAAGACCGAAATTTTCAACCACTGGGTTACATGGTTTTGATTGGTTGGGGTGCCGCTGAGGCCTTTTTTTAAGCCGTGGCATGAATGTTTAACAAAGGAGGTATTTCCTCGGTTTCTCGTCTGTGTATTATCCCATGCTTCTGTTGACATCGATTGCCGCACCTAAATAACCCCACTGCTTACTTATCATAGGCTGACATCAAGATATTTAGTTTGCTGCTAATTTAATAATCCGAGCCAGCGTTTTGTTTATCTTATCGGTCGTTTCCTGTGGATGCTTATTTGATTTTTTATGCTTTATTCTGCCTTAGCTATTATCATGTTACTTTGTCCTTTATCTCTCCAAAACACATACATTACCAGGCACTGACTTCCGATATGCAATTTCAATGTGTCCGTCATTAAGCATCGAGCGTTTGGGTTTGGACTTAACTCAAGGTAATTTTATGCTTTTCTTCTTCGCCTGTGTAGGCGATCAGACGATTTATTGTTTTTTTCTCGTACATCGTCTTATCAACTCTTCGTTGGTCGATTTACGGTCATAAAAAATATGTGGTTTTACCATTTATGTTCGTTAACCGTTAACGTGCAAGATATGCAAATATTTCCTCCTCTTCTCAGAGCCACTCCAATTGCTGAATGATTTGCTGCGCCAATGCTGGTTCGATTTCTCACAAATCTATGCCATTGAAAGTCAAATTGATGGCGATGTACAGAAGGATAAAAACTCTACCAACACCCAAATTTACACACTCCTAACAGATCGCCTCAATGCCCTCGTGGTGCTCAGTCCCCGAGTCTTCTTTCGACTTAGAAATGCAGCTAATTTGCGACAGCCAATGCTTATTGCCGTCTACCGTATGTGAGTACTTCTAATTTAAGCTGTCCAAAAACCTTTGCATTCAAACAGAGGTTGTTTTACTACCTACTGTACTCGTGTCTTGTGTGATTTAATTCTTGTGAGCAAGCGCACCAACTAAGCAGGTGATGATGTTTTGCACGGTCCTGAGTGGTTGTTCATTTGCTTTCGTTCGTGGGTTTAAGGGGTGTAAATTTTGGATCCTAACTAGTTATTGCAAATTATTGTTTTACTCGTAGCCGCCCGATTTACTTCCGACTCACGACATTAAAATTCGCCTCAAAGTTAATTCACGATTTGGTTGAATAGGCATTGGCCGGCTTATTTGTTCATCAAATCTGCCATTGCACACTATATTGGGACCTTTCGTTAAACATCAATAGTTTGCTGCCCTAGACACCCATTACTAGATCATTCACCACCATTACTTTTTGTGATTTATGAATCGAATGAACTTTTGATGCACCATAGCTCGAAGCCTTCCTCACAAGCTAATATGCTACCTGTATGTGTTGTTCAATTTTTTCTCGCATCTTGAAATTTCTGGACCAAGTATTAATCACAAATAATATCGAATAAGTGTGCAGAAGATCAATTTGTGTTGAGATAGCACAAATAAGCTCAATGTTTTGCGGTATTCAAGAGTCAAATCAACCACGTATCAAGGATTTGATTTTAGAAGAATAGTTTTTTGAAATATCATTTACTCCCCATAGTCATAAACTTAGGTTAACGCATTAATTATGGATACATTGGGTCACAAATTTTCAAACCTTTTTACTGCTTTTAAAATTGCAAGCGGAAATTTAGCGCCTCGGTACAACGGTAGTTTTTTTCAATCACCGCTTCTTAGCATGTAAAATCGGTTGATATTTGCAGCCCGAGGTTCCATTAATCGCAAAAATGTGTCAGCTGCATTGGCTACTTAGAAAAGTTCGGTTAACTACGCATCTCTTTACAGTCTTTCTTTGGCCCTGTGGTGCCGTCAACGGGCGATCCGCTGCGCTGGTCTGCGCTGCCTGCGCTACTACGTTCGCACTAGCGAGGATGTAGATGCGTTCCTGGCTAATCGCTTGGATCTCTTTATAACCAGGTAGGCTCCTCTTGCCACCTCATAGCCACTTTCTTTGCTGTATATTGTGCGACCTCTTAGTCTTTTCGCCACCTGGGTTTTACTATTTTTGTGCGTGGTCAGGTTGCTGTTCGCCTGGTTTCACGATCAGGATGTTGTGGCCCATCTGAATGTTGTTGCTCACCTCGTGAACTTTTAAAATTGGAGTAAATTCATCTTACTATTCGTTGTGTGGTAGGAAAACTGCTTTTTTATTCAAGCCGCAAATTGGTTTGCAAGTAGTCTGCCTTCATACCAGACTTGTGTAATGACATTACCTTAAATTTCTCCGTATCTTTGTCTTACTTTCAATTAAAACATCTTTTAGCTGTTTAAACTAAGCGAAAAGCAGGCATCTTTCGATGTAGCTTAAAGAGGCAAGCGAGATTGAACAATTTTTTCAGGATCTTTATTCTTTCCATAAACCTAATATTTTTCTTCGAACCCCTTAGAGGAATTATTGTGGGAATGTATTGTCTTGATCGGATTTTGTAGTAGCTGCCGTTTGTAATAGTGCTAGATTCGTGTTTAAAATGTTAGTTTTAAAAACGCTTGAAATTGTTTTCTGTTTGTCAAGCCTCAGGCATGTTTTTCGGCATTATAGTTTATCATGAACAACGTATTCTATTATGCAGTCAATAATTTACATCAATTGTGCCGTAAAAACTATGCCAACTATAAATTTTGTCACTATTTTGGCTATCAGACAGCTATACTGAGCTAAACTCTGATTCCACTTATATTTAAAAGAATAAACCTAAGAAAGGAGTAATTTTTTGTGAGTTAATCAACTTACCATTTAGATGTCTCGATCTGTCTTACATGGAGGAACTACTAGCCCTCCTATCAATTATAAATGAGGACTCAAGATGCAGTGAGCGGGCCGAGAAGCCGCAGCACATACAACGCCCTGGCGGTCCTTATCGAAGACTCCTGGACAATTCTAAATGCGTCGTGCGAAACGTTGACTTCCAGCGTCCCTTTCACGGTAAATTGGACGTTGCACCATTAATTGAAATTCATCAGGAAGCTATCATTTTAAATTTAGTTTTGTCGCCCTTTTTGCGGTCGTTACAACGTTAGTCGATTATTGTCAGTAATTCACCTTTATATCCCGTTTTTAATTAACAAGACGGGATTTGGTAGTAATAAGGGAAAAATAAGCCTATCAAGCGTTACTGACGGATTAAGTTCAGTTGTTCATTCTGCCCACTTAAAATAATGTGCAGCGTCTTGGATTGGCCAATGTTTAATTATTTTGGCTTAAAAGTGGTAGTGTAATTGAACCTCCTCTAACGTCATTCCCCAGAACAGCGCTTGTACATCTTTTGAAGAGGTTTTCATCGAGTTTTACAGAAAACCTATGTCTACCATTAGTGTCCATGGGTTGGGAACATACTTTTATGCCCTTGTGTTTATTGTGGCTCACTCGGTTACCACTGAATTGAAGGCTAACATTGAACCGGGATATAGTCGATCTAACATCTCCATTCAGGCTTCCTACGGCCTCCTAAACTGCTATTTGGTTTTTGTGGATCATTATAAAGTTTTTTTTTCTCTTGATCGTGACTGCAGCCAAACATCTGGACATTATACATCACATTAGTGTGACTATTTTTGAACTTTTAAATCCATTGCAAGAGACAAACTCATTCTCTTTTCGAACGTGTCTGGAGACGAATTTGTGTTCGCAGAATACATTCTATCTACAAAACGAGTTTAAGTACTATCTTATTTCTGAGGCATATTTGTCCTCATACTATGCTACAGGCGGTGACGTACCGGACAATTATTTTCACCATGTGCTCATATAGGTCTCCTCGCTGCCCCTAATTTAGCCTTCACCGTTTTCAACGCTGGTGTACTTCTGTGAAAACTTATTGGAGGGTTATTTTATTGCTCTAATCGGTATATATCAGAAATGGTTTTTTTCATTTACCCACTTTCATGATGGGGCTGCGATTGCTTTTCTTCTCTCTGAAATCCGGCAGTACTCCTTATACAATCGTCCATCTTTGGTTTTTCGTTAACGCATATCTCGCTCCTAGCATGCTTCATTTGTCCTAAGATTATTTTTAAACCCCTCCAGTAAAATCAAACGTATTGTTGCGCTCTCTTTAAAAAAGAGTTATTGATTGAAAATTTCCAAATTTAGCTACCGAGGCGATTTTTCTCAACTTGGTTAATCCTCACGTCAGTGTATCATTGGAGTGATGGAACCTAGGCCTCTAGTTCTGCTCACTTATTTATCCGATATGAATATCTTTAACATGTCAGACCTTATGAAATAATTCGTTACAATTTTTAATAAAGAATAATAAAAAACACTTCATTTTATTCGTTTACGCAATGTTTTAAAGGAATTTTTATTAACGTTTTGCACAAGTGTTTTTTGCTACATCGCTTCCACTGTAGAATTCCTAGTTGGCGATGATGCAAATCTTTCACTTTTAATAGAAACTTGAAGAGCTTTTAATTATTATAGAATCAAAAGCAACATATTCGTTTACGATTGTAACGGTGCCCCTCCACAGGGATGCAACTTAAGAATATGGAAGTCAAAATTGGTGTGCAAGCACAATACTCGAGGAACTTAGGCGTTATACTTTTATCAACCTGATAGTTATGCATTGTAGTACTGTAGCAGGGAATAAGAATTTTCAAGGAATGCTTATGCAAGTATCGATTCAAATAGAGTGCTTAAATAAATTAAAAGTGTTATGCCTCAAAGTCCATCAAAAGGGTAGTTTGGGAACCGTAGCATCAACAACGTCAAGTATACTTCGTGTTATGTTGGTTATGCAGCATAGATGGCATGGTGATGAGTACGTTTAATTAGAGAAAAAAGTCAGTGCACTGCTTACTAGAAGCAACCTCGCGTGCCGCAGCGATGGACACGACGGAACGGTTAGCCGTAATCCGCCTGGCCTTCCACCTCCTCCGACTCTCCGTCCGTGCATTCTCACCTGACCTCGTTCACGGATTGGCTGCCGCCTTCGCCTCAACGTCCGCAACCGTCTTACGTCCAGCGGAGCTCAACCTAAACAAGGAAGTAGGTGAGGAGGCGCCCCCTCCCTTTTCACCCCTCTCTGCTCAAGTCAGCGCCACCCGGGATGGAGACGTTTGTCTTCGGGGCTACCTCCTCTTACTCACCGAATTCGGTATGAGAAATCTCTGCGCTTTGTGCGTGGATCACTAATTTTTTTCCGACTTAATAACCCATCGAGTCTGCGAAAAATGCCAGTAAGTTTTCTTCGACTGACTTTTTTAAAGAACTAATTAGCCTTTGCACTCGCAGCAACTTATTGGGTTTTGAATGTGAGGTATGGATATATTTTGTCGACTTACCTTATTGAATCAGTATGTCTTGATATATACCTTTGCGTGTCGGCTTAATAGATTCTCTTACCTAGCTCTAGGTCCCTCTAGACAAGGTATTGTTTACTGTGGTGATCTCAGCAAATGTGTTGTCCTTAAACAATCGAAATGGGAACGGAATTCCTGTCCTCGGGATTGCCTCGCTGAAATCTGCGTTTGGAAGGTCTTTGCTAGCGCTTGCACCCTCTTTAGGTTGCGTGGCTCACTAAATCCCTAAGGGCACGAATAAATACATCTTTCAAGTTAAATAAAATATTATCAAGTCACCTTGGTTTTCTGACAGACTAATAACGATATCGGAAATAGACCCGTGGCTCTAATTGGTAAGCTTGCCTCATCCTTGGATCATGGGATTTTGGATCAAATTTTCATCTGTCGTTCCTTTCCATCCCTTGGTAGTCGATAGCTGCTTCCTCCTTCTTCTCCTCGCTGTATTTGGCCTGGAGAAATTATTCTCTGGAGCCTACAGTCTTTGGTAGTCGAGCCGTCCACCTAGTTCTTCCTAGCGCTCGATAATGCATGCATTTAGTGGGATGCCGGTACGTTTTGCTCAATCAAATTTATTTTGAGCTGAGCTTGAAATAAATTATTTGGCGTTGGAAAGGTACTAATGGCTCATTTATAGGTGCGTTGGGCATCAAAATCACTTTTGGGTTCTTGTTTCTCAAGTTTTTTAGTTTTCTCTGTGAATCTGAGACCCTTTCAAGCTAGTTGCAGTTTACTGCACTTTTCAATGATCAGTCGAGCTTTGGAACTTGAGAAGCAGTATCATTTGGTGGTTTTAGTGTTAATTAGCTGTTTGGGACAATAATATGATCCGTAAGTGTTTAGGCCACTGGATTCTTGCGTGTGATATCGGTCATTTCGGTGGATGTGTGCTCTACGTCTCATGTTAATGCCAGTGTTTTGGTAGCAACTGTTTAGGGTAAGTTAAGCGATGATTCCCGATCAGGTGCGGTTATTTGTGCGCGAAATTCTTCCTCTCCCTTTGATCTGTTGGTGCATTCTTCTGTTGTGGAAAATGAATTTGTGGTTAAATGCCCTTCGGACCACTTGAGTTCTGTTGTTGATAGTCGCCAAAATTTTGAGTTACTGTTTTTGATTTCTCACATAATTGAAGTCACTTGTACCTGGCGTATGAAATGTAAAATGGTGGATTTGTCTCATTGTATGGCAATTAGTGCAGTGCATTATATTGTGTGTTAATTAACCATCTTATGATGCCCTCGGTTTCGTTGTTTCTATAGTTGCATTAAGCAGCTCCGGAGAAATGCACCACATATCAGTGTCTGTCACCATATCTAAGTCAAAGTTCTATGCATCCCAGATATTGACTAGTTTGGTGAACTGAATTCAATATAATTATAGTGCGGATTGAGGGCCTGAGAGATTTGACTTTTGTTAGTTTTTATTATACATTTATGGATACCGTGTTGAATACAAGCTAGAGTTACAAGTCGGATGGTTTCCAGTAAGGTACAGTAACTACAAAGGATATGGGTACTATGCAAATGAATGGGGAGTACAGCACTGATACTTTTTCAATTTTGATGCTCGAAGTAATGCGCAGCTCTGAAGTGCACGTTGAGCGTTGTAACGAGGGGTCGGATCTTCCAGCTGTGGCCACCTCTTGCTGCCCTCCGCTCGAAGTGGCTGTTAAGTCACTGTTGAATGCTCTGCCATGCTGCGGAGAGCCCGGTGGGGTTTCCAAACATCCCGCCCAAATCTTTGAGATGGTCCTCCTCGCTCTCCTCCGTCTCTCCGCGGAAAGTCAATACGGTCGACGGGTTGTCGATTCGTGGGTCTTTCAGGTAAAAAAATCGTTTCAATTACCAACCCGGCTTCAGGGGCATCGACTGAACGGCACCATTAGTAGTGTTCTATCGATTGGCATCCTTTATAAGTCAATCGACCGAGTTCCGTTGCAGCTGAGTTCGATTATTTCCTCAGTTTTGTTTAAAAGTATCATATAGGTTTTCCGGGAATAGTTCGTAAAATGCAGCATTGTGGCATGTGCTCTAGGTTCTGTCAAAGTAAATCCTTCCCGTCACCGACCTTATTGGCATGAATGAAGTTTGTGGTTACGGTGGCTACTTGACGTAGAGAGTACATCGGCGATTTATCTTCGATTTTGGCTTCGAGTAGGATTCTGCTCGCAACATCAATCCTCTCATTGCCGTTACTTTTGGAGCTACTTACTCATATGAAAATTCGAAAGAACTTGATTATTGTTTAGCATTAATCAAACAGTCCATTGACCAAATATTTTATAAAGTGCGTTCGAAATATTCACTGTTTTCATGGTGTAGAATGAATTTCAGAGTTTCACAATAATCGCTTTTTCATGAAAGTAATGAGCTTTTATTCGATTTTACTTTAGAAATGCGTCGCTCCCTTCCTGGTTACCTATCCCTTAGTCACCATTCCAAGGTCTCCTTTTGACTCGTACGTTGTCTTTGCGTACTGTTTATATCCCAACCTCTTTTGCATAACGATTTTCATCCAGTCTCTTTCTTGTTTTACTATAATGAGGTCCTCTTAGGGATGTTATCTTCTGCATTGATTAGGCGCAACCAAGGTCAGCTATGAATTACACGAAATATTTAATGTGTTTGTAAGTGAAACTGTGTAATCTGACTTTAAGACAAAAATGTCATTCATCCCGATAATTTACACCACGAAAAGCTATCTTCCAATACGCTACTGGTCTGACTCGCTATTCGCGTGATTTGATTTGAGCATTCAACTTTACAGTCTTTTCGTGCCAGCTACTAATTTGACTACCAAGATTACTGTTTCTCACGATTTTAGAAACCCATCCTTTATCGCCGCTACGAGGGACTCCCTAGTACTTGCTCTCCGCTCCTGGTCAGGCAAGTGTTTGTACTACTCTTGGGTCTCTGGGCTTAAAATATTTGATTTTCCCGATGCTAGGTTTGACGCTTTTTTCGTGAACATAGGCTTCTAATTAATTTTAGCCAACGTAGCAGTACAGACAGTCCACGTAAGACTAGCAAATGATCTTCAAAGCGACTATTAGATTGTCTTTGATCTTGGATTGAATGCTCCTTCAATTGTCATACAGTTTCCGCTTATTTCGTCAGTTTGGTACGTATTCCCTTATTCTTCTTGACTTACTGTAGGCCTGTTTTATTTTCTCCGCGAGGGAAGACCATGTCTGCATGCCCTGACTCAATCTCTTCTTCTTGGCTCCTCAAAAATTCGAGTGAGCATGTTTCATTTACCCATTTATTTGAAGGAAACTCGACCTTTTTATTGCAATCCACTTCTTCCAGTTCTTTGATTTTTTGAGCTGTCCTCAAGGGAATTTTAAGTCCTCTGTTTGATATTCATTTTGTGATATCAGTCGATTCGAGATTTGTTTGACAAAATGGGATATCGTCCGATGTCATATCAAGTCACTACTGCGTTTACTGCGAGAATCTTCACTCATCTTGGTCATTATTAAATGTATCGCGAATATTCGCTCCTAGATACTGCAAATACATATTGTGGACTATCCTGTTGACATTTTTGTTGACACCATTGCTGATGCAAATTAGTGATCCAAGGAATTTATGGCGTTCAAAAAAGTATTTTAAATGTTGCCACCATGTATGGTGGGCTTTGACTTGATATGTTCATTCCTGCCCCACTCATCACTCTTCAGGCGCTTGGTTCCTGGTCTGTTTTTTGTCACAGGTGTAAACTCGTTTTATCAGCCAATTTGAACTGCGTTTTAAGGGCGTTGGATTTTGAAAAGTTAATTTACTGTCACACTGACATTTACTTTACGAAAAACTTAAACACTTAGAGAACCACTGAGTAGATTTGTCGACACCCAGAATACTTTTTTTACATTTTCGTTGCAATACTTCGATGATATCGGTGTATTGCTTGTATGTATTAAAAGAAATTTGCGGACTGATAAAGGCATGGTTTTACTGACCACCAAAGCATTATTAGCCCTACGGCGCATCGTAAACCGTAAAAATTAATTATTTCCATAGAATGTCACTGCCCAAATTTCCACATCCATGGTTCCAGCTCCCACTATACTTTGCTTATATTTTTTTCAGGCTTTGGTGCTCAATGTGTTATACAACCTCTTTCCTGGTGTTCCCGCCCTCATCCGTACCAATCCAGCTGACGATACAGCCAACGCAATAGCGGGTGATCTTTCCTCGGCCCTTTACACAGGCCTTCCCTATCCTCTGGCTTCCCATCACCCAGGCAGAAGGCAGCAACAGTCGCCCTTTCCCTATCTGGATGGCGATTTCGTCGTAGAAGAGGGCCTCCGTCTCTTCCCTCTCGTCCAATCTGCAGGCACAGACGTCCTGGAGGCTCACTCTGCCCTCCTTTTATGCTGTTTTGCCCAAGCTGGCCTCTTTGAGGTAGGAATGTGTCGGAATATTATTGATAATATGATTAAAACGACTGCTTTTGTACTCATTTGTCACTTTTCTAAGATTCTGGGTATTAATCACTCTCGAACATCGATCCGACACTTTTAGATTACCTTTTACAGCTGTTTGCCGGGATTGCCTCTAATCTCAGGCGACGCTGCTTGAGTACCAGCGTTTTGAGTGGTGGGTCAGGTTTTTTACAACATTTTAAAGGAGTGCTGCAGCACTATTGTCGTTGCTTACGGTAAATACACTATCTTGTCATTTCAAATGTGTTTATTTTGAATGACCAGTTACTGAATGTCGTGTCAATCCCAGAAAAAATACTGCAGCAATATTCCATTTCTGCCCCATACCGATTGGGACATTATATTTTAGGAGTTGTCTTCTGGGCGTTTTTGTAAAAGATCTTTGGTAGCCAGCAATCAACTGGCAAAAATTTTGGTTAAAATTTTATTGGAATGATTGTAGTTAAGCACTTTATTTACTCCTGAAAAAGCTATATAGCGTTTTTGAAGGGCCAAAATTGTGTACCTTATGGTTAATCGATGTAGAAGCAGAAAGTCGGCAGGTTGGAAAATCGTGTATTACGTAATACGGTTACTTTTTTCATGCTTGTGTGCTAACATAACTACTAAATATTTCGGGGTCATTAGTCCTCTACTTTTCCCTAGATTAAAATAGGAGTTGCTATTTTCTCAAGCATAGCTGAGTAACCATCTCCTAAATGGTTTAATGTTAACAAAGGGCTCCGAAAATATGACAATTCCATATTAAATTTTAGTCAAAATTAATTTCTGTGTTCAAATGTGAGGAGTAGTTTCAGGATTGTAGTCTACTCCAAAACAATCCTATTTTCCTCTAGGCACTGATTTCTGCTGTGGATGACGCCTCACTCTACGTATCAGCTGCCGCGGGTCAACTGTTAGGCATTCTTTCATTTCGGGTGGGTTTGCCCTGGTATTCCATACGATTTTCTGACTGTCCTCCTTCCGCTTCTCCTCTTCCTCTTCAATTCAATACCATCCCCATTTCACTTAATTCAGGCTAATTCTCAACTCCACCCGAACTCCCTGTGTATGGAGCGTCTAACGAGTATTCCCCTCTTGCGAGACAAGTTCCGTGCTGTGGACTTCCTGGAAAGAGTGCATCAGATTTTGATGGAGCGTCATCACGCTGGCGCACGTCCGGTTCTCTCCGCACCGCTCATTTCGCCCTTCCTGGAGTGCCTCTCGCGGCAACAGCGAAGCCCATCCACTCCCTTACCGCCGTCGGTGCCCACCTCTGCCGGTAGTAAAAGCGCAGACATCGGTCCCGTCTCACTAATGCAAAAGGCATCTGTCGGTGCCGTAACAACCTCTCCATCTTCTCGAAGTGTGTCTGCTTCTCAGGTGGTCCGGAGCTCTCTTTTTCTCGTGCGCTTTTGACGATTCTTCGCTCTTACATCTATATCATTGAGTTGTCATCGCTTTTGGTCCGTTTGGCACTAATTCTGTGACGATTCGTTGGGGGCACCTGAGCTTAGAAATAAATATGGGTCCATTTTAATTGAGTCTCATCTATTTATCTTATTCTTTCCTCACTGGAACTCTAGAATCAGAGTTGCCTTTGAAGACGTTCTGAAACACGGAAGCACGCAGGGCTCTATGCCGCCAGCGTTGAATTGGTTTCTTGGAAAACTCGAAAGTCCTACGTGACGAGATAAAATTAAATCAAATATCGTTGTGCTAAGGAACACTGCACTTTTAATATAACACATTATGCTGTGTAGTAGATGTGAAACAGTCCATGAATGATTCAAGACATGCAATTATAAGCCATGAACCGCACTGTTTTGCCACCATCTTCACGGCAGCCTTTGTGTATCTATTTGCAGCAATGAAACCTGAAGGCTGAGAGAAAGATGGTGAAATTGCATTTGAGAATTCTTTCATGACACGGCGCCTAGAAGATGTAGTGGCGGCCAGTTTTTGAAAAATCTGGTGAACAATGTACCGTTGTCAGTAGTTTGGACAGCAGTGGTTAGCCTGCTTGATCACAGGCTCTTTCTCCAACATTTCCATTCGATGAATTACAGTAGATTCCGTCAGCCGTAATCGAGTAACTAGTGATCCCAACGAGTAGCGCCTTCCAATTTTTACTACCAACAAATTTGATATTAATGCTAAAGATTTCACTCATTTTTTTCGGTGCACTTTGTGTTTATACTGTACACCACTTGCAGCGGTAGCGGAATTTCTAGGGCAAGCGGTTTCACATTCAAACTTCTGACGATTTCCTGAACGTAGATGAAACCACTATATGAATAAAGGTGGATTATCAGTGTTTCAATAACATCTTTATCCAGATAAATAAAGTGCGCCGATAATTTCGACACTAACATTGAGCCTTCTTTTGGTAGCCTGTTTATACTCTCCGAGAGGTGATAAAGTCGGAAAATGTCTTTTCCCATTTCTTGTTAATCGTATTTACTTCTCAGCTTGCAGAAATTTGTGCGAATCGAAAGAGATGCAGCACTGACCACTTAGTCTTATGATATTTGCCTTATGTAAACATTCACTTATGAACTCCATGGTCAAGCACTATCCCGCAAGACCAGTGGGAGGCTCCCGTCTTCTTCACTTGCTTTCAGTACACCTCTTTCAAAATAGATCTACTAGATCATTTTAGGGAGTAGCGGAAGTGCTATCAAAAGATATCCACCGTTCGTTTTTTGGCAATGTTCAATCTTTTTTCCGTCGAGTAAAGAACCGTGATGCCTTCAAAACTCACCCAAGATGGCGCTCTAACCTCGGTAATGCTCTTTGAATTGTGAAAAAAATCTATTGGTTTACCTTGCAAATATAGCACCGTCTGGAAATATAAAGCACTTGGTCTTGCAGAATTTTGAGTACTATTTCTTTTAGAGCAGCCCCGGTCGACGGTACTCTCGGGAAATCCGTATTTACTTGCTGTTTCGCTTATTACAATGGTATTTTCCCCATATTGATCGAAAGGTGCTCGTCCGCAACCCATCATTACTTTGTGGAATGGCTTGCCAAAACAGACAGTCATCTAGCTGTGCGGGGCTGTAGATTCAAGTAATTGACAGCACTATTGATTGTTAGGAACTCAAATTCATAGGATTTTTCGTCAAAACTTACCACAGATTCCTGTGTAAAAAAATATTAACATCATCAACACTAACTGTGGAGTAGTCCGCGTTAAAAAATTGATAGTGGCAGAATAGATTATCTGGTACACTGCATAACTTCTTTCTTGATAGCTTTAAAGCCGAAAAAGAAATTTTCAACTGCTTCTTACTTTCCAAAAGTGCTGCGTGCTACTTTTGTTACTAATAGCATACTAAGTAACAGAAATTGAAAACCGAGATTCTTGTTCTCATGATCAAAAAACTGGACTTTATACTATTTGTAAAAACTGTATCCAATTGTCTTGGTGCAATTCGACCCGATTTGTAAATGGATTCGGCTCTCTAACTCTGTTTTCTGCCACCAGTTTGTTAGTCTACTTTTATAATTTTAGTAAAATGTTTTCTGTTGCCCCTTGCTCAGTACACTGACGGTCTCCTCGAGGCGGTGATCGTCGCCAGTGGTGTCTGCGCCTCATCCTCCATAGCTAACACCATCACAGTCCAGTCCCTTGCTGGGTGCTCCATGGCGGCCACTTCGATGCTGGGAAAGAGTGCCTTCCTCACTCATGTTCCTATTTCCCATCCCCCCATTCCCGGTGTCCCCAGCACAACTCTCATTCTCTCCTCTCCCTATGAGTGGGATTGGGACGTTCTCGCTTCCTGGGCTCGCAAACTCTCTTCTTCTGCTGGTCTTTTCTCCTGGAAGGATCAAAACAGTCAGATGTGAGCTCTTCGTCCTATCTCTTTGTATTGTAACTCACTCCACTATGACTACTATATCCCTCTCTGCGTGTAACAGCTTCCTGACACGCCTGATCGACTTCATCACACCCAATTTAGAGGTACTCTCTTTGTCATTGGAAGTGGCGTACCCCACCGGGACGTCGCCACTCTACCCGCTCCTTTTGAAGCCCATGAACAGCCAAGAAGACGTCTTTCCCCTATCACCGGCCTACCTGCGCCTGTTAGGTCAACGGGGTGTTATTGGCAGCTCTGCTTCTTCCTCGAACTCGAGAGTCATTCCCAGCCTCTCCTGGACAAGTTGTAATTGGCCTCAGACCTGGGCTGCTGCTACTCTACTTTCTGGTTTGCTGCCCCATCTATCGCTCTATCAGCCCGTGTGTTTGTGACGATTTTCGCACTATTGCCATTGTCTTAGGTGCTCAGTACCTATATTCTGCTTTTTTGCTTATATTTAGGCTTTCTCTGGTTTCTTTGGCCTCCCTTTTTTATTTTTGCGTGGAGTTTACGATTTTCGCTGTTTTATTGCTAGATGTTCGATGAACTCTTAGATCCGGTTCGTTTTGTCAGTCATCACTCAGTACAGACTTTAGTAATTGGCTCTTGTTGGCATGCTTTCATCTTGATGGTAACTTGTTCATCCCTGTCCGTTGCAAATAAGAGCTCGGGGGATTAATAATTCTCGAAATTTTTTTTAAATTCAGTTCTTGCGAATTTATTTGAACGGTTCTGTCGACCCCGACGACATTTGGTCGAGCCAGCTTTCTTGCAGGAGAGCTGACCTACTTATCAATGAAATCGACTACGTTGGGATAATTCCATTTTTCTTTCTGCCCACCGTCTCATCCAATCTGTTGTAATGGATGTTCCTTGACATTTATCAATGAGCAAGCTGTCATAGTGCCTTTGCAGTGCTGGGCTACCTAATGGACGGTATTATTGTTTCGGTTTTGTACTGGGCTTTGCAACATCATCCCCTAACTATCGTCTCCAACATTTACAACTTTTAAAGGTGCCTATAATTTTTGACCTCCAAAAACTACCCTGTACTTTCGGTAACTACATCAGCCAATCGGTAACCAATGCTATAGCCTTGCTGTTTGGTACTTACACTCGATATTCACTTTCCTTCATTCTCAACAAAACTATAACAAGTGAACGATTGATTGCAGTGTATAGCTCGAGTCCTCCACGCAGTTGTTACCAAAGTGCTCGTGTCCAAGAATAGATTATTTACAAATGTAAGGGTAGGTTAGTGGTGTATTAACAGAAATCGCATTAGTAGGGCCCCATGACATCGCAACGATGATTGAAGTCATAGAGACCCAAATGTTTGCATAGTTAAACAGACAACATCGACGACCACAGTTCTGCCCCAGTACAACCGCAGTTTCGATCCATTTCTCATTAATTTTCGCGTACTAATTCCCGTTCGAAAAGACGCGTCACCACTGTCTCTACTGCGATGGGGCAGTTGGTGCTAGGGCTTAGGTATTTGTATCTGTAATTTTTAACCTGGCATTTCTTATTGCTTTGTCGACTCCTAACTTACCTTTGGTGTCATTGGGGTCTCACTTTGGTATCCCTATAACTACTGTCTCAATTTTTCTTTAGTGTCGACTTCTGGTTTGGTCTAGTTAGGCGCATTGCTTGAGTCGGTATTTTGGTATCGCCTAAATGAGCTAGCAAATCGTAGCTAACGTTTTGGATTTAGTCGAAAGTTTGAATTTGAAATGCTGGGTGAATTGCTCCCACTTTGTAGTATCTCAAATTTTTCCAATTAGTAATTTTGTTAACAATCGTTGATATGTTCCCAGTTCGTTTGGTGACTTATTTCAAAGTTTCTATAATTCTGATGGAAAGGCGTTAGTTGAATAAGTAATAACTTACTTCGGTCTGTGGTCAGTGTGTATTCTATCTTTCTGCACATGGTGGTACTACGCCAGTTAAACAATGTGTATGCCAATAGTTCCCGATTCTTGCTTCGCCAACGATTGGGAATACTTCCGCCGTTTGGGTGCTGTGTTAACTAAACCTTTGATATTGCATTTTGTTTCAACTCGAAATTTTGCTCTCTTTGTTGAGTGGCCTCATCTCTTAGGGTCAAGCGGAACCATACTCCGTAATTTTGTTTAGTTTACAGCCCATTAATTTTTTGATGAGTATCCGCCTTTAAAACTATAGTATTATTTCACCAATTGTGAAAGTGAAAATGTGAACTTGTTTTTCTTTTGTGTGTGGAGTTATTACCTATTTACTTCATTCATATTTGAAGACTTGGTAAAAACGATTTCTCTTGGAAGTGAAGTCTTCATCCCTTTTGTGAGATAGTGTTATGTAATTGGTTTTCCTACTTGCATTTAAGGCTATTGTCTTTTTCATCATAGTAGAGTTATCAATATGTTATATCGGCACGCTGATTCACCTGTTCTACTTTTTGACTGTCGCAGGACAGCTTCCCGGGCGCACAGTTGCGTCGTTTCCTCATTTCTTTGCGCAGCTGCCTACTGGCAGCAATCACACCGAGCGCGTCTTCCATGACCTGCGCTCACCTCCTCTTCCAACCCAGCCACCTCCGTGAGCACTGCTCCTCCCTCCTCCTCTTTGGTCTCGGCCGTCTGCTATCATGCGAGGCTGGCTCCTCCCTGCTCCACGACATGGAGATTCCAGACCTTCTCCTCAGTCTCATTGTCGGTGGCAGCGGTGTTGGCCAGGATCTGTCGGCTCTGAAGCTCCCAAATCTCCTGAAAAATCTCCATAAACAGCGTCTCCTTTGCGCCAAATTTCTCCTCCCCTCGATGAGCTACACTGGCAGCGGTTTTGGATACAGCCTCCTTGCCACCATCTGCTCTTCCGGTCACACCGCGCTACGTCTGTTTGCCGTGAAATTCATCCGCCTCCTCCTCCGACTCAACATCCCTTCTACGGCGATTTGGCTTGTCTCCCTACTGCTCAACCTATCCTGTGATCGAAGTCCTAAGGTGTTTCACGAAGCTATTTCAGTTCTGGAGGTATGTCACCACATAAATCCTCTCCCCTTCTTGAGTCACTCTAATTCTTCTGTTCGCCTTTTTTTCAGGAGGCATGTCTCAATCCGATGTATCTGCAAGCCCTGCTCGACTACATGCAGACAGATGATAGACATAGTGGCAAGCGGTGCTGCACGGCCTTCCCCAGTCCCCTGTTGCGACTCCTATCCATCGGCAGTCTGTCCAGTCAACGCGTTATCGCCTGTCTCCTCGCCAAGTCTGCGTGGATGTTCAAGGTCGTTTCGACCCCGAAACCGGTCGCCTTACGATCTCCACTCGCAGTGTATCCGGGTGGCGGAATCAATGGCACACTGTTAGAGTGTATTCTACGCGCATGGATGGATGTGAGGCGGAGATGGGTTATAATACACCTATTACCGTTCTTTTTTGGTTTTGGAAGTTGATGTCGTTGGTCAGTAATCTCTTAATATTGACTAATTTAACAAGAATATATATCTGATTGGTTTATTGTTAATTATTTATTATTTGTGATTTTGGTAAAGTTGTTCGGGAAAAATTGCGTGGTTTATTTGTTTTTGAAACCAAAATTTCCAATATCAACAAGCCATTAGATCATTGTTTTTTGTGTACAAAAACTGACCGTATCTATTCATTTTTTATCCTGAATGATGAAATTCTTGTCTGTTTTTATTCTTCATATCTTAGTACTCTGATTTTTATAAATGGAAAACAGTTGGATTTGTGTTTCTAACATTCGGGTATGCTATCATATCATTTGCATTTCTCTTCGGCAGTCACCATCATGCTCCATTGCCCTTGTTACTAAAGTTTGATTCGGGAAATTTTATTGACAATATTTGGTAAAATAACAACATGTTGCCCGAGTTATTCTCCTATAGTAAGAATGTAGGCAAGCGTTACTGCACTATCATCAAGCCGAGTTTATTATTTTATGACTAAAGTTTAGACGAATGCAAATGAGTTCTTTTGGTGCTGCGATTTCTCCGTACAATAAAGTAATATACTAGTGAAACCTTCCCAGGGTTTTGCAATTGATATTTCCTACTTTTTTATCCATTTTCGTGTTTTGGCTTCCATGCTTACTACTCGATTTACAGTTGAGGCAGTCGTCGGACAAAAAAGTCCAGAAGCAGCTTTACTGTCAACGGTTGGGAAATTGGTTACATAGGCGGTGCAAACAGCATTGAGGCTGAATTTTGGGCGGTAAATGGGTTCGTTTAAACAGATATCTTACTGCATCGAGGAGATACAATTTCGATTAGACAGGACAATCTGGGGCCCACCATTTGCCTGGGTGCTTTTAGCCATTGAAATGTGAAGTCTCTTCATGTCTCTGTAATATTTGCCGCTTTACTTTTGATTTTCAGTAATCTGGTATTCTCAAAAAATATGGCTGAATTCAAATTACATTTTTTTACAAAAGCTTGCGAGTTATTTAGCTATTTCGTCAATAGCCTGGATTTTTATATTTTGAAGGAGTATGAGGGATTTTTTGCTGGATTTAATTATTGAGTAGGTTTCCTCTAGTCAGTTTATATGTACTTCTTTGGTTTTAAGAGGATTTTTTTCTAGCCATCGCTTATTTTTGATAAATCCTCGGTTCAAATTCACCCTGCAAGTCGTCATCACATCTCCAGTTGATGATTTTGTTTTCGTCAAGGCCCGTTTCCGATAATATAGATATTACAAATTCGAATACGATTTATTGTTTGCTCAGCTTACGATTGTATTTTCTAATAATCACTGCTCCTCTGTCAGATATACAACGAACAATATGCGGAGAGCATCGAGAGCCGTCTTATGAATAGCTTCCGCCTGCCGTCGTTGCAAAATCACTGTGATTCCACCACCGAGCTTTGTCCCAGATTCCTCCAGCATTGTCCAGCCTGTAACCACCAACTCAGCAGGGACTACGAGACTGACAAGAGAAGCACTGAAGTTGAAGACGAGTTGGAGGAGGATCTCTTTCTCGATCATCAAAGCAATCGACTCTTCTTCAGCCACTTGGATGAGGTCGCAGGGGCGGAAGTAGGGCTGGGGACCGAGGAGGAGGAAAGGGGGAGTAAGGAGGTGACTTTTGACCTCTCACCGGTGGCCGTTCAACTCTTCTATCGGAACAATGGCTCTCTCTTTGTCCCACTACATCTTTTCTATTGTCTGGCGCTTCAAGAGACCGGCTTTCGTGTGCTTAGGGACAACGGCTATCTTACGGTATGTCGGTTTCTGCATTCACTGCTCAGCTCTTCAGTTTTTGCAAAATGTGAGTCACTTACACTCATTTATGCTTCTCAAGGCGTTATTTTGCTGTGTTCGCTTAATCTGTGCTGCGCTTTGTTGTTTATCGATGCTACGCCCTTGTGACTCCGTGCTTATTTTTACCGCAGATTATTTTTGTATTTATTTACTATCTTATTTTGAGCCTAAATCCGCTATGTATGGATTGAATTTCAACTTTCAGTTTTATCGTACTTGATGTTTACTCAAAATCATCTGTAAAAACCGTTAGCGCTTTACCCATAGCTGCGTTCTTTTGGATAAGTTTTCTTAATTGACGGCTTATGGGTTTACATAACGTGTCTCAGTCGATTGAGAATTATAGTAGTGCTGTAGATGGAAATGCAAATTTTTAATACTTTAGCCGTAAAATGAGATAGTCTTCCATCTAAAATTTGGAGATCCTAACTGATTTTGTTGTCCGGATGACTTTGTTTTCCACCACATCACCTTGTCGAACTTCTTTTTAATGGTATCAGATAAGTGGGCAATATGGTGGGAATTTCTAACATCGGTATGTAAACTGTGAGGTATAGAGTTTAAATAACGATCAACAGTTTACCTAGTTTTCTATCTTATTCCAACCACTGTTCTCCAGTTCTGACTATCGCGTCACGACTTGACATTGTTTGAATGGATTGAGGGCAATAAATAATCTAAATTTGAGTAATCCTCTACCATAATCCGGTTTATGCTCTCAAGCATAACTTGCAGGTACTTGTGTATTTTGTTTAATAGGAAAGTTTTTAACCGTTTCATTCTCTATCGTTTACAATAAGGATGCTGTTGGTTTTACATATGGGTTAATTTCCTAGCTTTTTGTAAGGCAAAGGCGCACCGGTTTTCCTATTTTTTTTTATAAATGCGGTTGTTTGGTCGATCCTAAAGGAATGTTTAGTTTGAACAATTTTTCACTTCATACCTCGGTTTTATTTTTGTCCACTTTATTCTTAAATGTTTCCAACTGCACTCATTCCTTAGAACCTTGCTGATGCGTTGTCTCGGAGCTGCCATCCAGCTACCGATGACAGTGATGAAAGTCATTGCGCTGCGACACATGTTAAGGCCGCAATTTGGGCCCTGGCTAGTATTCTCGTCACTCCTTACGGCTCTCGATGGGCACGGGCTCCAGCCGTACTCCAAGATATCTTTTGGCTCATTGCCAACGCCGATTCTCTTTCCGTCCGTGGGTAAGTTTGGTCTGTTGTTTTCCCCATCTCAGTTCTTTTGTGGCTTAGAATTTTGGTGACAAAAAACCGTCTAGTTTAAGATGCATCCTTTGCGTATGCTTTCGATTCCCTTCAATCCGAAGTTTTTAGTACTTAACAGGCTATTTAATGATTTTTTGTCATCCCTATGCAATCGAAATTGTGATGCGACATCACGTTTTCCCACCACCAGGCAGCTACCTTGAAAAAGCACGTGAAAGGTTTCGTGGTTTCAAATTCCAATGGAGGAATGTTCGTGCTTTTCTGTTACCTCAGCTTCTGAAGCAAATATGCTTGCAAAATTGTTGCTTAGGCGTTTGTTTTACTCTAATGGTTGAGTGGACCTTTATAATCATTTCGAATTCGTCGCTTTAAAAAGACTTATGCAATCCTTGTCGACTTCAATGAAGGTAGTAAAACACTGGGTCGTTAATTTCGAAATTGATTCTAAAGTCGTGCACCAAAGTGAACGTTTGTTTAGATCGCTTTTATATGAAATTTTAGAATGTAGCACGAATCTTGCAATGGTCCATTATAAACTTAATTTCTAAAAATTGCGCTGCTTTTCACAATCTTCTCAAATCCGTTGAATAAATGGCGCAAATCTCGTTCCATTTAACAAAGTAATCGCCAAGTCCACGGCCTGCTTGGCCATCAACTTGACGTCATAGATTGATTTCTATCGTTCCCGTTCTCAGTACATCAGGAATGTGCACTTACTTCTCCACTTCTTTTTCACAAAAATCGATTTGGATTCCTAGTTTATTTATTTGGATACGTTGGGTGTTTCCTGAGATTGCTAATCGTGAACAGATTTTGAGAACTGTACTGCCTCTCTTCATGAAGATCAATATCATGCCTACTGGCAACCATTTTTCTACCCTATTACTTCATGGCCATTTCCATTCGCTTTGAAAATGTGGTGAGGATCGTTTTATCGCTTTTTAAACATTTTTACCAAAACGAATCATGGGGTTGTTTTAAAAATCTGTTCACTTTACAATATTGAGTTGAGTCAGCGTTGGTAGTGCTTACCCGGTGTCATTACAAAGTGCTTTTGCCTTTTTTCATCACAGGATCATCCGACTAGTATTTTACTTTAACAGATTCTGCAAGCATTTCTGCGGACCTGATAAAGTGCTATGGGTCCTTCTATCTCGCATTATAAATAACTATTTCGTTTCCAATGCATGGGAATAATACGGCCACTCCTATATTTCTTCATCGCAGAACCGCTTGCTTGCTAATCTAATTGGCTAGATTTCACCATCTGTTTTAAAGTGCTATGCATGTGTGAGTACGGATCAGGCAAGTTCCCACCTAGAGTAACCCAATAGGCGAAGGCTTCAGAACGGACGTTTTTACTGCTGGCAGTCTGAGTTTACTGGAAATGCGGAGTGTAGGTGTGCGCCTGCTAACGTGATGGAGCAATGGGATGCACAGATGGCCAGTATTTTCACGTTTTTATATCATTTTGAATAGCCTTAATCCTATGGTGAATATTAGTTCATTTAAAATCTTAGATTTATATTGATCAGTCGGCAGAAACTGAACGGGGGAATGGTCTTAAAAACTTCCTGTTCTCGGAAAACTATGCTCAAAAGGGAATTTCTAGAACATTGAAACTGGAATATTTTTTTGAATTTACAGACATTCCCAACACAATGGGTTCCTTTTCCTAGGAAATACAATATGCTTCCTGCAAATGGTCGTTTTGAGAACTGTATTATTGTGTCCCACGATCAAAATAATAACCTAATTCTTGTAATTGTTCCTCATTACAGAACCGCCTGGTTGGGAGTCTGTTTCGTAGCCTCCTCAGTATGTGGCGGCAGACTTCTGCGTCCATGGATGGTTGGAAGTGGAGAAAGAGGGGGAATGAATGCAGGGGTGAAGATGGCGACCGAGGACGCTTGGCTGCTGAGCGCAACTGACCGCGATGCGCATATGTGGCCCCTGCTTGAGCGTCGCGTCCTCTGTCTCAATTCACAGGCCTCTAAGAGAGCGATAGAGGTTAGGCAGGCCCCCTTGGCGTCCCCTAGACCTCCATCAACAAATGAGATCGCTTCTCTTCACACAGGTGGCCATGGAAGGCCTCAGATGACTTTCAGTGAGTCTTTTCCCTTCCTTTAATAAAGTGCTCTCGGTTTAATCATAAAGTATGGTGGTCTGGTTAGCATTTCTCACGCTGGTGGAGGATGTATGATATTTGACAAGCTGTATCCCGTAGGTTACGAAAGGTATCGAATAAATTTGAATGCTGGGCTCTATTCTTGGCTTGAAATATGACCCGATCCTTTGACATTCACTTTTGTTAATAACAAATTGAATACGTACTTTTGTGTTCCTATGATGCCAGGCCAGCTACCTCATTTCCTTCGGTTATTTATTGAAATTACCGCCTTTTTATTTAAATATGGATCACTGCATCGCATTCGCATGTGGTCTTTTGGGTTTAGGTTTCTTTGAATCATTGTACATCAGCGCCTTTCGTTGTTATGTTTTCTCATTTACCCTTATCTGATCAGAATAACTTTTTTGTTTCTCATAAAACTGGTTTCCTATCAAACAAATGACTGTTTAAAGGTGTTTCTAACAAAACACTTCCAGAAGAGCACGGTATTTTTTCAATATCTTATATTTCTAATAAGTGTTTTAAGATTCAAATAACTCGAAAATAGAAGGGTTATAAAGGTGAAGTGGTGATTTAGGTTTAACCACGTGTTTCGTTAGTAAAACTCATTTATTTGTACATTTTTGAACATTGGAAAATTTTTTAGTTCTGGTTTATGGCTCTCGCTGCCTTGATGCATATCGAATTTTTAGCCTTGCAAGTCTGCTGTCGTTTTTGCTGTGTCTTTTGGCACTTTTTTTATAACTATGCTGAAATTTTCGCAAAATAAAGTGTGATATAATTCATGCAAAGCTTACAACTAAAGTGTAACGAGGAACGTAGCGGGTGAGGTTATTGAAGAAATGAAGAGTCTAATTTTGAGCAAATTTCAACTCATCGTTTGCAATGAAGTTGGTTTAAGACACGAAAAAATTCCGCTCCAAATTTGCCATTTCATATTTAATTGTCAGAACTCATTTGAAAAGTACGACTCATTCACTATTTTCCTCTGATAGCTTGTTTAAGAATATAATATGACTAAACGTCCAACTCAAAGTAAGCAATTCCATAACGAATAATTTGACATTAATCAGTACATCCTTATCTTCTCTGCCTAGTTGCAGACGTGCACCATCAAGACACTCACCTAAGTGTCTTCTCTTTGGGTTGTATTAACGATTCAGCGGATTCTAACCTCGTCACTGCTTCTACTACCACTGGCACTGTTGCAGCGGCAGTGATCACTACTTCACCCTCCGCACACTCTCCGGCCTCTCCCATGGAAAACACCAAGACAGCACGTTCGAAGGGTCACTTCCTGCGCCCAATGCGGTGGATTGCTCGGCGTGCCATCCATTCACTCCGAGGACAACACGGTGGGGCTGGTAATAGTGGGTGTGGCGTTGACTTCAATCTGCCTACTGATCATGACAATGGCGATGGACTTGAGACAGCAGTGATGGTTGGGGAGGGTAGGGAAAGGACTGTCTCTATTACCTCGGCAACCTCTGGTCATGTTGTTGGTGATGGTAACTCCGCTATGGTTCAGTCTCTTTCCAGTCCCAGCTGGTTTCACTCTGCGCACGCCTCCGATCCTGCCACGTGAGATACCTGAATTTGCGATCTACAAATATCATGCAACCTGGTCTTTTCGTGCTTTTCATCAGCGTATACCCGGATCTGTGGTCCCAGCCATTAGCTTTTGCTTTAAGCATTCTTACGGCTTTAACCGGAATGCGCTTATTCAGTTGAAGTATTTAGTGACTTTTAGTTCCTTTGCTTTCACTCTTGCCTTCCAAAACGACACGTATTTCTTCGTTTAACAATTCTGGAATCTTGTTCATGCGAGTACCTTATCGAGGCATAATGGGGTTGCTTTTTAAACCATATTTCCACATGTTCCTTTTTGTGCAGTTTTCCATTATCCTTAAATTTTTTACTGATTTAAATTAGTCCATCAAACTATTTGTAAGCTTTCCGTTTCTCTCCATTTCCAGTTTACATTAGTGCAAGGTTGCTATTAAACGAATCACGGGGCATACCTTTACGTCTTGTCTAATTTGTGTAAGTTGTGTTAACTGCTGTAGGCTGAGTTGACACCTGTCATGGGCTGAAGTTTTCATGTGCGTGTGGGCTGGACCCATCAAGCTTCCACTTGGATAGCCAATGAATAAAGATATCTTTATCGACCGACTTGTTTGGGTAAAAGAGGTATGGTAAGTGCGTCCTTGCTCAAAGGCTTGTTGGTAGACACCTTTGGATTTTGAGTGCAAGTCAGTGATCTCAGTTACACGCATTTATATCGATTGATTAACCTTGTCCTTCACATCCAAATGGCTACCAGCACATCTAGAGTTCATCTCTGCTTGGTAGGATACAGTCAGGACAGGTTGAAGTAGAACACGACCGTTTTGAATGTTTGGAGATTGAAAATCAATTGTAACTTTTGAAAAATCAACTAGGAATGTTTTTTGGAGTTGCAGGCTTCTCAACACCTCTCCTTACAAAAACAGTCAGTGGTGACGATTTCTGGAGTCAGTTTATAACCGTTTCCTTCTGCGCTTTCGCCTGCGAGGCCGTTGTCTTAATACACAAGATAGATTACCCAACATGTTTTTCTTTCATGGTGCTCTGTAAAGCCGGGTTTATAGGTAAGGGCGGTATCTAGAAGGTATCAAGCAGTGTTCCCATCAGTAGAGTACCGTGTCGAGCCACTGGTTCCTCGGCGTATTGCAGACTTAGTTGATTACGATGCTTCATTTAGGTGTCTTTTGCAGCTTTGACCTCTTGTTTGCATTAAATCTTCCCAGAGATCTGTCCATCGTGTCTTGGCCTATAGTTGCAAGCTTAGACGTCAGTATTTGCTTTGAATCTCGTTGAGACTTTGCCGTGTGTCCCTTGAAGCCATTTTTTACCTTGGAACTATCAGTGTTGACCGAGCAAAGCTTGAGTCCCACTAGGACTTTAGCTGGTGATTGGCGGTTTCGTACGGACCCGTTAGGCTGTTCTCCGATATATCTGTCAGGACCTCTGTAAGATATCGGCAGCCGTCTTTTGTCGAGTGAATTCAACAACGCTTTTTTAACGTGTCAGCGCATTTCTCCCTTTGTTCGTTGGATTGAGGGTCCAACGGCGGATACTGAATTTTTGATAGTAATTCAATTGTAGGAGTCGTGAAACTCTCCCCGATGTAAACGTTGACTGTGATCGACGTCTTTGCGAGTTCCTGTTGGCCAAGGATCTGGCCCACCATTTGTAGCATCTTGGTATTCGTAGGAGAGACCACATGTGTTATTGGTGGTCATTTTGAATAGGCGTCTACCAAAACGAGGTAATAGATGCTGCTGATTGGAACTGCAAGATCGAGGTCAATTGCGACCAGGGCTTAAGCCAAGGTATTGGGTGGAGATTTTGGAGGATTCTTCCCCACCTGTTGAACTTCGCTGGTGATCATCAGGAACTCTAAACGCTATGGGTAAAGTGGTTTGCTTGTGCAACTTGTGACGACCAATATCGACTGCTCGGGGAACATCGTAGTACGTGTTATAAACAGTGTTTCGATGTGTTGTTGAGATAATGGGAAATGTTTGGATTGTCAAAATGGGGTACTTTGGGGCTAATAACCCAATTTAGACTTAGACTCTCGTTTGATTGCTGAATTTATTGTTGTGTTTAAGTGGGGTGTCTTTGTACAATTTAGCAAGTGAATGTCGCCATTCTCTTTTACGCACATTGCGGCCTCATTTCCAGCCTCTAAAATAAAGTACTGTTTACCGTTACACCCTTTCATCTATGCATCAGGGTTTTTCGTGCGCGAAATACCATTGTCTAGAGCTCTTATTAGATAGTAAGCTTACACTTACATGAATCTGCTTCTAAACGCTTGCGTTCAAATCAGGATTTGCTTTTTAAGTTTATCAATTTTTAAATTCACACTTTATTGGATGTAGGAATAATAAACATTCGAAGCTGCGTTATTTTTAAACACACGGGTCATTGACAGTATGGACTCGGTGGACTGAAATCCAGTAGAATGGGAACCATTTGAGTCTAATGAATTAAATTTAAATCCTCTACTTTTTAGCAGCATATGTACCCATTGACCTAGAATTCATTGACCCCACTGAAGAAATTGAAAGTAGCTTTATTACAAGCATATGGAAGGAGAAAATAGACCACTCAAGATCATGCATAATTAGAACATATGTCATTCTCTGTTCTCTTTTGAACCTTTCATTTTTTTATTGCTACTTATTTGCGAACCTGAAACAAATGCCCGTTTTTTGCAGTGATTCAAAATCTGCAAGCGCCTCACCAGTTGAAGCGCCTACAGCGACGACCGACAGTCATCATTTCGGGCTCACTGACGTTTTTGTCTTTCGCGGTCTCTTCCTTCCTTCTGACGTTAGCATCCTCGGTAAAAATTTCTTTTCTTGTTCACCCACTTCACATCGCAGATCGACTGCACATCGCTGCAATGGGCAAGTCCTCCCTCACATCCTTATTGTCTTCACATTTTTTTCATCGTACGTCTACCATTTAACTAAACTTTTGAATTTCCTTGGTCGATAAGTCTTTTTTTTCGATGTTTGGCTCTTCCGTGCTGATTCACGTTATCCTTATCTCAGCTGAAACAAGCCAATATGTTGTAGAAAACGCTTGCACTTTCAAGACTATCCCTTATAAAGGCGTCGAAAAGCAATTGCGTTGCTTTGCGCTATTCACCAGGTAGTTTGGGTTGACAAAATGTGTCCTTCCAGGTGTATTACTTTACATATTTTAGCATTTTTACCGCAGACTTTGATAAATAGGCTGCTAAATGCACTTAAGATCTTGATACTTGCGGTATCTATTCTACCTCCCCAATTTGTTAATTAACTATCCGACTTGAAAAGCCAATTTACCATTTCACACAGATATTTGGCTAGTATTTTACACTTTTAGCAATTATGCTGACAATGAGTGATTTTGCCGCGTATTTATGTAGCTCCTGTATGGACTGCGCGATGTGAGAATTTTATTCTAATAGGATTTGAGGCACATGTAGAGATTGTGCTATGGTAAAATTGCTGTTCATTTAATGTCATGCGAGTTCAAGCATCCATTAAAATGGCTTTTATTCTGCGGTTGTAGTTTGCGAACATATCTGCCTTGCAGTCCGTAAATTTCTCACATGGGTGTATGCTCCCCCAAAACAATTCATCATTCTTAGCTCGTATTAGTTGGTGCATTTTTATGATCTCTTGTGCTTAGATCACAACTCTATTTCATTGTTGCTTTCTGCTCTATTGACTTTTGAAGAGCTATTAAATTTGTTTTTTGCTATTTTTATTCTCCAGAGCAAAAAATAGTTTCACGGATGGCAGATCCGTCAATGGTGATATGGATAAGAAGGCGGTTGAATCGCCGTCTGATTGTACTCAGAAGCTATGTATTTCTGAGGCCTGTCGAAGCGCTAACTCCCCTTGTCCTCAACGTAAGAAACTCGCCACTATTGTTAGCGTTGCGTTTTAGTATTTCCTTTGGATATTATTCAAATCACTGCCATCAAATCGTTTTCACCATCCACTTTGAAGATTGTCTCGAAATGTGTGAGAATTTGCTTTGTAATTAACTTTTTTTCAATTTGTTTGTGTTGATACGAAAAAATAGGCATGTTATTGCTCTGACTATCTGAAACTTGCCTCCTCCGCAGTAACTCCCTTTAGTAGTTTGGTTCGTTGACATCTTTGACTCTGCATTTCTCTGAAGCTACAGCAGTTTTATTTTCCTACTCTAAAAATATTGAGTTTGCATCAAACATGGTGAAATTTTGGGTTTTTCTTTGGTGTTTGTCGCCTCTATTCCTAATTTACCTTAAGCCATAACATCAATCCTAAATACTTTCACCATGTATTTTAATTCGTATTCATTGAAACTCTTGATAGGTAGCCTTTGTTTGTAATTCCAGCTATTTTTAGATGAAAGTAAGAGTATGTAAGTAACTCGACAGGGTAAAATCACGCATGTATGTGTGATTGGTCATGCAAAAAAACGAAACGTATACATTAGCTTCTCATATCGCCTCATGCCTTGTAGGGGATTTGACGAAAACACTCATTTTAGCCGAGTAAAAGGTTACCTTTTAATGCTAATGTATTTGTTGTTTGCACCCTACGTTGAGATCCTGCTGAATTATTTAAGTATTTCGATACCACTCTCGTTGAATTGTTTTCAAAGCCATCATTAAAAATTGCCTCACTCTATCCATTTGCAAAAATAACGCGAACTTTGTATTAACCTCGCAGAACGACCAGTGGAAACAATAACAAGCACGATTGGACTCCTCTTAGTTGAGGTTAATTTTTTTTCCTGAATTAGAAAATCTCTCTGAGTATTCATAATCCAAATGTTTGTTAAAAGTCCATGTGTCTGATCAATTTTCCATTTGTTTCTGCTAGTTTGACGTTTTTTTAGCTACGATTATGATTTGATCATTAATCAACAGCCGTCTTAAAAGAGACATCTTTCTGGACAGTCACTTTCAAAATAGTTTAATTTCATTAAATCTTTCACGGGTTTCAAATTATAGGTTGACCAAATAAATTCGCGTACTCTATACATTAAAGCTAAGTAAATGAAGAAAGCTTTTAAAAATGTCCTATTCATTAAAATCGTCATCAAAAGGCGGGAAAAAACTTGCGAAATCCACTTTTATAATACGTTTTGTCTGCAGAACCAAACCTTGCCCAAGTCACCCCCATTTCCGTCGCAATTTTTATTCCTGACTGCCCATTCCGAGGCTGATTGTCGAATGTCAAGAAAAGTTTATTGTCATCATTTGAGATATATTAGCATGGGAATAAGTTGGGTGAAGATGCGGTAGTATCTCCCATTTATTATAGAATACGCCTACTTTCGCGGCTAGGTTTTAGGGTCTTGTCGTTTAAGCCTATTTTCACTGTCTCCAAAAAGACGTTTTTGTAAACGTTTGAGTAATGTCATACAAAGCGGGTAGGTTTCGGTCGTAAGTGGACACTTTGTTCCGAAATTCACCGCGCGCAAAGCAGGTGTAGTCTTGTGGAACGAAATGGTACTTATCTTGTGTGTGGGAGATTTTAGTGCGTGAATTGTTTTGAGATAACTAATGACGTGTTCGTTTGCTTGACAGTTGAATACAGTCATTTCTCGTCACAAATAAGCTACTTAGCAAACAATCCTTTCCCATTCAAAGAGCAAATTAATTTTCCTTGAATCTAGCTGATTTGTCGATGTACGTGGCAGCTGTTTGCTTAGCTCTACCATGATTTTTCCTTCTCTGATGATCTAAATATAAAGCAATTGTTTCATCGCTCACGTTAGACATTACTGGGGCTTCTTGACGTGTTAATCTCTAATCATTTTAACTGTCGGCAGCACATAACTCTTCATGATGAGGAGCAGAGAATCTTGCTGAAAGTATTCATCCGCCCTGGAGTGTTTCGTCCACAGCATCAAATATCTTGTGCATGCTCTGATATCTCACTTGCCCGATGTCCTTTACTACAAAGTTGATGAGAAACCTCTAAACCTTTGGGGTTGAGATAAATTCGGCCTCTAAAGTAAACAAGCTTGACTCATATGCATCGGGTTCAGTCGACATTTTATGGTAGGGAGCTTAAAATGAAAGGAAATTAGTTTACAAGCGATTGAATTTCCCAAGTCTCCGCAAGCTTTAACAGGTTATCGTGGTTAGCTATATTAAAAACTGAACGAATCTTCTTGCTGACTTGATACTCTTATTGGCGTTTGAACAAAAACGTAAGGCGTATTTTCGTGCTTTTATTTTTAGATAATTCAAGGGTCGTCTTTTTCAATTTGTCTGATTCCAAAAATGTATTCCTCTTTGAATATTAAGCAATGTCTCAATGTGTTTTATCTTAGCGCTTAGATGCTAGTCACGTTTCTCATCATTCAAAATTTCATTGTTGAAACACTTGAGCGTCTTCTTGTAAAAGGCAGAACTTTAATGAAACAGTACTTTTTATTGTTACTTTTTTAATACAGGCGTTAATTTTTATGCATGGCGTAGAGGCGTTTCCTTACCTTCCACTATGCTATTCACTTAAATATTCAGCAAATAGCACTTCGAACTCAAAAGACTGTCTTTTCCGTTCTTCGCAGCGGCGGAAGACGCCGAAGTGGAGTCATGGCGTCGTGAGGTAGTGGAAGAGGTAAAGAACCTCATGAACAGTCTCTTTCTTGGACGGGTCTGCAGCAATCTTCTCGTCCTTTCGCATCGCGCCTATACCGACATCCTTCGCGGTCGTTGTCACCGCAATTTCGCCTCTGCTTGTCTACACGCCGAAGTTGCGCAAATACTTTTCAACTATCACTATTCTCGTCTCGCTCGCACCCTCGTCCAGACCTTCCTCGGGCAGTTTCCTCCCTTCAGTGAGGTTTGTTCTTAGCCTTATTTATCGTCAAACCTCGGTCTTGTTGCTTCAACAATTATTCGCTTTTCCTGGCTCATTTGCCTTTATCTCGTATCTATCCCACCTGCTTTTTAACCCATTATTTGTTGGTATGACAAAAACACTCTCTCTCTTAATTCACGCGTATTTTGAAATGTTCTTGTTACTTGCACTCATCAACATTTGTTTCTAGTAGTCTCTCAGATGAGGCTAAAAATCACAAAAAAAGCGGGCCAAACGCATTCTTGAATCCTAGAGCACTATCTCGGTTGCTCATAGCTAACCTTAGACTTCCTACATTAATGTTTTAAACTGTGCCTGCAGTTCTGCTAGTTCATTCAACAAATGAATTCTTAAAGATGCTAGCTTTTGAATAGCACATTAATGATTTTGAAAGATCGGATCAAATAAGAAAATTTAGCGTCATCGCAACGGTAGCTAATATAAAACGGCAACCGTCGTAATTGTTGCTTTAACAAAACGATTTATAGTGGTACTATTACTCACAACCGTGGAAAGCACTAACATTTCGTACATCGTTTTAGCTAATCTAGTCTATTGAAGGCGAAACTTTGTATGAGATTGTTAAGTTTTAACTCTGCTTCTGTTGGTTTTTTTATCAATTAAATGAACACGAATTCACCTGTTTGTGATTGTGACCGGTTAATATTGCCTAACGGATTTCTCATGAATAGCTGCTTGCTGATGCCAAAAGCGCACTTGAGGACTGGAATAATGCGACTTCACTGGGTCATCCTCCTGATTCATCTACCCCTCCTTTCCCAAAATGATCTGTTAATCACGCCCGCCCAGCACCGACCGTCACCATGGCAGCTCCCCGTAGCGCTACCAGCAGAAGTCTTTGGTCATCCTTTATACCACAGAATTAGTCAGCACCTTTACATTTATGATGCCACCTTTTTTGTGATATATGACAAGTAACCCACTCAAAAATTGTTCTCCGGTGCGTTTTCGAAAGTCATAGAGGAAAATTGTGCTAGGCAATTCAAAATATATGCTCTTTTTAAGTAATACTGTTACGTTTTGCTTTTGTAATTTCACGGGAAGTAGTAATGTTTGCAGGTCAAAATGTGATTTAAGACTTTTGCAAGGTGTAGAATTTACCGCCGTAATGGTTAGATATTTGATACTCTCTTTTTACTGTTAATACTTTCGATCAGTTTGATTTCCTACATTCAACTGAAACTGATAATCTATTTGATGCTTTAACAATGATGGAAGATTTTCTTTCACATATGTGAAATTAAGTAGCGGTATAAGGTACCGAACTGCCGTGCTTAGCTTTTTGTCGTCCATGGTAAGCAGCTTATCATGATGAGAAGGCCAATGGCAGCTTCATTTGATGTTCCTTTTATTCAGAATTTAACTGTGATGTTCGATTCATGGAGTGCTTAATGTTAGTAATTTCATCGCTTCAGGATATTGGGAATACGTGAAAAGCGGCTTTTACGGCTGGAAGTATGCTGGCTCTCGGGTTTAAAAGTTCTAACCATTGTATGGATTATTTCCGTCCTAGAAAAGATTATGAGAACAGTAATTTCTTTAAATAGGGGGAATTGCATATGCGACTCCGTTCTTTGCTGATAACTTCAATAAAAGCTTAAATACAGTGTACACAGTGAGAATCCATTCTCAAAGCTAGAAATCGTTAATTCCTTGGAAATTACTCGACAAAGAGAACTCAGGGCATATAGTTTAAGGCTACGTCTTTACTGCTTTTTATCAGATTTACTGTTCTACCAGTCCCTTAAGCGTCCTCAAGATGAGCCATTTATATAACATCTAAAGTAAGTAATCTGTGAGGGGCCATTTTTTTCAACCTTCCAGTAGGATTAACTTCACATTTCATGGTCAGCTCCCTTTTCTCCTCTTCATTACTTGAGCCGGCCAGCCAGCCGCGTTCACCCGACCACATCACGCAGCAAAGCCCACCTGGCCGACTCGAGGGCTTGAGAGCTGTTGTGTGGTACAGACACACAAAGTTAGCCAATAGGATGGCAATATCACTCAAAACTACCTTGTTGTCAGACTGTAGTGCATAGAACAACTGACTGTGCGGATACCTTACCCATGCGGCTTATGCAGTTTCCAGGGCTGTTTCTGTGTTTTGCCACTACTCTGCTCTTCTTTCTCCCCTCCATTCAATATGTGAATTCGCAAATACACCCACGAGGTCAATACCCATCCTCCTCCTCTATATCCTTCCCAACTTCGCCTCCGGAGTCAAGCTTTGAGAACAGTTTTGTCAGTGAGTACAACGTTTATGAAGCAAGAGAGACACATCCCGAAGCTCAGGTGACTTCTCCCTTTCCTCTCCATTCTCCATCTTTGTTAACACCGTCAATTCGAAAGAGGAAAATTCTCTCTCAAAGAGATGACATCTTGGAGAAGATTTTTCTGAACTACAAAACTCATGAGAGACCCACGGAACAGCTGGATACTTCGACAATTGTTCAAGTTAATATAAAGATCCAATCTATCTTTTCAATCGATGTGCGAACCATGGATTATTATGTGGATGCATTACTTCGACAAGCCTGGATTGACCCTCGTCTTGCATGGGATGAAATGCCTGAGCACAGAAATTTTACACAGCCTCTGGTTTCACCCAAAATGAAGAACCAGCTTTGGCTTCCAGATCTCTTCTTCCGTAATGGCAAGGAAGGCTATCTGCATAAGATGACCCTTCCTAATTACCTTCTTCGTGTCTATCCCAATGGGCAAGTTCTGTATAGTCAAAAGATTACAATGAGATTCGCTTGTCAGATGGATTTGCAAACGTTCCCCATGGATGTTCAGGAATGCGATATCAACATGGGCTCTTATGGGTACACACTATCAGAGCTGAAGTTTGTGTGGAGTGAGAAGTCTCCTATCGAATTGAACAAGGACATGCAGCTATCTGAGTTTAACACACCAAAAGCGTTTGCCACCTTCGATTGCACTTCTCAGGCTTCTACATCCACCGGCAACTATAGCTGTCTTTTAGCCAAATTCTCGATTGCTCGCCGACTAGGTTCGTATCTTGTAACCACGTATATTCCCAATGTTCTCATCATCATGGTTTCATGGTTGAGTTTTTGGGTTTCTGTCGACGCCGCCCCTGCACGTGTTCCACTCGGACTCATGTCACTCCTCGGTATCTTGACACAGGCCTCCTCTTTAGGCTCCAATCTTCCACGCGTCTCCTACATTAAGGCTATTGATCTGTGGTTAATCTTCTCTATCATATTTGTGATCAGCGTCCTCGTAGAGTACGCTCTAGCTATCACATATTTACGGAAGACGAGAAGGGGTCAGTGGAAGACGGATTTACGCGCAATCGTTCGCGAAGAACTGGCGCGATGGTGTTCAGCGTGCCAGCAAAAGGAGTTGGAGAGTATGCGGGCAGCTGGAGCGTCTGTGCCTAAGTATCAAGCGGACTACTATACCCAGATGGAGGCCATGATCGCCTTCCGTGGAGTGGTGGAACAGTACCGCAAACGACGCCTCGCTAGCGCTAGAAAAAACGGCGTTAACATAAAGATTAAGATTATCACCGGGGTCACAGAATCAGTCATCGATGCATACAGTCGGTTTCTCTTCCCTCTCTGTTACCTTGTCTACAATGCCTGCTATTGGCTCTACTACCTCGTCCTTGTCAAGCAATGAAAATGTTGCCGCTTTGTTGTTGTCTTAGATTGGTTTGTTTACTGATTGTGAACTCAGCCCCTTTAGCAAATTCTCGAGTCCTCACATTGTGTATGCCCAAATATATTGTATTTGTATTTGTTAATATGTTAGATGTTGATTTCCTATTAACAAAGGGCTTTTTAGGATCCTACCTCCTATCCTTTTACTTTGATTTATTTTCATCACTTCCAAAAAATACATTCTTATGATTTTGAGGAAATACTGATAACCCTTAGATGGAAAACGCTTAAATGCGTACACAATTTCCATCTCATCCTTCGATCGCAAAGTGGCGCATTAATACGTTCTGACAGTTAGGCATCGAAACACAATCGGAAAAGCTTTTGCCATAAAGCGTTTTTTTAGAAGTTAGTTATATTGGTAAAACATTCTTCTGTTGACAGTTATTTAAAGGCCAAGTGATCGGTGCAGCACATTAGTTTTGTAAAATTAACTGTAGGGAGTTTTGTCATGACTTGATAGGGATCGGGACCTAATTATTACTGTGATTTTTTGCTGTTGAAATCAGGTTTTGCTGTATTTTAACCAATATGAAATCATTAAGTGCTGTTTATTCCAGAGTGGTTGCACGAAAATGGAAGTCATTATTGGACCTCTTCCAGACCAAACTCGAGGCGATACAGTTGATGAAATACGGGACTATCATGTTGTTATTGCTCTATCAGATTTGAAGTTGAATACCAAATACGACATTTTCAATCCTTGCATGTTAAAGCTAAATTTCTGTTAGTGGACGCCGCGAACTCAACGACTCTAAGTTTTCACGATAAATTTCCAGCCAGGTATGTCAAATGTGTATCAAAATTACTTAGCTGGAGATCAAAATATTCGCTTTACGTGTTCATTGCCCATCTTTACTGTGCTAAGCCTTAGAATTTTGCTACGGAGGTGTTTAAACGTAAATCTGCTATTTTCTTTTAAGACCGTTTCCGTGATACACACGCAGTTGTTGCGGCCATTTCTGTCTACAAAGCAGCCAACAAGATACGTCACGCCATCTTATTGATCTTCAATTTAACGACGCCTAGTCTCTTTTATGGTCAGACCCTCACTGAGGTCTCTTTGGTGCCTTTTCGACCCAATGGACGTGTAAGTTTATTTTATCGTGATTCGTATATGCTATATTATGTAGGAAGCTATCATGAGGCAAACATAGGATAAGGATTCTACAATGCTCATTTAACGCTTCAGCTAAATTATGTCCAGTTTCGTAACTATTGTAGTGCCATGCATTTTATCAAAATAACCAAATGAGGGTGTTGGCCTCTATACGCTCTTGGTATGCAGTTAAATTCGCACATTATGTATTGAGACCCAAGTACCTGAAATTACAATAAACGTAGTTCATCCAGCTTCACTCGAGGGGGAGGCTATTTATTATTGTGATCCTCGGAGGGGAAATAAACCCAAATGGAAAGTGACTCTAGTTGTTAGAATTGGCAAAACGTCAGGTTATAACACAAAAAGTAGTATCAAATGTCCGAACAGTGGCAGTAAATTAGTATCGAGAAGGCTCCAGTAAATCTAATTAATCACATTTTGTTTATCCTTTTGCATCGGCAGTTCAATGGACAGTGGGTCTGGAATCCTTCATTGGGCTTTTGGTATACTTCTCATTTTTGGGAAGCAAGGCAATCGAATTGCGCTGATTTAGTGGAACTGATGATTTCGACTTCGTCACTAAAAAATTTTTAAGATATTTAAGTTCAGTATGCCACCGCTTATCTTAACTATATTCTCCGAGCTATTCTGCCCCACTGCAATGGAGTTATCTGCGGAATCTTAACGATCAACTCGAGTACTATCTGGAAAGTGGTGCTGAATTATGATGTCTATATCTATTTAGTAATTATTTTAGTGTAAAACTGCCTTAAGAACATACATTCGTGGGTTAGCAAATTGGATTGTATCTATCTTGATATAATCGTCGTAAGTCTAAAATAAGTACGACTTATAATGCAAAAAGTCAAATAATGTTAATTAGATTTAGCCAATTGAGCGACGATAGTCCGTTCAATTTGAATACATATTTGGATTTCTTAGGAATTAGTTCATTTGGAGCACTTCCTTCTGCTTTTCAATTTTTACCATATACGACTTAACACTACTGGTTTACTAGAGTAGCATTCTCACCATAGTATTTTATTCATTCATAATTTAGTATACCACCTCCTATTCCGAACTTTCAGTTGCGCAGCCTCTCTCAATCCTCGAAATAATGTGAATCATGACTTTTCAAGAGTAAATTAGGTGCCTTAACGTAGGTTGCACTTCTAAAAGTGGCAACTCTGTTCGAGTCGGGGAAGAAACAAGAAATTGCATCATGCACCCGAGAATAAATGCAGTGGTTAGTGTCGTGCAGATGAGTGGCAATAAAAAACTTCTACTTCGAGTCGCTTTTCATTCGTTTATAACACAAGTGTCTGTAATCTCGCAAAATTAAATATTTTCTTAGAATTACGTTCACCACCTCTACCTTGCAAATTCGGAATGAAACGTGTACCTAAAAGATTTTTGTGGCAGAATTTTGGTCTAAATTCCCACTTTGTGAAGGTATCGTTCGGGTTTTAAAATTGTTTTCACTAAATGTTTCGTTCGTGCAGCAAAGCCTGGAGAACTAACAGGTTTTTATTATAAAGTTCTATCCCACCACCTTGAGCTAATATGAGTTTAAGCATCGATGGATCCCAATTATCATAAAAAGTTTAGTATTTTGGCACAATTATCTTTGAATGAATAAGACTTGCAACAGGTTTCGCACGACCATTGCCTTTAGTGCTACATCATTGTACATGCAAAGGTGAATATGTGGAGAAAGTCGTAATACGTTTTATAATTTGAAAATGGATATATTAGGAAGAATACCTGTTTATTCAGTTTGTGAGCATAGCTGAAATGGTTTTTCTGCTGCCCTTTGCACAAAATATTCAAATTTTGGCGTTTTCAATAATGACAATATTCGAGACTAAGATAGTGGCTCATGTTTATGCTGTTCCATAACATTGTGTTTCCGATCGGAGTGACTGGCAAACGTCCTGACCAAATTTTTTTACTAGTCTACTCATTATAAGTAAATCGTATGATTAAAATTGAATCGTAAACAAAAATTATTTTTTTTACAAGTGATCCTCGACTTTGCCAATGGCTAGTTACCACAGTATTGAATGATTGCGACAATAGCATAGTGACTAGTGTCCCATGAGTCAAAATCCCCAATAATTGCGATCTCCCAAGGTAAGTCCAGTTTGCAGATTTTTCATTAAAACAATATAGTCGTAATCACTTTCAGTTAAGTGATATGAATGAATAGTAAACATAGAAGGCAGGCACTCTTATTTGTTAAAATTAATTCTTTAGATTTCGTGAGTTTTGCTGAAGCTAATCGGGGCTAAAGCGCTCACATGCTCTGAATCTGAACGCGAGAAATTAAACAAAGATCTTTATTTCCTCTAATTGAAAATATGAGCAGTGAAGCAGCTGATTGGGGGAAGTCCAACAAGATACTTCATTGGTCTATTTAATGATGTCAAAGAAGTGGAAATTCTTAGACCTTAAAATGCCACTCTGAGTTTTAGGCAAATTAAGTTATTTACAAGATTTTAGTAGGATAACTCTACAATTAGAGTTGCATGCATTTTGAATTAGATGCATGCGAGATGGCAGCACATCTAATTTGAATTTCTTTTACTACTGCATCAAACGACTAATTTCACCCGCGGTTATCACGCAGCATTCATGATTACCAATCAATAGCTGCATTTAAATCGGCTTAAAAACGTTATTTAGAATGCAAACTTAAAGTACGGTATCTAAATTCATTGAAACTAACATGATTAAGATGTGACAACTGAATTTCGGATAATTTACAAATCAAGAGTAAACAAAGTAAATGCAATCCTGACCTTACAATTTTTAACCAGGAATGGAGAAGATATGCAGTTTTAAACATCCTGTTTTCCTGATAATAGGAGTTTTTAACAAAATCCTTTTTAATCGGATGCATTGAGTTTAAAAGCGCGGGCGTTTGTAACAATCAACTAAGTAATAGTTGTAATATCGTAATAGTCCGAAAAAAATTATTTGCCTTTTGTTCGTTCTAAATCAATGCAGTCTATGTCCTTCAAATAGTGCACTTAGTGGAAGTCTAGACTCATCATCAGAATGCTTACATATGGGGCAGATAATTTTCACGTGTGGTATTCTGATCGTAAACCACTGTGCACATCGCGCACTTAATGTAACACACGTCCAATGCCCCTTCGCGAAATTGTAGTCACCTGAGTAGTTTATTTTTTTACAAAATGGAGGCGAAACATCAATTTCGGCCGTAAAGTGACAAGATAAACAGTGAATTTGGGTCTCTTATGCGATTTTTTTGATAAATTTTGCTGCTTTTTTAATGTTAGAAGCACGTACAACACTATGTAGATTGTAGAGGGAAATAAGATATTTTTGGGGTTACCAAAAAATGAATAAACCTACTTCTATTGAGTTATAGACTAAATTGACAGTGACCTCCCGGTTTATCGAAAGTACATGCTAGGCCATAACACCGTATCCATTGTTTTTGGCTGTTTAACATTCACCTAAACGCTTGGGACCTTCCAGCATTTTCTTGGTATTTGTATAGATTTTATGAGATTTTCCTTCGCGACCATAATCTTGTTTTAGTGTTTATTGAATTTGAAGAGAAGGTAAACCAATTACCGATAAGAAACATGAAGTCGCTTCAAACAATAACTGGTAAAGTACTTAACAGATGCAAAGTAAATCTAAAGTGATTTGTCCGCTCCTGTGATAACATTGTGAATTAGCAAACCGCGAACCAGGACAACACCAGTCCTCAACGGGATTTACAAAAACTGCTAGAAGTCTCCTAGCCGTGGTTGCAGGCTTTGACTGCGTGTTATTGTGGCAGGAAATATACTAAAAAGAATGGTGCTGTAGTATACTCCTGATTAGTTGACTTGGAATTTCATTCAGTATTGAACAATTTTCCATCCTCCAAAATCATGATTGCTTGTTTTTCACTAAATAAGAATTGTTTCAAGACGTTGTAGTATTGCAAAAAGCCAACTTTTACTTGCGGCTCTACTAAAACTTCAAATGCGTTTTTTTTTTGGCAGCTTAAACCACAAATTTTGCTAAAGTTCCTTGGAATCATATAAATTGGTGTAAGATAGTAATACGATAGCAGGAGATTTACCGGATCCCGGAATCCTGGCGCAAAATCCCATAATTTGATTACCATCTTTGACGTATGGAGAACAAGAACATTGCGGTACGAGCTAACCATTGTCAAAGGTGAAGATGACACCTCTCGCTTTCACTGCAAACTCGGAAAAGGGAAAATTGTGCTGACTCACGCTGCTTGGGTGGTTAGACTGCCTTTTTATTGGCATGCTTGCTGTGCAGGCATAACTCGGAAAGGATATAAACTAAGCATTGACCTTGCCAGGTTAAGCAATAGCTCGAATTAAGCGCCGGTCTGTTGAATACTCATGGAATTGCCTGTACGTTCGAGGGGGCTCGATTTTGTCGTCATGATATGTTAGGCAAATTAAGGGCCAGCTGCTAGGCCAGATAAATTTTCAATGTACATCGACATTGATTTGTGGTTGGTCTGGTTGTCTATTTCACTTCTGCGGTTACTCCAAAGTGGAACAATCATGCAAGAAGTTAGAGAATTAGGCTGCTTTGAATTCTGTGGTAGGTTCTTTTAAAATTAGATGCCTGGATTGTTTTGAGGGACTTTGAGTAGAATTTTCGACGTTTACATCTTAAAACGCTTTTGCTAGTTATGTATTAATTTAATGATTATAAAAAACCCAATTGATTAAACGAATACTGTATTAAATCTCAAGCAAGGAAAAGTGTATTTGAGCAATTGATAGTAGAGCCTTGTCACAATAATCAAATCCCATTTATCTCTCGCCTCAGCGAAGAATACTGAAAAGCGTAGTGATGAAGTTGCAAAAGGCATTTTTCATAACATCGTTAGTGCGTATTGAATAGTTTTATAGCTTGTAAAGGCCTAAAAGACTTAGCTGTTGGTTCGTACTTATGCTTATCTGTCTTTGTTGTTGAATATAGTGAATTCAGAAAGTGTACTATTTATCTTATTCCAACCAGACTTTTTTCTAGTTAATGGCAAAACTCATAGATAAATCTCTACCATTGCGCAAGAAGCTTTATTTTTTTTATCACAATGTTTTCTTCCAAAGTGTTGATGAGTAGTGAATTCAAAAGTTAATCACTAGAACTAGTTCACAAAGACAAAAATAACAGTTAAGGAAGGTATTGAAGAGCTAAGCTATCCGTGCCCTTGTTCAGAACGATATTGAATTCAGTGCGTTGGGTGGTGGCTAAGCAGCTACTCCGGAAGTACTATTGAGGGGATCTAGACGTTTTCGTTCCAGGACATGGTAAATTATCATGAAAAGTTGGAAACTGCAAAAAGGAGAGTTATTGTAGTGTATGCGGTTATGAGTTTTCAAGGTAAAACTTACATGGAGCACTTTGGTCTGGAACAATAAATTTAACTGGGGAGATTAATTATAAAATAATCTGTTTATTTGACGTAGTATATGATAAACAATTGAAAGCTTCAAAAAATTCGCTGGCTTGCGGTGGGTTAATTTATAGGAGAATCGGTGTTATTAGACAGTCTCAAAAACAAATTTTATCTTACGTTTGCATGTGACTAGCAATCTTTTTATTATATTTATGATAACTCTATTCATATTTTGACGCATACAACGGGTTAATGATCCTCAGGGCTCAAGATCACTACTTGATTCAACTTGCCTTTCTGTATATTATGAACAGTTCGTTTATGCAACAGTCTAGTAAAATTGTGAATTGTTCACAAAGACGCTATTTCGTAGCACAACAAAGCATTTCGAATTTTTGCCACCCGGATTCAATTTTATAACACCCTAGTTACCTCAGTGTGGTGTCTTCTTCAGTAGGGTAAACCAAAACTCGTTTTATAATAGTTTCATGACATTTTTATTTTTTGTCTTCACTGCCAATGCACAAAACTGATTAAGGTCACAACATACCAAATATCATTTCACCTAATCACATTGCCTTTTAATATTCTTGAACTCTAGATTTTTGCGTGATAAATAGCAATTAAGCCGACTAGGTCGTCTCAAGGCCTTAATTCAAGCAGTAGCATTTCAGAAATTGGTTAGTAAGTGAAATTTTAGTCCAAAATTTTCTTTTCTTTTGGGTCTGTTTCAGCCATACATACACGTTTATAATTCAAAGAAAATGGAGCACTATGATTAAATTTTGGCAGCATCTTATAGCAATACCAACATTGATAGCAAGTTTTAGACTCGAAGTTTTTCAGCTCATTGCTTTGGAATCTGGTGCTGAAATTTGCACTTCCCTGAAATGTAAATGGTAAAAAAGCAAATTGGAAATTACGTATTACATCACAGTAAAAAACCCATTTTCAGATTCATTTCACAAATGCATTAGCATTTAGTGGGAAAACGCAGCATTGTAAACAATTTAGAGCAAATTCCTTCTGACATCAATACGATAGCTGGCATCCCAGGGTGATACCATTAGAGAAATCTAACTTTTCACCTTTCCCCTAATTTAGTTTAGAAAAGCACTTACTTGTCCCGTAAAAGAAAATAATCTCCCAGCACTAGTAGTTTTTTTCATTCATTAGTGATGGGTGGATGAGGAGGACAATTAGGAATCATTATACTCGTCCTGGGGATTGAAGGGCTCTCGTTGGAGCAAGCAGGGCCGGGAGAATTCCTGTCCAGCGGCGCGAATCCATTTGTTCATTACCCACTTGCAGCCCACCAGCACTGGACAGGCTCCATGACGCGATCGCATGTCGCCATCACCACTGCGCAACAGATTATACCAAAAGACCAGCGAGCGAGCCACCGGTTTCACTACTGCTTTTGTTTTCGTAAACGCCGTCGCTCCACCCATCTTCACTGAGGTTAACTAGGTGAAAAACATGGTTGCGACAAATTAATATCCCTTACGAAAAACGGCAATTTTGACTTTTCAGTTGGAATTTTTTCCTGCTACACGATTTATCCTACTCTAAAGGTAAGGTTTTTGGCACCAACAAATGGAAGCATATTCATAGCGTGATTTATTTTCGACATTAATTAATGGCGTTAAAGACCGACGTTCACTCGAACATATTTTAAACCAAAATGTGACTGCATATCAATATTTTTCTCCGTCTTGGTAAAACTTTTATTAGTAACGACATGAGCATATTTGTAGGCATTTTGGTTACTTGAAAAGTGCGTATCTTTAAAAAAGGGGAAAGTTTTCAAAAGCAACATGGCCAGTAGACCGTATACTAGTATCAAATGAGCTGTTTCACAAGCAAAAACTTCACGACCAGAACGAATAAAATTACTTACTGCGCAAGTTAAATAATTGTGAACTTTTGAAATTGAATATTTTGACTTCATTTTATGGCTTTAATGCTTTCAAAAGGCATATTAAAATTAAGAAAATGATTTCTATTTAATTAAGATTTATGGTAGATCTGTATTGTGTGAAAATTCGTTTGCCAAATTGTCTGCCTACCGATTCTTTTATTTTGTATTTCAATGCAGCAGATTGAGCCGTTATGATTATTTATTATCATTTTGCAATATTATCATAACATTAGAAACTTTTCACTTTGATTAAATTTTCAGCACAAAACACTTCGGGAAAACCCCCTCCATTAACGACAAACAAAAACTAGTAATTTTTTATTGCTGATTCAAAAAGTCCCGCTTTTACCCTATTATTTAAGGAGACAAGGCCATTTCAACTGTAATAATAAATGTAAATGGATAAACTACAACAACCTTATAGTTACGAGGTAATTTAATGTCAAAGTATTTAATATCATTGCAGTAGACTAGCAATGTATTGCTGTTTACGAATTACGGCTAATGCTACATCAAAACTTCTTTAGAATGTTATCAGGGCGTTGTGATTAAAGGGTTAAAGAGTGCGTATATAAAAGTGTTCCATTCGCGTGATTAATCGGGAGTATTTCATTCAATCAATTCACGTCATTGGTGTTTTTACAACAAGATGTCAAAGCTTATTTGTGAAGTCCTTAATATCAGTCTTATGCGAAAGTTTATTCAAAAATTGAGACCTAATTCCACCTGTTCAAAAAGTGTACAAGCCTATGCACTTCATTACGTTGCCGGGTCCCTCAAAATCTTGAGTGGTCAGTCTGGAGAACACAAGCGAGATTTGAGTAGTAGAGAATATATTTTAAAATTTTATTAAACCTTTTCCAGTTGTGCACTTTTCGGCCTTGGCATGTAAGCGACTCAAACTTACATAGATCATGGCGGTTGCGATGCGATTTCCATGAGCATTTTCATGCTCATCCGTTTCGAAGCGCTGAAATGTGAAAATCGGGTAAAAGTGTGGTCAAAATACAAAATAAGCAGTTGAATTTTACACATCACTAGAAGCCCATATAATCCCCTGTGAGGTCAATTTGTGTGTTTCTAGCCTCTGGCCATGATCGCGAAGATCAAACAGGCAAACGTTGACTGTGAATGATTTTAAAATAGGGGAATCCGGGTATTTAAAAATTCTAATAAAATACTAGTGTTTCATATATTTTTGTTTAAATTCTAAAAGAAAATTATTGAACGGTCAAGAATCATGGGAGTTTTTGCACCGACGGAAGAGGGAATTTCACCAAAGTTCAAAGTAAAGTGATTTTTTTAAGTAAGCTGAGTTTAACGTCCGTAGACTGGCATTACTAAAAGAGAAGCCGTAAGGCTGATCAGAGAGGTTTTGGTCTCCCGGTTGCTTAGCGTGGATTATTTTGTATTTTTAAGTCAATTTCAAAGGCGTTTTGCCAGACATTAGTTAGTTGACAAATGACTACTATATTTGAGCCAGTTTGCACATGATTCGGTGGAGCTTATCACAAATAATACAATCTGTCTATTATTTTAAGATTTAATCCAAAATGGGTCAACCACTGGAAATTCCATTCTGCTAAAATGGCAGATAATTTATCTGGCTTGCTGAAAATACTTTATTTACCACAGATGACACCCTAAAAAACGGTGACCTTTTACATTCGCAATTAACTTAAACAATATTTAGAGGACCACTGGATAAATTATTGTTTAAATTTCCATTGTTTGCATTTCAGAAATTTCCATAAATACAATCCACTTAGCTATTTACTTTAAAAAAACAAGCTAGTAAAACGCTTGAGATATACCATTGAGCCATTTCCTTAAAGCATGGTCACGTAAACCCTGGTCTCATGCCACAAAATATTTACCAACTTTTCAAAGATTTAATTGTTTTATCATTCATCAAAAAGTATTGCGTGGTAGGATCCAGTGTTTCTGAGCATTTCCGATTTCATGGCATATTTCCATTCAAATTTAAACTATTCGATAGGCAAGATTTTTTGTTGGAAAGCAGTACAAACTGGTTCATCTCTGTTGGAAGATTAACAACCGGAAATTGACATTCATAAAGAAGTGCAGGTGCTGTAGGTTGGTGATGCAAATGAATGCGGGGTAGGCGGGAAATAGGATGGTGCCAGTGTGGCGAATACTTGTTTGCAAGTGGTAGGGATGACTGGTCATGTTAAGCTGCGTGCATTTGAAGAGTTGGGCTTAATACAAGTATACGAACTTTTCCGGATGGAATATAATTGCAACGCTACATCCACCTATTGAATATGTGCCAATATTGATCGTGTCCAAAAAAACAAGAACCTTATTGGCGAAAAACACACTTTTTCGTAACTCGATATGGAACTGGTTCCAGGGCTCCGCCCGTAGGATTCCGAACTAGCGCTCGTTTGAGCTAAAGAATTGGAAACAGAATGAATGTATTATTTGTTTTCTAGAACTCGAACTATAACATGGTATGCATTTGCGCATTCTATTTTGAAAACGACTTCTTTTGTACAAGCTGATGACCTTGACATATTTTTTCTTACATTTGTAGTATATGATTGGTGTAGCCTTGCACCACCTTGATTTAGCATCTGTATTATGTGCTCTTAAATGATATTACTTACAGTAGCTAACTTAGTGGTTTTGGAAACACGTGAAAAAGATGTGATCCTATCATTTACCTGTAAGAGGAAGTCAGGTTCTTTGAGTGCTTATAGGGTATAAGACAGTTTGTGATTAAGACTAAACCTCAAATGCGCCGCACAATCCATTTTTGTACAGCTACAAAACACGATATCAAAAAATTCACGCGAGACAGTTTTAATCGAGTGCGAAAGATTTTGAGCAAAAATTACGACAAGAATCAAAGTGTGCGATTTCGGTATTGTCCTAAACGCGAATCAATAAGGCTTGAAATTTAAATATATATTTTTACATACTTTTTCAAACATTCATTGAAATAACTCTCTCTTAATTATATACATTACATCATTTCTTCTAGTTTCTTATTGAGGATAAGGAATTGATTTCTTGTTAAAATACTAACCGTCCTGACGTTTTGATTTGAAGAAAACTTCCGACTGGCAAACGATAAACAGGTATTGCTAACAACGACTGCTTGTACACAGAAAAGCGCCCTCTAAGCACTAATACAATCCTACATATTCGGTAAAAGGCAAAGGGATGGCATTGACGTAAAAGTTTGATAAAGAAGTTAGCTGCATTAACCACCCACAAATTTATGGTATCGAATTTGCGACGAATTTAAAAATATCCAAACAAGGTCCCTATTGTTTTGATACAGCTAGCCGCTTATAATGAGTTTTCGTATCATTAATAAATAACGAGATTGCAAAAACACATTGAAACGGAAATGAATGCTGATCTAAGATAAACCGATAAACCAAATTCTCGTGTTTCGTTGGATTCTTCAGAGTACTTTGCAACCACATTTATGAAAATGGTTTAATGAGGACTGTTTAAATCGAAGTTCAAATATGAGTTAACTAAGACCTTTAGAGTAACGTAAAATAATCATTAGTCTCAGAACTAAAACAATTGACACGGCATACATTTAGTTTAAACGAAAATGGAAAACTATACATGGAAATAGATGCAAATTTTACATGTGCATCACAGCGTCCGTAGTCTAAGTATGTTGCTTCTAGAACTTTTGCTTACAAAGTTAACAAAAGAAGGAATTAATGAAAACAACTAGATTTAATACTCCAGCACCCAGATAAAGAAGACTTTTCGGAACGATTGAAACTAATACAGTCTGAAGCTCACCTTAGGCCTGGCAAGTTTAATGATCTGCTCGACTTCATTCTGGGTCACGAAGTCGTGCCATTGCAATATGGGTGGTTCAAGCTGAATCACCTCTCCCTTCAATGGACCCAATATGAAGAAGGAATGTGGTGTAAAGTAGTGACAGCTGAGGTGTTGATCTGGAGGCGACAGTAAGTCTGCAGTTCTACAGAGGCTATCGAATATGGCTGCTTCTGAACCTTCGGCTCTTGGACCTAGAACTTGAAACGGTGAAATACTGAACGATAATCTGCCGAATTTTGTTCCCAGAGAAAGTACTGGTCATTCAGAAGTCTATTTTTAGTGCTCAAAACAATGAGTACTAAAAGGATATACAACTGACGTTTAGAAAAAATCTATAGTTTTTTTTAAGAAACTCTGCCTCTCATTTGGATTCATATCAATTACACAGAGCACGTCTAAAATTTGACACTCCAGTGTTGAGTAATTACAATGATATAATTTCACTATTCCTTACATTCGTCAAGTTCTTTTAACAACTGGTAAAACCCGTACATAATGAATTAATGTTTTCCTTCTTAAAATTATGTGTAGTAGTTTAAATCAGTATGAGTAATCACTTTTCGCTGGCATTATAGAACATATGGGTGTATTACGGTGCAAATTTTCACTTACTTTCATCATCACTGTGCGGTGGATCATCACCATTATAGCGTTTCAACTCCATCTCATAAAATACTTTGCTTAAGGCACCGTTTTGTGAAGTAGGGTCTAAAATACACACAAGTTAGTGAAATAGTTCATGATGTTTTAGTAGAAAGCGTATTAACATGGGTATTTTATTTGTCAATTTTTAATAGATTTCACGGCTAAAGTATGAGTATTTTGAAACCAGTGGAAGCGATGGAAAGGGGTTCAAATGCTGGCACTTTAAATGTACTTTAATCTCTAGACTTTCAAATATGTGTATCCAACGTTTAAACGTCAATCATTGCGCTGTAGAAAGTTAAAGTCTGCAAATTTGAAGTAACTATACAGGGCCTAGCCAACAATGGTAAAAAACCCATTGAATAGCACGGCTTTACAAAGTTGTGAATTATTGCTCAGCAAATTAAAAATTAACGCTCTAATGCAGTCATTAATCAAAAGGTTTCAAAAGCAATAAATGAAATGCAAGGGATATGCATAAAAACTGAGTACTTTCAAAGTAAATACTCATTTTCCGGGACTTTTAGCGAGACACTTTGTTACAAAAGTGCATATATTATTTCAATGATCAAAGTGGTCAGTAAGTTATTCCACTTAAAATCCTTTTTTTCGCCGTCGAAAAATTAAAATTTGTGGGAGTGAAAAAGGACGAATCCTCTGAGTAATGCTGAAGCATCTGCCAGGAAGTGAGCGTTCTTAAAACTCGCCTTCTATAAGAAGCTTGTTGGTCACCTCTAGTGCCTCCTTGTATCTACCAGCCTAAAAAGAAAAAGCAGTGGTGGAAATAAATGTGGCACTCGAGAAATGCGTAACAAAGAATAAATCTCATGGCTTGAATTGTATTTCGCTTATTTCCATCAATTTTAAAAGAAACTGTTCGCCTACCCTCCCAAGTGCATATGAAATATGATCATACACCATGTCATAGGTAATTGAACTCGTTGCTGTGTTATCCTGGCTCCCTTTCCTTTGATTAAGTCGATCCAGTACTAATCGGTACCATTCCACAGCACAAGCATAATCACCAAACTCGTAGGCGAATAGTCCCAGCTGCATGCACTGCCAATCTGTACAAAATAACATTGTAAATATTACAAAACATTCCACTGTTACAACCATTTTTGCTTCATTTTATTTGGAGAATACTTTGTGTTTGTCTGTATTCCGTACTAGTCAATATACATTTCGTTTCACTATTTACATCAGTAAATATAATGTTAGCATTAGGAACTTACCAATTGGACTTTATCAAATTACTCAAGGATTACGTATGAATGTTTCATGAACTAAAATAGGTTTGTAATCTAAAACGATTAACCCATACATTCTAATAATACTATGGGGATATTTTAAATTATCCTTACCTCGGATAATGAGTGCACAAGAACCCTACCTGATAAAGAGCAATAAATATAAAGGGAAAATTCAATAAAAGTGATGTTTATTTAAGATGTGTCTTAATAAAGAGGTTTTAGGATGATACATTAATATTTATTGGCCTCGTTCGTTGTGATCCTTATTAGAGTTTGTATCGTTTTTGCCAGTTTAATTACCAGTGTTCTACTTTTACCAAAAACTAGAAGAGAATACTTCGAATGCCGTTACGTTTGCGTATACTTGAGTGAATCTGCTGTTGTTAATCTTAAGGTAACTTTCCACAGCAATTGAATTCCAGCACTAGTTTATCTACCAGTGCTTAGAGAACACAGTTGTATTAAAAAGTGTGGGAATCAAAATCAAATAACTGTTAGAATGTTTGAATTTTTATGGTCCATAGTTCCTTGGTGAGCACTTAATCATGACAGTTCCATCTCCCATTTAAATTCCTTTTCATATCTTACCTATATTATCATCTAAAACTGTGCAACATGTTTTCCCTGATGACGAATCTGATCAAACCGTGAACGCTGCAATTTAACAAATTGGAAAATTGGTAAATACAGAACTATTAATGACTAAATACAACAAATGTTTGTTCAACATTTTATTTGCACTAATTAGAAATTATAATCTCAAAAGACCCGAGAATGACTTTAAAATGCATTTGCTTTTGACATAGCTCCTCTTCGAAAAGTTGCTCAAAATTTCACACAGTTTTTTCTAATGTGAAAAATTACATTTTTCTTTACATTGCAGGGTGCAAAATGGTAATATCGAATTGCTTACAACTTTGGAACTCATTGTAAACCACCCATCGGGGTAAGTAATTTAGGAATCACGCATGAAGCAGTTTATTATGGGAAAATAGTGCTAAAAGTAAGGTTCAACATCACAAACTTTAATAGATCTATAGAGTTCCTTGTAAGTCTTGTAGGTAACACCAAACAAAGCATGGTACAAATTTTATAAGTCCTAGATAAGGACTTTCACAATATAATAGGGCTATAATTCGGTTAAACCTTTTAGGCTATCTACTGCAATCAAAGGTAAAAATGGACATTTACAAATGTTTAAAACAGTTCCGTTATAAGAGTGCTATGTTCAATTTGAAACGCGACATCATACCAGTAAGTTGAGGCGAAGGTGCCGAGGGCAGAATATGTCCCTCCGCAATATCGACTGCGGGTATTTTATACGTCTTTTGCAATCAAATGATGGCATTCAGCGCGCCATGAACATCATTGTCATCAGGAAGCATGTCAGCATACAACTTAAGACGCTGAAATAGCCCCCTGTTTGAATTAAATTCTTTGAAGGCTGCCATTGGAGCCTCCGCAATTCGCTCGCTCTCGTCATCAGTATTATTGATGGTCGGCAAGCCAAAGAGGGCGTGAAGCTCGCTCGTCCAGTTGGATGCAAGTTGAAGTATGGTAAGAAAGGCGGATACTGGATTGGGTGTGACCTCCCGTGAAGCGGAAGATGAAGTAGGTAAGGAAGAAGGGGAAGGCGTGGGACTTTGTTGCTCTGGGGGAGAATAGATCTGTGCAGCACTTTCTAGACGCTGAATTAAGCACCGTAGTTTTGATAAACGAGTCTCCTCTGCGCTGACGTAAATGGTTAGCTCGGAGGCAAGGTTTCTACCGGCGGCAACGGCCTGATCGATATTTGTAAGCGCAGAGACAATGTCTGGGGAGTTCGTAGTACAACCGAATGGAGTGGTCGAGAGTAGATGAAGAAGCAGCATAAGAGGAGTCACATTCGTACATGTCATCTTGTCCACAAGTTCTCCTGTGTAAATGCAAATGTGTGTGTGCATGTGTGAATCCAGATGACGTGCGAATGGGTTGGAAAACTCCCTTCTGGTGACCAATCATGATGCGGAGAGAGTCATGAAATGGGAATTTAGATAAACTTATTTTGAATGCAAAAAATGTCAGTTGGGATGCATTCATTTTTTGGGTATTTGTGTATTCATCACTATAAATCATGTTCTGAATGTTCAAAGCCTAACTTTGCAACTATATCTCAGCGATTACTAGGGACTAGGAATCTTCAAGCAATTGGTTTCTTAAACAGTTGGCCGAATCTACACATTGCCCTGAATGCATAAGAGGTATGATTAGGATAAATTCTACAATAAGGTGCGTAAAGCTGCGTGAAATATGTAAGTCCGATTTCCATTCTTAAATGTGATGTACACGTTTTTACAGAATGCTTGTCGCACCTAGGGAAAGTGGTTAGGGAAACAACTATATAATCCATTTTTCAGTTATTCAGAGTTATGACCTGTTAAAGGGTTTCAATCTTTGACAGAGAACCTATTTGTGGTTTAGTAAATCTTGAAATACATTCTAAAAATCTACAAATTCTGACTGCATGTTTCAAAAGTGGGGAGCGAACATATGCGAACTTCTTAAATTCAATGCTTATTTCCCAAATCCCTAAAGCAGAAAATATTTTGCTTAATTACAGTATCTTGATCGCAGGCACTATTAACCCATAAATACCTTTAACAACAAAATGGAAATTGTGCACAATGCCTAAAATAAATATTACGATCATTCTTGACCACATCATGAACTTAATGGGCAGATTTGACGTTTTTAACACCATCTGTTTACAAGAAATGCACATATTTACTGCCGAGGAAGAATTCCAGTGATAAGTTACATGGCCTTTCGAGGTTTTAGACGCGGCGGATTGAACTGTGCTTAAATTAGATGTGTCTTTAGATTTATGAGTAGAGATTTGGAAGGCGAGAACGATACATGCGTAAAATTTTCCCCTGAGTTCGTTTAAACGGTTAATTTTAGTTAGGGCATAGTTCTAAAACTGCTGGCACCCTGTACGCCAGTACTGCTGCCAGAGAATTGACCACGCTTATTATCTCAAACACTTTGCCCTAACAGGGAAATGACATTGCTCTCAAGAAAGGTCGATGGATTTTACCATGAAAATAATCCAATATTAATGTCAATAAGTGAAAAATAAAACACTTAATGGGACTCTGCTTCATTATTTGTTGATCCACATTCATTATACGGAAATAAGTTAGGCAACAGCTGAAAATGGTATAATTAAACCAGATAAACCTAATTAATACCAAAACTAAAGTTTGGAGCATAATATATATCACAACGGCAATATCACATGAAAATTTAAGAAACCAACTGCAACGCGCTTTAATACACATTTGTTTAAACGTACCTTTTAGGTGACAAACGGTCAGGTCATAGTAATCACGTAAATGAGATGACGTCAACGATCCCTGTAGAGGAAACAAACTACGATCACCTTTAAACCTTTGTGATCTACAAACTTTCGCCACGCTTTGCAGATAAAAGATGTCTTTCTCTATCCGATCTTTTGGCTTTAAATGCATAAGTATGGAGACGGGGGGAGAAACAAGGAATCTGTCAAGTTAAAATCCATGGCAATTTATTCTTCCTCATGATTAGTGAGCACGTCACTAAAGTCTCACATGGCCTAATAATAATTGCGGGATATAGAGGGTGTTAAAAGAATATAACCAATCTGAGAACCAAATCACAATCCTTTAGAGATTAAAGTGAACAACATAAATAGGATGGAATTGGCGACTGAATCAAAACAGATAATTACCGGCCAGTAAGCCAACTCACAATCATCTTATCTACAAAAGGTTTTAATTTTGGTCGTGAATTTAGACGGTGTGATAGAACTGTTCTGTTTTGCTTGAAAAGCTTTTGGCACGTCTGTAACGCGATAGTGGCTTATCCCTCGGTTCCGGTGAGGCGCCACTTTTGGACTTTAAATTAGCCCCCTTGTACCTCGCTGGGTAGGCTGGCCTTTTGTCCGTGCCAATGGCCCAGACACCTTCTCCGTGCTGAATACATATATTCTGCCCGGGTATTGTGTCTTTTTTCGTCTTCAGGGAGTCTCGGGACGCTACACGTCAACAAATACTTTAAAATCCGCCAGCACATCCGCATAATAAATTTAAACTAAATAAACGTTGGGGAACTCCATAAAAAAGCTTTAAGACGATGGAGCAATAATTCCAAATTTCGCGATTTTGATTTTAGTTCGCTATTTCGCCTTTGTTCCTCGAGGTGCGTCAGTATGAATATTCTTAAGGTTGTGCAATATTTGTGTACCTGAAGTTTCGGCTTGTACTAGTGTAAAAAGTGGATTTGTATTTATTTGTTCTTTTATGGGCACTAAAATTGAGTTTTGTTCCATTTAGACCCATGGGATTAAATATGGCTGTACTGTTAGGAATCCAGCTGTATTAGGGATAATGCTATTTTTGGAAGGTTAATCATATGCTTGGAAGACTATTCTGTTTTTTGAACGCTGCATACAGCCTTTTTTGGTGAATTCCGCATGAAGTATATTATTTGTAGAACTCAAAAACTATTAGCCTCCTAATCCCAAACCTACGGCATGGTCTACGGATCAATGGGTCACTTTTTGCGCAAATTCAAACGAAAAAAGGGTATTGATGGAGTTGCTGAAGATGGATACGTTCCTCCGAAGCCGGCTTACCTTTGGCAACGGCGAAGACGGCAGGAAGAAAGGATGGATAACGAAAAAAAGGAACAGGTCACACAGATCAAAATCAATCCCTGGTTCCAATTGTGTTCCAGCCTTCAAAATCAGACGGCCATGGCACTCTTTTCTTTTCCTGGAGACGTTCAGGCTGGAGAATTGGAGGCTTGGGAGGGCGACCCGCTCACAATTGAGTCCGTTGACCGAACGGAAGTTTGGTGGCAAGCCGTCAACATGAGAACGGGGAAGTCCGGCTTTATTCCGTGGAACTACATTACCGAGGAGACCGGTGTAAAGGATGTCGTTGACGCCTGGCATGAGATTGATCGTCGAGAAAGTGAGATTAAACTTACCATGCCTGATCTACCGAATGGCACCTATATACTTCGCCCCAGTTCCAGCAAGTCACTGGTTATGCTAGAATGCTATTTTTGTTTTACATACTCGTTCCATATGTTTATTTTATATTACATGCTTACGTGATACTCCATGATTAAACCTTACTAACACCTATAATGACCTAAAGTAAGCATTGTTTTACATGCACTAATATAACCTACGAAGAAGTTCAACCATTCATATTTTTAGGAGTAGTTCTTCTTTTGTTTACTTTGATATCTGGAAAACGAGGCTCCCGTTTTTATCAAAATCGTTTAATAGGTTTTTCTTATTTTTAATCACGTGTCGTTTGTTTCTTCGCATGCCGCATATTTCATGTTACTTTTCCGTTACCTTACTATCTAGTCAAGTAATTGATTCTTTTCGCAGGGTTTTAACATATATGTCCGAAACCACCTAGTATATAGATAGTCAATGTATTTTTTGGATAATTTTAATTGTTTTATGCCTTTTCATTGAAGCACTAAGCAGTCAGTGAATAGTAATTTACAAACTTTCTGTTACACTGCACATGGACTCAAATCTGTATTAAATAACACACTTACATAGTTTTTCGTTAAAAATTGTACAATTACTATGCTTAGCTCTTCTTGAAATCCTCAGCATCATCTCATGTTGCTACCTGATTTATGCTGTTTTCGTCCTCTGGTGTTGTGTTTGGATCTTGGTGTCCGCTGCTATTTTACCTGATTCATTAAAGTCTGACTCGGTAATTTGGAAGCTGAAAAAGTCCTGATCATTTGTAACAAATACTTTCCGACTCGGTGCTGAAACTTCAACTTTTGGTTTGTAGGTGCTTTTTTTCTGGGGACATTCTTATCATCCATCATCTTGAGGGGAATTCGATTAGTTTTGGGCTTCGATATCACTTCGATCCATAATTCATGCTGGATGGCACCACCATTTACATTAGTAGACTAGCGTTTTGTCTTATTATTACCTCATTAACGATTCAATTTTGACTACGCATGCTCTGAAGGAAACCGTATTTATGGTGCCGTTATTGTTCCTCGTATGAGTGAATTAATTTAACTTGGAAGAATTTTAAAGTAGGTCCGAAAATATGCTTAAGATCATTCAGAACGCAGGGTGGCGAATCCTAATGCTACTGCCTTTAGCTGGTTTTACTTGATAAATTGATAAATTATCTTGAAGAATTTGAAGAAATTCTTTTTGAAACTGAGGATAACTTCGTTGTTGCCTGCTCCATTACCCATGTTTGAAATGTTTTAGTAGCATGAGTTTTCTCTATTTCCCATTTCCTATGCTTGCACATCTGCAAACTTTATCTTCGATCAAAAGTTGGTTTTACGTAAATTGTGCACTTATTCATATTGTAGTTCAAAAAGTGGTACTTTTGCCAGGCTTCCTCTTCATGTGGTCCGTTAGTCGGATGAAATGAAGCATGTCAAGCGTCTCAGCATCTCTAATTTAAAAGTCTGTCTTGCTCGTTGACATATCACATCGAAGAATATTCCAGGATATCGATGTCTTATTGAACGAGTTTCTTTTGTTATCTCTATTGCTTGTAATGCGGAATTTTAAGCCTAGAGGTAGTTATGTCTGTTTGCGCTTCATGACTGTTTTGACAGGCAGATGGACTGCATCCTCAGCAAGACGATTCTATCTAGATTTTACATCTTTTTGCTTTGTACAGTGATATGACTACCATAGCCATGTCGATCTCTATGTCAGATGCGATATGATTAATTGCCTCGTGATTTAAAAAAGTAGCATAAGTTTCACGCGAAAAAGTCAGGCCACTACGCGGTCATTGGCTGTTCATGTAAGTGTGAAGTTATCCATGAGCTAAGGAGGGGAGAGTATGACGATGAACACAAAATATTCATTGCCAGTCAATTCGGAAATCGAACTGTAGCTGTGGTAATTTTATACCTTCAAACCCTATCCAGATGACAAAAATAGTGTTAAAGGTGCCATATGTATTGTTTTTTTTCCTTCATCCTTTTTTTCTCAAGATCCTCTTCGAATCGCCCTATCAGTCCTTTGCATAGTCGGCAGCGCGAAAATCATCAAACACTTCAGTGTGAGATACGATAACAGTCTCAGCGGTTACTTCATTACGCCGGGAAAGAGATTTACCCAACTGAAAGATCTTACGGATTATTACAAAGGTGAGTAGTGGTATGCTTTCTCAAAGTTATTTCCAGTTTGAGCAAATTTCTTTACTGCTTCAGAGCGGATACAGTTGTGCTCAGGCTCTATTTAATCGCTCAATAACTCACTCAACCCACTCTCGCAGTGTCAACTTTGTCGAAATGCACTTGTGCATTGCAACCTGAAATTTGGTGTTAATTTGCCAGCTTGAAGAATTTCGTCAAGAGTATTAATCGTTTTTCGGTGAAAGTGGGTTTTATTTTTCAGTGTGGCCTTCTGTTATGTTCCTCAAGACATTAGCTCAAAATTGTTATTTACGCATCGGTAGTATTTCGCTAGATTCATTCAAATGAAATAGGATGGGTTTAGCCTTGTTTTATGCTGGAATTACCTTCACCCAGAAATCTTTCCTCCATCTATTCACTAATTACTGGAGCATTACCTTATTTAGAAGTAGGTGGATTTTTCGTGGATTTAGTCTAGACAGCTATGCGATTGAATAACTACTCACAGGACTTGGGAAGTAGATTTGTTTGGTACAGTTCGTAAATTTATTCATGCTAATTATTTTCACTATATTTTATCTCCGTTGACTCCAGTTCCTTGTCTTGAGATTTGATTTTTGTTCATTTTTCGTGAATTCCCCTAAAATTTAGGTCCCCAAACATGGAAAAGAAATTCCTGTTTACGATGAAAAGTGTTCTGAAAATATCGTGTTGCTCACAAAGGTGAAACTACAGCCCTAAATTATGAGAAAGTTTTGTTAAAAATAGTAGAGTTGTATTGGCAAACAAATGCAGCGATGAACTGTGATGTATCGATAGCGTAAGGGAAATTTGAATAACAGTAACTTAAGTGAAATGTTGAACTTTAGTAGATTACCCTATGGACTCTAGGTTTTTCGATCTGCAACGTATTGCAATTGTGCTTAACAACTGGTGTAATCTCGAGTACCGGTAATTTTTTGATTTTCACTTATCAAATTCACCTTGCACCCAGCATCGATTGCCTTTATCTCTTGCGCTTCCTTTCTTTGATCCTAATGCTCTCTTTTGTCACGCTTGTGCTTTCTGTAATTGGAAGATTAGTACTGTTTCGAATTCCATTCACTGAAATTGTTGGCAGTTTTTTGATTTTTGCCTACCTTATTTCCTTTATTGAAAATTGACAGCTCTTGGTAGTAAAACTGGTATTGCCATCTCATTTTGCTGAAGACGATCATGCTTATTATATTTTTTTCTAGTTCCTACATCTTGTTTTCTTATAGTCCGTCGTCTCATGTACTAAGTTCCCAGTAAGGTTGTCACATTAAATTTTTTTTGCCAGTATTCCCCCTTTTATGGACTTCTGCGTTCTTAATTCTTTGGTTGGATGCCGTCAATTTCGGTAATTTATAGCCTAATTTTCAGGAAATATATTTGGCTGATCACAGTGAAAATGCTTCATTGTTGTCAGTTCGTTTGCTCTATCATTTTGACACATTCCGACAGCAATAGCATTATTGGGACTGCACCCACTTTTTTATCCGTATTTTTCTCTTACTCCTCCTCCAGCTAACACCGATGGAAAGCCTTAACCGTTGTCACCTCCTATATCCTTCAGTTTAAGTACTGCGTATATTTTAAAAATTTTTCTTCTTTTCCTCAGTTTCTCACGGTGGAAACGTCCCGCTTTTGTCTTCTTCAATGCCTCATAGTCCGCCACCAATTCAGTCCAGAAATTTGCGAATTCCCTTGGAGAAATTGGAAATGAAAACGCATATCGCCCGTGGTGGGCGCTTTGGCTCTGTCTACAGGGCCGTCTGCACCACCTCCGGGAAGCGAAGCGTGGTGGTGAAAAAGATTTCGGGACATATGGGGAGAGGCGCAGTTGTCGCTAGGGCCGAAGCGTGTCATAAGCTCCACAATCGCGCTATTGTCCAATTTATCGGCCTCTGCGAGGCTCCTAAATCTGGACTTATGCTCCTCGTTTGGGAGTACATGCCTGGCGGTAACTTGAGAGACTTCTTGATCAAAAACAAGACCACTGCTGACTACATCAGACTTCAGCACTGGCTTCACCAGGCAATGCAATGCTATCGTTTTATTGAATATGCGTTTTTCAATTTCGAGAAAGTGTAGCAGCTATTAGTTAACGTATATGTATATTTTTTCCTTGGAAATTTGCATTATTTTATCGAGCACTTTTCATTATTGAATCCTATCGGCTTTGAAATCTTAATTACTTGACGTCTATTCATAGTCGTTAGCGAGATTTGATGCAGTTTTAGACATAGTCTTTGGCTCTTTTAAATATCTACCACTGACAGCTGTTAGCACTTGCAATGTTGTTTCTTTGCATTTATTTATCAAAGCAGCATCGGAGAGACAGCATAATATCTTAGCGGAAGACTTTTTTTATGGCACACCCACCTACTCATTACGCAATCAGACAGATGACCCCTATGTAGATCCCGTCAGTTTTTTGAATGAAATTTCTCAGTTATTCAAAAAGATAAATCGGGTTTTAGGCTATGTTGCGAATATGGTATCATTCGTGCAAAGAATTGAACTAAATGCAGGGTTTATTCTGATATTTATGAACTCAAGGCATCTTATTTACTTCCTCCAATATGTATCTTTCATCCGAGGACGTATAGTCGAGTCAGTCGGTCTTCAAAGCTGCTTGTGAAGCTAAATTATCAGCGTTATCGCCTAATTGCTACACATTAACCATAATTATCAGGCATCACTTTTTATAATTAGGACAAAACGTTTCTCAGTTTACTTTACACTATTTATGCCACTGCTTTTCGAATGCTCTTTAGAAAAACTCCGTGGTCTTGATTTCCCTGTCGAAGTTATATTCCCAGGCATATTTCATAAGCTTTTCACACCGATCTTCCTTATATCTAGGTTTGATTTATTGGAGATAGGTGTACAGTTTTGTGTAAGCGGTCTTGGGTTTAAACAAGTGTGTTATTTGCTTGCGTATTAGTTCGTAAAAGTTCATTTTGTAGTGAGCGAAGCTCGATTTAATCCAACTCACTATTTTTAAGTACGTCTCACATCACGTGACAAGTCACGTTTACAGTAAGTCAGGATTTTTAGCCGCCTTTTTTCACTATGAATTTGTTCTCAAATATTTTTTCCTTCCTAAAATCAAGACAGGAAACAAAAGTCCCCGCTTTTTTAAAGTTTCTGCAGTATTTTTGTAGCAAAACGCTTTAGCTCTGCATTTGATCTACGCGATGCGTAAATTTAAAAGATTATTTCGAGCTTTATGCTTCAGATTTGACCTTAAAGAAAGGTAGTTGGTATCTCAATGGAACAAAACAATTTCTACTTCGATATAACGGTGCAAAAGTTTTCGTTTTGCAATGAGGATGTTTTTCGGCTTTTGATTGTCGTCTTGGACTACTATTGAAAAGCCACACTACATATGGTATTATGTTGTTGGTAAAGTTAGTGTGCTTTAATACATATGTAAACAATATATGCGAATAGAAGTTAGTCTTTTTCTTTCCTCTCCCATGACAATCAATGGAAATTTTCGTATGCCTTCTTTAAATGGGTATCTCAATCCTGGTGTTCACGTTTTTATGTTTCCCGAAGATATGTTGTTCCAATGTTTATTCAGTAGGAGTGTTGAATATGTACAAACGTAAACTCCATTGATATCATTTAAACTCGTCTTGGTCGTGTTTTTTAATGCTTACACCACATTTATTGCTCATTGTGCCGTAGTCGAAACCACATTTACGCTCTACCTTCTTAGATTCTGGACGGAATGGACTACCTTGAAGGCGTGGAGGCTTTCCACGGTGAACTGACTGCCTCCAACGTCTTTCTTTCCTTTGAACTATGCGCCAAAATAGGGAACTTTGGCTTTAATGGGCGATTTAGTAAATTCATCAGTGACGCCTTTGGTGAGCTCGGTCTCGTTGCGATTGATTATGCCCTTTCTCTTCCTTACCTTCGCGCGTTTATAGATTGAGTGATTCTCATTGTGGCGTACTGATGTTCAGAAACGTCATCTCCGCTATTCTCATGTTCAAAATGGCATTTGACAACCTATCCTAGAGAAGCATATTTGGATATTTTTATGAGAGTACCCGATTATAGTCGTGGCTGTTCCACTTTTGCAGCTGACTGCCTGCTCATGAGTGTATAAGGTTAAAAAAGAAAGTGAAATGGTCCAAGTGTGTTTTGGAACTCATCGATTCAATCCGTTCATATCTGTGATTTTGCCGTCAACTTTTTGTGATTGTAAATTGAAAACGGCAAGTATAGTAGCAACTGTACTTAAGGTGTCTCATTTAGGAAAGACATTCTGGGATTTCTTTAGCATCATTTTAGTCTTTGGGGCATTTTTGAATACCACTTCACGGGCTGTATTCACACTTTAATTCTATACTGAGAATTATTTTGAATTATTTGGTTCCCTTAAAATTGCCTTATCTATATCCTGTGATAGAAACATTACAGTTGATAATTCAGTACCCTTTATTTGTATGGGAATTGCGCGTTTCTCGTTTGTGTATTTTACTCCTGTAATTAGATTTTACATTTATTAAACCGCTTTTGGTTCACGACGCAGTACTGTTTATTCATATCGACGTTTATTTTCGTGTTTTCAGTAATATTATCTCTGAATGGTTATTTTTTGTTTAACAAATGATGTATAAAGTGCAATCGACGCAATCATTTTGGCTAAAGGTGCTGCTGATATAATTTTTAATGCAAAGGCTTTGGTTCTCTTTAAAATGCAATTTTAATTTTCTATCCATTTATTTATTGCTATCCGTTAATACTATTTCTTTTGCTTAAAGCGGGCTAGTAGTGTAGAACAATAACTACCCTTATTAACTCTAGCTATAATACGTAATTTTTAGGAGATTCTGACCTTAAGCGCACTAAATGAATCTTAGGTATACATTGTCAGGGGGAGTGAACTATCTTAATGATTCCAAATTCGATCGGTTGGGCGATAGGAGAGCTTGTAGTATAATATATAACCAACTTTTGACTGGATCACTTTCACCCTAATAAGCATGTCTGCAAAGAACCTGGCGGAATTGAACGGAAGCTTTTTTCTCTGAATGCGTTTTCCTATATTTTCCGTGACCAACATAGGGACATGTACAACTGTTAAAAATTTTTCGCACAAATTTTCAAGTTTGTTCTCAGTTTCCCTAACATTGTGATCGTTCCTTTCTGTAAAACGCTCCTTGTATGCAGAAAATCTTGACTTGATTAATCTACTGAACTATGATTTTTTGTTAATATTAGGTTGGTTGAACATCTCTCCTTATTACTATCTGTTTGTCCTCGGGCAGTTTACTTAATCTTCCTCAGGAAGGGTTATATTACTGTGACGTGATTTATTCGTTGAGCTTTAACGAAATGATTTTTGTTCATCTCTATCGAAACATGGAATAAAATAACGTATTAACAAGCAACTATTCACATAAGCATTCATTTTATAACAGCCGGGTTGAAATTTTAAAAAGATTGAAATGCGTTGCTTTAAATTTAACTAACTAGATTATTTCTATTTGGCAAACTTCCAAAACGCTGTTTATTACAGTTGCTGCATATGCTCTATTAATTTTAGGTAAATTTTGTTTCATTTATATAACCACTGCAAAGGATCTTTTATCAACGATCCAGATATCTCATTTTCCACATTACTTGTATGTGTTTGTGCTACGAGATCATTGACAAGCACGTTTCCACTTCGGTAGAGTGAGATTTCCGAATGTAACTGAAGCACTTATGATTCTCTACGCGTCTTACTTTCGCCTTTACGATGACAGACATTATAATTTACCTCATATCTGCGACATTCGATTTGAATTTCCTCAAGGCAGATAAAGCTACTTGAGCACTTCTATGAATTGATTATGCATAAAACTAAAGTGCCTATTTACATATATTTACCCACTTCAACCTCAATGCATCGATATATGCGATTATTAATCGAACAAGTTCAGGGACTTTTCACTATATTTTAATGCTTGATTGTGAGTGAATGCATTGGTGAATCAGCAGTAGAAGCAAATATTTTTCTCAAGGCAAATTAGTACCGAAGTTAAGTCTCCATAAACGGCCACGTTGAGGAAACGCTTAATAAGTTAGTCGGAATGCGAGTCAAAATAATTCAAATGAACGGTGATCTGGTAGTGTTTGCGCGCTCAATAGCATGCAATATATGAGGACTGGTAATGATACCGTAGTGGTAATAGTTAGAGTCTCCTTCGACATTAGTGATGAAGGTACTGCGTTAGGTGAATATTTTAATGGGAAACTGTGGCACACTCAGAAGTAATACGTGATAAAAATAATTTCATTCTGGCGAAGCTCAGGTTATTGTCGAAAATTGGGTCGTGTGAGAGTATGTGAAATTAATCAGGGTAGTCAATGTATTTACTTCACAAGGTTGGATTTTTAATCGAGTTATACATTTTCAAGTCTTTTTTCTGGTCTGTGATAATCGTTTAAGCCTACATATTCATTCTTCCAAAATTCCAAATTTTACCATGAAACCAGTTAACGTTAATCAGCAGCTGCTTGATTTCATACAATTCTTACATGATTATCTGTAACCAAAATTGCAAACGATCAGGCTCGCCAATTTTTTAAACAGCTAGGTTGCTAGGTTTTACCTTAACGCTGAACTAATCATTCACTACCTTTTTGTTGACCATTCCCCATCTGTTATGTTTCTTCTCCACTCCAATATATCCCACCTAAAGTTGAAGCTGATAAAATTTGTTTACAATGTGCTATGTACAAGAAATCAGAAGCTAAAAATGTGTTTATTTACAGTTACAACTAAAAGTTTCTTAGGAATAGGATAAGATTCTGATAAAGAAGACAGGTAGACTGTGACTTTGGCTTCAAGATCAACACATTGGGCAGATGTCAACGGGGGAGACGAAGTCACCACAGGTAGAAACTAAGGTAATGCCTTGGGAAATTATGTCATTTCGGAAACGCGAAAGACAACACAAGGATATGGTAGTGAAGTCCGCCTTCAGGGGCGCCAAATTTGTTCCTACTACTTCTCCCTTTTTTATCGTCTTTGTCGTCCCCTTGGGCCGTCACCTCATCGTTAAGTACTTCTACTTGTTGCTTCCGTCAGTATAGGACTCAAATTATTATCTCTCCCTATCGGATGGACAATTGATGTGATAATGGGGACTTTAAATGAATTGAATACTGCGGCAGTTCCTGTATCACTGATGTCAACTTCAATATCTTCGTTAGCAGACGAAACGAAGAGGGTGAGTAGGTAAACGGGTATGAAGGTTTCAGCTGCGTCCGGAACTTCAAAATTACGGAATTAAATTTTTGCACATTAAGGGCGAGATGAGGGTAAATGGCACTACTTATCGTCTGCAATCAGTTATCATATTTAAACTTGATCTTAAGTCACAAAATATCTCATTCCTCAAAAGCATCTTCTTGTTGAGGAGATGGAATTCTTAGATTTTGGATGATATCGGATTTTAAATTTTCTATGCAATTTACCGGGAAAACGGCGAATCATATTAATCATTGGTGATTTATTCGCAAGTGAATCCGTTAGGTATATCTGATTCTCTCCAACTTGCCACCGATTTTACTTGGGATTACAGAGGCAAACCACTAAGATTAAGCTGCCAGTAAGTGTGTGTTTTTCTAACAATTACTGAGGTTTTGACTAAATTGGAACACCTACGGTGGATAGCTTAAATGTGCTTCCTTTTGCGTATATCACGGTATGCATTCAAGCTGATTTGAGTTCATTTTCCGTATTGATAAAAATAATTTAATTAAATGAGCAAAATTGGCCATGTTAACACAGTGGAAAACTTATGTCTGTGCGTTTTAATAAGAGAGAACTCATGGGTAAGAATGGGAATACGGCTGTAGCACTTTTGTTAATTACTGAAGTATATAAGAAAAAAAATGGTTCTCCCCCTTTCTGAACTATTTGAAACCCAGTAAATCGGTTACTTGTGCCTTGAAAATTCTGTAAGGTCCCATTGCCTTCGAAATTTGATTTAGTTGACGAGAATTCACTGCCATTATGTGGTATCTTTTTAGCTCTTTGTGACCGCCTTGGAGATATTCGTAATGTAAATCGAATGCAATCTAGTATTGAAGTGCAGGAACGGAAGTTTAAAGATTTATACCAAAATTCGTTCGAATTTACAAGGAATCTGAGGATTTTTTGAAATTTGTCTGCTTTAGAATGTTAAAAACCGAAAAACTGATTTCTTGAAATGAATGAGCTGAGTTGCAGTGACTCTGTGAATCGCCATCTAGATAACGTAACACTCATTCTGACGCATTTGGCTCGGTTCAAATAGTGGAGCTTTCCGTCTAAATCGAGCATGAACCATGTTAGGGCGTCTTTCAAAATCCAGCAAATGGCTTATTTTATTCTCAGCTCATTTGCATTCATTAGCATAGATGACGCGAAAGCTAAAGTCTCAATGTTTTTAGTAGATTAGTGTTATTAAAGACAGAGTTTGGAGTGGTTCAACGGTAACAAAATGAAAAATGGAATTAATTGTGATGGGGCATCCATCCGTCTGTTGCAGATCTGTTTATACATATCCGCTTCTATGTCTGTTCCAGATTTAGCCATTCATACTGTATCAATCGCGGTTGCGAAACTCCAGGGCCGATTAAGCCATCTAGTCATTCATATATCCTGGATCCGTCTATTCATTCATCCATCATTCGATTAGCTACTCAGCACCCGAGTTAGAAGAGATTTATCGATACACTTGATCGTGTGGTAACTTGCAAGCAAATCGTCAGTTCGAAGTTTTCATATTATTTGTGATCGCGTGTGGAATGCTGAGGACTGTGGTATCATTTGCTACACTTATCTGATATGGAGTCACATGATTACCTTTTTCACTAGATTGGCAGTATTTTGAATCGAGAAATGTCAGAGCTTCCTGAAAAACTGATTTTTCACGAGCCCAATCCAGGGAAAAATGATTTCTCAAACAGTACGAAGTATTTTCTAGGAACAAAAGCAAATCTTGCTATTTATCTGTGTTTTTCCAATTATTTTTGATCGTGAAAGTATGGATATATGATGGCTCTTTAGATAGGCTAACCCAAGATTGATTACTGGGTAAATAGGCTGATCTTCGCATCCGATTTTGCTTCCATGTCTCTAAATCCTTGCGTAGTATTGACATTCCACCCTTAACCTGAAGTAGACTGAATATTACTAAGTATGCTTTACTGACTGCTGCCTAGATCTTGCAGAGACGCAGGCTGTGAGGTGGGCGGCGCCGGAATCTTTGGATTCCTCTCATGTCTTCGACATTCGTTGCGACATCTGGTCCTTTGGGGTTGTTATGTTCGAGGTCTTTACACTTGGCTCGACGCCCTATAAAGGTAGGTAGTTTCTAAAAATGGAGTTTTGAACGGTTTTGCATTGGGTAGATTGGCAATTTCAACTGAATACAAGGCTAGTCATCATTGTAGGGGATCTCAAACTAGCTGTCAATTGCGCAGCGCGTGAGTAGTTTGCGCATAATTTATGCGATTCGAAACACAAGAATTCGTTTGGATGTTAATGGCGTGTTGAAATTATGCGGCAGTAGACCCCCACATTAGAGCTTGTCGTTGCTGCTTCCACTTTTTATGCGGAGCATTGGTCTTCGCATACGCGGCAGAGCCCAGCCCTGAGGTACATGACCTCATAACATTAGCACTACCACATTATTCTACTTAAAAGTGAGAGGGCAAAAGATAAAAATAGGTCATTCACGCTAATTGCTGCTTCAATAGTGTTTATGGATACTTCGGTAGAACCGATATCCATTACACCTATTTTGTCCCACCATAGCCGTTTATAATTACTCGAATATCACCTCACTTTTTAGCAGATTCAATCATCAAACTTCCCATTGGGTTTAGTCTCCAAATCGTTCTCAAGGTAAAAATTCTTCTAAGTTTCGATTAATGAAAGATTCAAGTAGCAACGTTATTGAACAGCAACATACCCTACTGGGGAATATTCCTGTTGCTGTCTAACTATGCCATCTCGACATTCAACAAAAAAACAATTTGGAAGTATATGTCCCGGAAACTTTATTGTTACGGTTTCTAATCTTTTGGTTGGTACGGTAGTGCGTCCTCATCAATTAGATAAAATTACATCTTGGTTAATGAGAATTTTTACTCTTGGACTTTCCAGAGTGATCTCCCAGTACCATAAGTGAGTCGCCTTGCTATTTCTGAATATGAGTCCTAACACTCATAGCTCACTTTATCCTTGACTGTGCTGATAGCAATTAATAAAGTTAAGTCCTAATGGGTATTTTTAGTCTTCAAATTGAGCCATGTAATGTTGAGGTCTAACCCAAAACCTAGGTACATAAAAGGTATAGGCAATATAATTAAGTTGTTTTGACTCACACATTCGATACATTCTCGTAGGTGTGCTGCCACTATGAGTTTAAAAACAATCATTCTCAAGTGCACCGACTGTTGAAGATCAACTTTTGAGTGCATGCCAAAGTTTCTCCCTCTGCAGATATGGACGTGGAGGAGGTTGTGGAGCGGGTAAAGGCGGGTTACCGGTTGCCGAACCCAACCAGTCTGGGATTCTACTGCGAAGAAGTGATGTACGAGACGATGAAGAACTGTTGGAACACTGATTCTACTGATCGTCCTACCTTTCACGAGCTCTGGTTTGTCTTCGAAGACCATTTGGCGAAGGATGGCGATGTCTACGCGGAGATCGAATGAGCATTGTGCTAGCACTGTGCAGCACCACCCACCACGATCTGCCTTATTTTTGACAAAAATTGCTTTTTTACAAAAAAAATCCAAGTGCTTTCAACAGGTTTTCTAATTGTGGCTCTTGGACAGCGTCCGAAGACTACGGTGTCTACGTTGTTGCGTTTGCACTGGGAGTTGTGACGGTTGGGTAGAGTGCAAAAGTGCGTTGCCTAATCACTGCCTAGGAGTGGCTCCATTCAAGCGGTGTAGTTCCTGCGGCCAATTTCGCTAATCGGAGTCGTTGTAGCATATGCGAGTAAAGTGGTGGTTTAGTGAGCCCTATCATCCTGTTCCAGGCGTTGAGTGTCTGGTATTCGTGCATATTTTATGGCTTCATGGATCAGCGCCAGATTTCCTTGATTGGACTCCGTGGAGGGTACTGAGCAAGTCTTTTTATCACCAGATTTTGCGAGATTAAATTAGGTGACAGCATTTGTCACTATTCGATGCATAATGTACCCGTGATTGTATCTTCAATATGTGACGTGGTATTGGATGAAAAATGAGTTCATGCGTCAGTATATTTAAATAAAAATCACTCAAAATGAATGCGAACTCTCAAATATCAGGTGGTGGGTTTTATGTTATAGACTGGGATTGTAAATTTGAGTAGGTGTGAAGCATTTCGGAAGGTTACTGCATGCGAATTAATTGCATTTGACGAAGAATTTATTTAAATGCCAATTTTATAATTAAAAACTTTTATTGAGATTCCTTCGTGGAGATTAAATGGAACAATCATATTGGTTTCGTGAAAAGCGATCTTTTAGTTCACTTCAAATGTTCTCTGAATTTTATTGATCAGACAGCAAAATCAGACGGAATGACCTTGAAGGCATTGAATTGCTAATGCTGACTTCACGTTGGCCGCCGAAAATAGGCTAACCTTCATTGTCACTCGTCGGGGATTAGGTTTTTTAGCTCCGCGCTGAAGATGACGCTGGCTGTTGCCATCATGTGTTCCACCAGTAGCTCGCCTTCTTTTACTCCTCGACTTCAGCCAACTGATTTTCGATACTGACTTTGATTCTAATCCCCGATGTCGATGTTATGCATTTAGAATGCAAGGTTTCCTGCCTCGTGTCCACTTTGAAAAAATGTGAATCTCACTTGTAGTAGGAAATTACCCAAGCTATTGTGCTCCTAATTCTCATAATGCTATTGGGCTTTAAAAGAAGGGAGGAATCTTCTTCTCGTCCTGACTGAAATTTACTCAGAAAATTAGACCCCAAACTTGTGCCACTGCGATTGAACTGGTCGATTCATCAAATGTTCACAAATTCGCCATCTTCCGATCATTTTTGGTATTTGTACGATATACAGAAATTAACTTCCACGCATCTCAATTGTCGCCAGTGGTAGAGTGGTGTTACTTACAACAGTTGGGTATTTTGAACGAAAATTTGTTAGGTTATAAAGTGAGTTTCTTCTGCGATCTTTTGAGTGTTACTCCAGGTCGCGTTGGAGACGGGGGCAATGCATCTTGTTTTTCCCTCGTGGATTAGTATGAATTTCCGGAAGAATTCGATCCCTACCCTGGCCGTAACGTTGCCAGCCGATTTTCCCCAGATTTGTTCTGTTATTCGCAGTTGACGCCCGTTCTCAGGTTCTTTGCCGCATGGAGTACCGTAATGAGAAAAGAATAGTGGATTTGTTGTTAAGTATTCATTAGTGGAGCAAGTTTTTTCCGTAGGAATGATTAAAGTCATCTTCCGTATTGTGTGGCAGTGAATTGGCACCTCGGTGGTTTCAGTTTAAGGGCAAGCCTTTACGGACAATAAGTCATTCTGCGGTGGTAATCTTTGCAGAGTTTCACTAACTTGATTTGGACTGAACGAAATCGGGTTTATGCGCGTTCGAACTGTTGGAATAGCCTAAACTATCGGGAACAGAGTGATGACTGATCTTATTTGCTGGTTTTCATAAAGGCAAGAGCATAACTATTTCTCCCCCATAGGGCATTAGCCTTTTTTACTGACCAAGCTAAACAATAAGAAGAGTGGCTGCGAAATATCTATTTTACCTTTCATAGCGGTAGTTATTTGGTGACTAGTAATTTAACCATTAAATACACACTTTTCTATATCCACTCTTGCTACCCAAAACAACCTCCAAATGGGCCATTAGAGGCGCTTTCTAATATTCCTCCAATCAAACTATTGCTACTGTTATTTCTTAAACCGATGGTCATCCAAATTACAACCACTAACATTCCAGGATACATCCGGTGATTGAGGGGGGCTTTCGACCCACGAGGTGGAATGGTGTCAGGATTGGAAGCTCTAAGGGCTGATGCCCACAAAGTGGGTAAAAAATAAGAATCTCAGTCACCCTATAATGCCACAAAAGGGCATAAGGGCAACACATCAGGTTCTAGCAGTTCATAGTTTTAGTTTGCTTAACTTAGGCGGACGGGAGAGGAGTACTGTGGGTCGATTAATGGCTCGCATGGTCTCCGGATCGCTTCGGTAGCTAGCCGACTCACTCTGACTGTCACCAGCGCCAACGCCAGCACCTTCATCCTCATAATCATCCCTGCCACTCCCGCCCTCAGTCTCCCTATTTTGGTCAAGCAACGTTGGGGACACCTCTTCTCCCTCTCCTGAAGGAACCGCCTCTAGCGACGTCATGTCATGACTGTCTCTCCTTTTCAAGGCCCCCTGAATTGTGCTCCCCTCCACTTCTGCTTCCACCTCAACCTCTTCACTTCCTCTGCCCACCAACTTCGGTGTAGCAATACGAATCCGCTTGCTGAACCTGTCAACTGAGTCACCCTTCAGGTATTCCAGCTTATTCCCACTTGTTAAGTCCAATGCGGGCAGTTTTATATGAGCAATCGACCTCAGAACCGTCATGATGTTGGCAATGATGTTTCGGTTCTCTGAATTACGATCATGGTAGGCGCGCAGCATCTCAATGTATAACTTAGAGGGCAGTGTCTCCCACTGCTCTTTGCGATACACCTCCGGTTTGTACATCCACGTCTCAGATTCCTCTTCCGCCTCCTCTGTTGCTTCCTGTTTCATTGAAGACGGTTTTGGAAATGCATTGGCAACCGTGCCAAGGATAGGTTTGAAAATCCCAGCGCCGGGAAGAGGTTTTTCCACCATCTGTGGTTTCGGTTTCTCAACTCGTGGACAGTGCTTCTTGGCAACGTCCTCTAACTCCGCCATATTCTCAATCACCGCAAAGAGGACTTTGAAGAGATGCTTCCTCGTTATTTCTTTTCGACGTAGAATGCGGCACTGAAAATAGTGAATCAAGAAGGGATGTGGGACATTGTAGAGGAAGTCCGCCAATGCGTAGTAGGCATAGCCAATGGGACGAAATTTGGGCTCTCCGAATTCATAATTGAGACGAGGGAAGTGGAACTCCAGTGTCCTCGCCTTAGCAATCTCCATCGCCGTGTGAAAATCCAGAGCTTTTCGCAGTTGCTCTACATGACTCTCCGTAGGGCCCATGGCAACTGCTATCATTGTCACTAAAGCAGTAATGAGCGTTTCTGCCGCCTTGAGCAGGGAGAAGTGGAGTTTTCGTGCCAGAAAAGCGATCGTAAGGGAAACCTCTTCTACAATCAATGGGTTCTCCGCATTTAGGCAGAAGATAAGAGCGTTGTGTAACTGAGTAGTGTGATGCTTTGTCCACTCGTCGAAATCCTTCAACCGTCGAGGTGTGTTCGCTAGTTCACAGAGTTGTCTCAGCGCTTCCACTCTTTTTAAAGTATCAACTCGCTTGCTGGCGCTCGCAACAGCCCCTTCGTCGATGAAATCACTGATCACACTGAGATTTGCCTCAATAACACTCACTGTCGCAACTTTTCGATGTCTGGCTACGAATTCCCCGATGCTTGCCAGCCTGTTGAGGAAGACGTGGCGTGGAAGGCCCACCACGCAAGGCAGGGAGTCAAACACGGAGTGCATCAACGGCTGCTCCAAACTCACGAGAAAATCTCGAAGACCCTCTTTTGAGCGCTCTATCGAACACTCTTTCGCCTCACGCATGATACCCAAGGGAATTTGGTTATCCTCAGGGTTGGTCTTACCATACATGATGTAGAGGACAATAAATGTCATCAGCACGCGGCTAGGTGCACCGAGTTTTGAAAAAAAAATCGATCAGGAAATGCATTCATCTAAGGAGCAGACCAACGCTCCGCACGCACTTTTGAAATCTGTTAAATGCCCCTTTTTTCCCATCAATTCATTTAACTGCTCAGGACACCAATCACTACTTTTCAAATATGGCAATGAACAACACTTAAGTATAAATCAGTGTGAGTTCGTGATCATATTGGCCATAAATAGCAATACTGAGGTCAACCGTTCCCGTCTTTCGTCGGAACACACACACACGGACCGATCGTGCAAATAGCTACACCACAAACCCAGGTGTGCATTGGCTACGCTCCCACTCAAGACAGCCAATGGGATTGCTCGAAACTAACGAAGGACTAGATACAGCCAAGCGACAAAGCACAAGCATACTCAGAAGTTGGTCGGTGCCTGATCAATGACTTGAGGATTGGGCACGATTCACATACTACTGGCTGCATTTGGCCATGCACTTCCGAACATAAACCAGTGGTTTATCGGGTTTTTTAGTCCTATGAATAGTAATTTTCTCTCATGAATTGGCTTTGCCTTGTCAGCAATGGCGACGATGCAGCAATTTTGGAAAGCTCAGTCTTTTTTGAGTCGCAATAGCGAGAATCAGCAAAGTACAAAAGATAGTGAAGTAAATCAAACAACCAATTAAAGATAGCATTAAAATGTGCCCAATTTCAAATAGCAATGTCAAGTAAGTTCGCACCCGACTCGCCAAGTTGCAAGGATCCTGTGGCAGCATCAAATTGACCTAGAGTGGATTTTCGGTCTATTCGAACAGAACTCCAAACCCTTTTACTACACTGCATTCCCACCCAGGCTCCGCAGATGTCAGCCACCTTCCAGATGGTTTTTTCAACTTGACCCATACCAAAACTCGCCCACTTGTCCTCTACTGCAATCTTCCACACACCACCACTCCTTCCGTTGGCACAGCGGACGAGGTCAAGTTCGATGAAAGACGCACGAAAGCCCGGTAAACCAGGATATGGAGCGTCTTTAAGAATGCTTCTCGGAACAGTGAAGTCGCAGGCAGCTGATTCTATCTCGGACTTGAACAGGCGGACCTTCAGAGGTGTGACACTCTCCTTGCTATCACGCCAAATCGCCAAGAGAGTCAAAGGGGCAGCGTCTTGCGAGGACGGTGTAAATCGATGGTAATTGCGGAAGACCAGTTCCTTTACATCGAAACCAAACCCAATCTACCAATCAGAACAATTGCGGAGGATAGTAAATAAGTACTGCCCAATTTTCTGATCCTTTAAGAAAGCGGTGTAGTACCTCAAAGTAGAAGAGCTCAGCGGGACTCAGGATCTCCAGGGGGCGAGGAGAGATCCAGGCCTGCGTAGAGGTATAGTTAGGTCGGAAGAGCACTTCCACAAAGGGCAGACGAAGCACCAAATTAGGAGGGTGGAGTAGGCGCAGGGGCAACGTTGAGCTTACCACTTTCCTGGGCAGAAAGCCATTGTGATCGAGTTGAATGCCCAGATGTGTATAATTCAGCCCACCGAGTGTTTCAGTGGCGTTGAATAGAGCAAAAACATCCACTTGCTGTGATGGGAGATCATTTGCGCCGAAAGCTAGTGATTGCACATACAGCCACAATTAATACATTTTAAACTGTAAGTTGGGTACTTTTATTGAGGATTAATGCAAGAGAAGTCTTATGGATCACCAGAAGTGATGCTGCCATTCTACACGTACAAATGTAACATCGTTGATACTTTTTATTGTTATATAGTTATATTTTACTTTAGTGTAGGTGAACCTAAGTAAAAGATTGCTGATTAAATTCTTGGGACTAATTCAGGCAATTTTGGCAAATTTTGTCAAATTTTCAATGATCCTCAGTCAACAATGTTATTTTGGCAAAACGAGAAGTATAGAAATGGAGATGTCCCTCAGAAAAGAAATGTAAGCGAAAAAAAAGCTACAGACCACACCATAAGACTCCTGCATCAGCAGCCAGATATTTTGTTGCTTAATATTTAATTTCTGGATTTGGACGATTTACGAAAAAATAAAAATTTGTTGTCACATTTAGCAAAACAATAGCAGAGTTACTAAAACCAACAAGGGCTGATAACTGATCTTGTAAAAACTACGAATTAGAACAAATTGGAAAAAACCGTGCATTCCGTGACTTTAGAGGGTGAGTGCTGCAAGTTTAAGTGGTTCATAAATATTCAAGTGACGCTAGGTTAGCTAATAGTGGTGCGGGAATCTTGCAATTCGTTTAACCATTCTCGGTAAATCTTGACAATATGTTTGCGAATATTTCACCTAATCCTCAATGCACAAATTATGCGACCTCATATGTCTACACACTTACCATGATACGAATAGCAGTTCGTTTCAAGGGGTTTAACGAATTCGCATGCCACCTTGATCAAATTATTTATTCCATTTCGTACATGTAAAGGTACCCTCTTTTCATCAAATTCTGATGAAAAAATCGATTCGAGATAAAGATCGATGTTTTCGTCAGATGGTAGTTTTCTTCCTAACAGCCTTCCTTCCATGTAGTTCACCATAGCAACATCGATTGTCGAGTCGAACTTTCTTCCAAAGGCCATTGGGCTATCAGCAACATTCAGCGCCTCGTGGAGCCGAAGTAGAGCCTGTGGACCGGAAAACACGGAGGGTGAGCAGCCACACCAATCAGCAACGGTGGTCTTCTTACAGCTGCAACCCTGTGGACGTTGCCAATTGGTAAGCCGAAGGTTGGCATTGATAACCCTCTCGCAGAAGTGGGAGTTGTACGCAAGAGTGTGAAAAAAACTCTCCACCGGGAGAATTGCATTCCGGAACCAAATTCTAAGACCTCGCACGAGATCATCATTACCAAAAACGGTGTAGAAGGCGAAATCGCGTGGCAGTACCAGCCAATCAGAACCCCCATGGATGACTACTCCGTTCAGCGGAGGACGTACACCAGCCCGCCACACGTAATTCCCGCATTGGACAAAAGCATATTGTAGACCTTCGGAGTGAATGTATCTAAGGCTCAAAGTTACCACCGACGAAAAGAGTAACCCACTTAAATATCTCTTCAGCCGTCTGTTTCACAAATATCCGTCCGCGGTGGGAGTCAAGCAGGCGCACCAGTGTTTCAACTGGCCTAAAAAAAATCAGAACGCAAAGACCAAAGCTTACATCACTGGCAGATCAGTTTCACTAAGGTTGATGAAGAAGTCCCACTTCCAGTGGGGAAAGTTATAGAAGAGGTCTTCCAGAATGGAGAGCAAGAGATCCAACAAACTGGGTGCACCCCAAACTGGATTTTGACGGTTAGAGGCTACGTGCACGTTGTTTGGGAACAGTTTGGCTAGGCTTTGGCACCGAGAGTATAGATAGTCACTTTTCTAGAACCATGTTGGTGTACAGTAGAAAGAGACGTTGAACCACATAAAAGCTTGCCAAGATAACATACCAAATCTACGTGGATGTAGAAGTAGTTTGAGGTGTGATAAAGAAGACGGAACATTCTCTGGACATGTCGCCAACTTCTACCTGTAAATACAAGCACGTAGACGATTTTCACATTGTCAAACTCCTCAGATGAAATCGAAGACAAACGGCCCAATGGTACGACGGGGGCCACTGTGGCTAAAATGTTTGACAATCGGAGGATATCAGTCATGTCACTGCTAATAAATCCTGAAGAAAAGTAAGGCTTGTTTTTGAAAGATAGCCCATAATAGAAAGGTTGGACACGTTAGTCAACCACTGTGCTGAATGAGGACTTTTGATTGATCCATTTCCACCATTCTGTACTGGTCTTAGGCCACAGCAACAAGGACAAGCTTCGAGGATAAAATAGTGCACTTAAGTACTATAGTACTTCATTAGTTATTTAGCTCTCGCACCTCACCGATTTGCTTGAAATGATCCAATACTATAGGAATAATGGCATCTATTGGCATCAGACATCGGTTTCAGTTTAATCACCTCAGTCCCAGATCGGTTCTTCTCCGTGACTTACTTAAACGGGCAGAAACTCAAAACAAACCAAACCATAAAATCAACATCAGATTGAATCATCTACTGAAATGCCTTGGCTACATTAACTTGTTCTACAACGGTCATAAGCGAAAACAAGATACCACTAGTTATCAACAGTTTTACGAGAACAACAAAATGCTTAGGAGTATCGGTGACACAAAAGCCAAAAGCAAACTAAATTGAACGACTGAACAATATACGTAGGGAAATCAAGAATTTCCTAATTACTAGTTTAGTAAAAAAAACCAAATAAACTAATTCGGTAAGGAGTGATTTTGCGGTAATTATCAACCGGTAACCCCGCGCTACCTCGATGGATCATATATTCAATGCAAGAGGAAGTGCTTAAAACAAAGGTTTACGCGAGACAGATAGAAAAATACCCAGGTGGTAAAGTTTTTGTAAGAGGATATTAGCCACACAAGCTACGACTAATTCTAAAGTTCTGGTTAAAACTCGTTGAGAAGGAAACCAAATTAGACGAATGGAATATTTTTGAGGTAGAGACCAGTTTGCAGGACACCACTTGACTTACACAAAACATCGAAGCAATCCCTTTGCGTGCCGTTCCTTCCTAGCTAAAAGTGGATTTTAACTACACTGGTTACAGAGATTGCACACAAATTACATTTGTTTCAAAATAAATTGCACAGTGAAAATCGAAGTGGGACACACCGAGAGAAGAGGCTAATATAGGGGAGTCAAAAACGCCGATAGTAAAGACATCGATGGCCGTTTCGCCACCGCAAGTCGTAGCCGAAGGATCCCCAGGACATGCGACGGTGCCGCAAAGCAAGGAGGGAAGCATGAAGACGGGCAATCGTCGATCACAGTAGCAAAGAGAGCCTTCTGCTAAACCCGCGAACGTCAAACCTGCCCATCGGCAGGTACGTACGCAGTGGTCAGGTGAGTTGCGCAATGTGTCGTTATAAAACACCAGACGAAGGGGTGGCTGTGCTCGCTCGTAGTAGAAACAGCCTACGTGACGGCTCTCTTCGTTTAGTGCGGCTACACGGGAAATGCGACTGACTTACAACTAACACAAAACGAACAATCAATTTAATCCAAATTAGTACAACGCAACTTCCTTAAGTAAGAAAAGAAAAACGCATCATAGATCTGTTTCAGCAATTCAATGAAACAGCAAGCTTCACAAACCTAGCTTGGGGCATCGGTTTGGCAGTCGCACAGGCTTGAGGAATATGCCATCATTGATAAGTCCTGAGACAAGACCTGAGCAATCTTCACGAGACCAATCGCTTAAGTTTGCATATGTCGTGAAGTAGGGGAAACCAGTTCCTTTTGCATGGCACAATTTGCGGATCTACGGGCAAAGTAGTTACATGCTGTACCAAGAAAACTTGCCCATAAGAAATTAGGTAGTAATATGACAGAGAGCAATAGGAAGACCGATAGCTTAGCACTTAGAAGAGGGGTACGAAAACGAATGAACAGCATTGCTCCTAGGTTCTTTGTAAAGCCGTGGAGTCGATCTGGACAACCACATCAAATCTCCTGATTTCCGAGGCTAAAATTAGTCAACAGAAACCAAATAAGGGAAATCACTCAGCTTTCGATACCACAAATTAGATTTCCACGGCCCTGAGGGAAGCTAGGCCACCAAAATAAGTGCAAGTGGAAGGAACGAAATGGACTTTGTACAAAATACCATCGTGCGCGCAAAACGCCACAGAAAACGCAGCTTTGTAAAGCAGATAAGACCCACACCTAAGATGATGCAATACGCCCGAAGCAACGTGATTGACCAGCTGAATCCGAGTCACTGCAAAACCGCCAAAATTACAAGCACTTGCTTTTTGTATTGGTTACCATAATCAACCAGTGACCTACTCTCTGTCGATCGATTCGACTGTGCAAAAATCGCATGAAGAAATGAGAAGTCTGACTTCAACAAACAACAACAAACGATTAAGCTGTGCCCTAGCGGAATGCTCGGTCCATTAGTCGAGAATAACTATAAAGAGTTTGAAAATTTGCCCCTGCATAAGTAGCTTACATAAACAAAACCTTTGGCATTTGTTTGCCAAAATCGTGGTTGCTGAATGCTCATTAACTAAATTTCAATTTACGCCACAGTGATTTTAGCCTTTTAAATCTGTTCTGCACAAAACACCGTTTTCGGAAAAAAGCGCGTAGCTGATGATATTATCTGTAAAAATTATTCTTTTTAAAGATCACTGCCAAATTAAAATAGGTGACAAGTCTGCGTTTCAGATTTGGTCCTGGTAGCAGCCAAGGGATCGATAGTTTTTTACTTGGATTCCTTTAAGCGGCGGCCTGCATCTGGATTGGAAGTCGTGTTTTGCGAGTTAAGTTTCTGGACATGGAGCCGCCATTCATGATAAAGCTGATGGCCTCGTCTGTTTCGATCGCCACGGTTGCGGGATCAATAATTCGTAGGATTCTTGCAAGTGGCAAACTTGGCATCGTCGATAAAGGTGTCAATGACTTACAGACTCAGGCTGATCGAAGTGTGCAGCATTGTATTGTTACCTCACTTTCCAAAAAGTTCCCAGGAATTTGCATAATCGGTAGTTTGTTTAATTTCCTTCCAACTTCCTTAAGTATTGTCAGATTTGCGCCAATATTTTTGTCTTGCGAATGGACCGTTTATTTAACTTCCTTTGAGGTCCATTTTGTATGCCTTTATGCTTTGTTTGGGGACGTTTCTATCCTTACCTAGCAATGCGTAACTTTTGCTGACACTGCTTGCTGTTTTGGTCTGTTTTATTGACGTCCATTTTCGTTTTGTAAATAAACTGTGTTGTCGTAGGAGAGGAGGATTTAGGCAACAATGAACAACCCTATTCTGAGTTAGTGGAGGATACCGATCCATCTGTACTAGCTAAAAACTGTCCAAAGGGTCTGGAATCTACAACTGTGGATGATGTCGTTGTGTGGGTTGATCCTTTGGATGGTACTAATGAATTCGCACAGGTCAGTCAGGATTTCTCACCCTGTGGCAGTTAAATCCACCCCAAACGGTGTTTTTTGGACGTTGTTTTATGTCAGTTACCCACTTTAAACTGCCTTTTTTCCTACTGGTTTGTATTCTTTTTGTCGTACATGCATATCAGCTGGGGTTCTAAATTTAATTGGTTATTTGACACGATTGCCTATCGAAATTGAAATGGATAAAGAATACAATCGTAAAGTAAATCGACATAATCACTCAAAGATCTTCACGTTGCCATGGCTACTGCGCAATTTGTCACTTCCTCGATCTTGATATGCCTGCACTTGAAGTATCTCTTCTTCTCTATCTGTTCTTGTGGTCTAGGGTGTATTGGAGCATGTAACAATTCTTATCGGGGTTTCTGTGCAAGGTCGCGCTGTGGGCGGAGTTGTTTGCCAGCCCTTTTACATGGCTGACTTCCGCGGGTTTATCGAAAATGCCGGGGAACAGGAGCGTCATCCACGAGTCGAGGAGACGCATCAACGTCTCATCTGGGGCCTCGAGGGTCTCGGAGTGTTTGGCCTTGCTGGTGAACCGATTGCCAAAGCGCCCGTCTTTTCCCCCACCACTGTTGATGAACGTGCCAACTGCATCGTTTGCACCAGATCCCACTCAACACCCACCGCTGCTGCTGCTATTGAATCTTGCGCTCCCTCCAAGGTTAGATTACACTTCATACGGTCTTGGATCCAGATGTAACGAAAAGTACTTTTAGTATTTTCTAATTCGACTCGATAGACTGAACACTTTCCCCAGTGTAATTGCTAAGTAATCGCTGTCTTCACTCCCAATCTACTGAAATCCCGACTGATGAACCAGAGTTCATAAAGTCCTCACAAAAATTAGAGCTAGATGGAAACTGGTGGCATATCGCCCGATAATTTGGCTGGTATGGGTGAATTAAGGAAATATGCTGTGTTAGCTTTTTTGGAACAACAATAGTGGTGTTAACTAGCCTAGCTTTTCTGCAAATGTAATAATTAGGTGGATGTAGCATGTTCGGCTGTAAGGAGGGATTACTGCCGCCTTGAGAAATCGTGGTTTAGCCCCATCGTCGTAGTAGCCGTTATTACCGTTATTTTACCACTTCGTAAAAGAGATTAGTGAGGTAGATAATCTTCCTATTTTCGAGTTGAAAGGGGAGAAAGTCAACAGGAAAAATTCATGATAAACGTGCACAGGTAAAATGAGATGATGTGTGTGGGTGCATCACCTCTGAAATGGGTACAAAAAATCTTCCTGACAGCTAGCGAATAGGGACGGCGTGTGTGTTTTAGGTATAACATATGAGGACACTTATCTTTGCTTGGCTGTCTGCTTGTTTGGGGACACTCATCTGCTACCGTTCAAGTCTACGGTACTTTTAGTTGGATGGCTGATTAAAGGCAGCAGGGGAATTGCTCACAAGTTGGGAGACAATGGCTCGATAATGTCGTAATCGTCGACGTCGACCTTGTCGAAGAGGTTATGCACTGGATCCTCATCTCTCGGAAGTTCTAACTGGTTTTACACTACTTGTGTTTGCATCGCTGTCGCTAGATCTTCCTTTTCAACCTCACTGCTTCCCACTTGTCCATCACCTAATGTTGAAGCTGTTGCAGAACCCAGTTAATTAAATGTAAAGGTGGGGAAGTAGGATAAAGGAAAATCAGTTGATTTACCGAACTCACCTATTACGTGGATTGGTAGCGACTGATGTCATGATGAAATTATCGAGAGGGTATAACGGCGGTTATGATGGTGAGGACAAGACTGATAGAGGAGGAGAATGCTAGAGCATTTGTCGTTGTTGCCAGATTTGCTTCTACGCTGTATTTGTGCTGATCCGTGGAATGCATTGTCCAGCGGGTAGTACCCAGGAGTCGTGATTGAAGGCTATGTGGGATACCTTTCTTTCTTTCTTTCAAACAAACGGTACTTTTAAAAATGGCTACGACAGGAATAACAACTAACTCGGTGTCAAAGTGGATTATACCAACAGAGATTGAGTTGCCTCCGAGTACTTTTGGCGAGTGGAATTTAGTTTTTCTGAAACAGTACCCTGTTGTGGCTGAAGCATAGGCGTTTTTAATAAAAGCTTCAAACAGAGATTGACGTTCACTCGGAGTCGAAGAGAGAATGGTAAGGTGGTCATGTAAAACTTGCCCCAAATGGGCGCACTAGAAACAGACTAACCGAGTCTTCATCATGCTTTGCGTTTGCTTATATATGCATAGGCAAAATATCATTCGGTGGTAAGTGGTACTGATAAAATGTATTTCTTGCTAGTTGTTTTCGCCTGCTTTTAAGTTAGGTAGTGTGAAATGCGATCCTGTATCTCAGATGCTATTTACCTATTTTAGCTTTAAATGCTCAACTTCATAAATGACTACTTTTCTGCTTCCATAGCGTTTATAATCATGACATTGGAATGTTTTCGAAAATGACTTCTATCTTGAGACCAGTCAATTTACAGTCGTGCATGGCGATCAAACTATTGATAAACGGGGTGCTCAGCTAGCGAGGATGCGACTAATGCATGCATAACATGCGGGTGATCTTATTTTTCTGTTTTAATATTTAAATCGAGGAAGATATTATCTTAAATTGAGTTAGCTGACCTGAAAGTTGCTGACCATCATGCATACCCGAATGGGAACAGCAGCATTTTACGCGTTGACCCTATTGAATGGACTAGGCGAGCGAATGATCGGTTTCTCATATGTATTTATCATTAACATACAACTTCGATTTTTGAGCCTAAAAACAGGCTCCATGACGGAATTCTTTTAGTTATCTGAAAAGGTTGGTAAAATCGTGGTTTAGCATTAATTCTTTTAAGCTAGGAAAGTTGTGACAGAAGTATGTTAATTTTTTCCTTGGATGTGAAGACCACACTGCTATCATTGATCCTTTCTTAGTACTAAATGATTGTGAAAATCATTTCTGGTAATGGGATGGTAAGTCATAACCTGAATGCCTTTCCGTAAATAGGTCTACCGGTTAGGTGGATGTGGTTTCAAAATGCTGATGTTGCTAGAGGGCGTGGCACACGCCTACGTCTACGCCAGTACAGGCTGTAAGAGGTGGGACACGTGTGCGCCCGAGGCCCTGATCAACGCCATCGGCGGTCGAGTGAGTGGCGTGGATGGACAAAGTTACAGCTACGCGGGCAACGTTCAGCCCATCGACGCTCGTGGTGTTGTCGCTACTCCTACTGCCGCCTGGCACTCTGCATACATCGCCCGAATACCTCAATCAGTTGTCGACAGTCTCTGCGCCTTCGCCCCCTCCAATGAGTAGGCCTGCGCCTCTTGTGTTTTTCTTGACCTCATTTTTAACTTCTCGAATGAATTATTTTTGGTTGCTTTTAATATTGATGACGATAGTTGTTGACAATTTTGCAGAAATTCCTGTGTCTCTGATTCTCCGTATTAAGATTTTTCACTTGAAGTTGTATTCAGTTGTGCAAGATTTATTAATAGAGAATTCCCTATCGTAGACTCTGCGTAGGCGTAAATTTGTTGGGTTTTGTCTTACAAGACGTTTAACTTATCCCGCCATTAAAACAAGAAAATTTCTGTCCATTGAATCTGAAACTCTAGGTGGATAGCTTCTTGCGCCATATCAGTTCTTCTATATGTTATGACCTTGATAGCTAACACTTGCAGGAAATCAAATTTTTGATGTTGCACAAATTACCAACTCGGTTTTACCATCATACTGGTGGTTCTTTAGTGAAAAGTCACTAGGGGTGATTGGTGATTGAATCTCTGGAATGAACGACAGGTCTTCATGTAAGTCAGGCTGCTAGATATTGCGGTGGTAACTTGATGCAAGAACTAGGGAAGGAGCATTTACGAAATCGGTTTCGGTGAATATTGCACTGGTTTTATAAGATAATCAATCAAATAAAAGCCGTCACTAATGAGTCGAAAACTATCCCATCGTTTCAAGCCACTGATAACAACGGAAATGCTTTTCTGGGCCTCTATTTCATATTTACTAGCTCGGATAAGGTTGCTTGCCGGGGTTTGATGTTTGGAGTTTGTTACAAATGAAAGGCGAACGAATTCGCAATTCGTAAACAGGCGCTACTTTCGTCAGGATACAAATTAAAGCCCAAAATGCTAGTAAGAGGAAATCTGAGCGCACTAGTAGTTTTGCGTTACCCCTGAGGCCGGATTTAACCCTAGTGATGAGTCCGATACTACCTGTATCCCGCCCTCCTGAATCAGGTTAAAAGATAATCGGTTTTGATAACATCTCAAAGCCTTTTGTCTTTAATACAGAAAAGCACGACACAATCATTAACTAACTTTACCACATCGTAACAAATTCTGGGTTGACAGTGCTTGTAATCGGTTTGCGTAATTACCATCTTTAGGGATAGTTCCCGTTTCAATGGTCGATATTGCTTACCCACGTCTCACCTGCCGTTTTTTTTCAAAAAATAGTGCAACCAGTTTGCCAACAGAATCAGGGTATTAGCCCACCGAGTTCAATGACTTCTTGCAAATACTTAACTCACAGCCCACAGTTACGGAAACGGAAAAGTGGTAGGATTAGACTTTGATTATACAAGCCTACAATGAACCTCCCGCAGGAAGCCTGAGCTTCCAAAAAGTCAAACCATATGCATTAACACTAACAAAGCATCCATTTGATAACAATAAATTCATACGAAGACAACAAAGAATACAGAATGGCACTATTTACTATCTGCAATTGATTACTACCTGTAGTTTGCACGTCACACAGCAGATAAACAAAAGACCGGGAAAGCCGCTTTCCACAATTATTAAGATTGAAATGAGAATAAAAGCGACAATAATTCTTCACAGTTTTTTATACAGTTCGCATTGAACAATGACACGACGAAATCACTTTCCTTCCTCGATTGCTTCTGTGATGAAGGGATGTGTGAGGGCATCGTTCAGTGAAATTCGTCTGCTTGGATCAAGAGCAAGCATCCTATCCAGAATGTCCCTAAACTGGTGCACCTTCTTTAACAGTGCTGGAGTCAGTTGGTTATCCGATGTGAGGTCACCTAGTAGATCCCGCGTGAGTTGGACGTTTCGAATCACTGTCGTCTTCGGCTGAAACCGGGTGAAATGGAATCACAGAGAGCTACTCACCAAATACAACTATGGAAGTTGAAAAGCATACTTTATGAGTAACCTTGTCGACGTCATGATAGAGGAAATTGCACTGTTCATCGAAATGAGCATGACGCAATGTACCCCGACGAACCACGCGATTTGGAATACGTCCACGCGTCTCCATGATGAGACGAAGCATCTCGTTATTGGTCTTCCCAGGGAACATGATCCGTCCAGTGTAGAGTTCGAACAAAGTCACCGCTGTGGACCACAGATCGACATTGAAGTCATAGGGCAGACCCAAAACTGGACGACGGGAGGGCGAAAAGGAGAGAAGCCACACCAATTAAAAGGGTGGCGGAAAGTCCGCACAGTCTAGTAATCACTCAGCTCCTGATGAATTTTACGCTCAAGTGGCAAGCTTGCTCACAGGACTACTGAGACAGCGGGTCCACTGCAGCCACGATAACCCAAACCAGTGAGTACAAAAATATCATCACTATTTACACGAACGCCTAACTCTCCCTCCGTACATGACTAGCAGAGTACTAAAGGTTTAAACACTGCGATTCAGATGATCAAAGCATACAATGAAGAACTCCAATGTGCCCCTGAAACCGGGTCATTATCCCAGCAAACTAAGCCAAAAATGACGTAACCCTAAAAACTGACAGAGAAGAGTACGACTCAGACAGCGCTTGCATGAATTTTTTTTTGGCAAAGGCGTCACATCTGGAGATAACTGGTAGATTATGAGGGATCTAGACGATTTTTTTAGTTCAAGTAAAGTGAATAGAATGTGCGCCAAGAAGGCACATTGGCCATTTGAGATGGATTAAGCTTACACATCCCCACCACTTAGCTTGGAACTAAGCAAGCCCACATTTCTAAGTACGATCACCCTACAAACTAAGCTATGAGCGCGATCGATTTCGGTTTTTACAAAACTACCTAATAAACCCGAACCAATTTTCATGTGACTTGAATCCGTATGGACTGAGATTCCTATGAGAGAAAGGTGAAAAATTTAAATAGTCAAAAAGGTAAAAGATTAGTATGTTGGCCCATCGCTTTACCATATGGATACACGAGAAAGCTCAACTCTGTTCGCAGTATTGCCGGGACAGTAGTGTATGTGGTATCCCGCCGGAGTCAAACTGGTGGATGAGAAGCAAAAACGCAGTTAAAAAAGGATGGGTTGGGGAGGAAAAAGAGCAGGAGAGGAGAGGAGACAACTCAGGGCAGATAAAGAAAGCACAAGAGGATCGACTTACTGATTTCAGGTGCACGATAAAAACGCGAGACGAGGTAGGGCGTGGGCTCATTCTCCTGCACCGAGCAGGCGGATCCAAAATCGGAGAGTTTGAGGGTGATCTTACTCTCATTAACCAGCACGTTGTCCGGCTTGATGTCGGCGTGGAGTATGTTACACTTACGCAAGAGCTTGAGGGCCAGTAGCATTTGGTGAGCGTAGGAGCGCACTGCGGTGATGTGAAGGCCCACATTGCGACCGTACTTCTTCAGCACTTCCCGCAAATTCATGTTCATCGATTCAAACACCATGCAGAGGTGATTCTTGTGGAAGAAGTGCCGGTACAGGCGCATGCAGTGGTACCGGTCTTGAGGGTCCGTGTCATTCAGCTTCTTCAGTACCTCCAACTCCTGCAGACCCGACTTGTGCCTACGTACACGTACATCCACGCACACACACACAGGGATTAGATAACAAAACATACGCTGAAATCTCCCCCATCAGATTGAAACATGAACATGAAAACAGGCGTGCATTTGGACCTTACCAATAATATGAACATCACTATTATTTAAAAACCAATTCAGCTATTCAAATCAAAGGGGGTCCAACTTAACTGTCATCCAAAGTTGTTTTTCAGGCCCCCACTTTTAACTAACTGCGATGCTGCTAGATCATGATTTAACTCCCACTAATTCTACCATCGCACCGAGTTACATCTTCGCTTCATAAGGGGCCATAACTTTCCCTCAAATTCTCACAGCATCACACGCACTCGGCCTTGGGAGTCAAATCCTCCCGAATGCATAGAAGCCGACTAATGTTGAAACAAATGCGCACAAGCGAAAACAAAGCTACTTATGTTACAAACTGATAGAGAAAAAACACGTTCATACAAAAAGCAATGCAAAGGGGCATACCGATAGATGTGCCGAAGATAAGGTAAGGAGTGGCTTACATGACTTCGTTGTTACGAATGATCTTGATGGCCACCTCGAGATTATTACGAGCACTATCTCGAGCACGAACAACATTAGAAAAAACACCATGACCTGTGTAGCCGTAAACAGCATAGCGCTTATCCAACACCTCGCCAATACGCACACCTATATTCAAAACGAAAAGATGGAAATTGCACCAAATAAATATGAACTTAAAGAATGTTAAGGAAAACACGAAGTTTGCACGTATTATCAAAAGCAAGATCCACCTACGATAGTAGCCCTCGGCATCATCCCAGTTGTCCACAAGAGAATGGTTTTCCGACGCCATTGCCCGCGGATCCATGGTTCCCGGCACGCCGTTCGCTGGAGCGGCTGGCAGTTCACCAGAGAATATGTCAATAGCGAATTTATTCGCGGAAGGCTGAGCTGCCTCGCTCGTAAAAGGTTTAGCGTCTCGATTATCAGACGACTTAGCTGCGTGGGCAGTGTGGTCATGCAGAAAAGCGACCGCTGCAGGAGCCTGAATACCGGACATGCGTCCATTCGGAGAGCCGTCAACAGCATCTGAAAGAAGGACAACAGTTAAGCTATTCAGAGCAAAGTGCAATGAACTCACCAGCAAACAGGGCTGATTCTGACTTGGGAATGGGTCTAGTGATGGATTTCATAAGCTTTTCTTCGGAAAAGGCTTCTAGCACCTCAGGTCCTTTGGGAGACAATCCAGGGTCCGGGGATGGAGTAGTGCTAATGTATCGGAGAGACTCCAGAAGCTTCTGTCTCTCCAGACGACGCCGCTCAATTATGGCTTCCACGTCCTCTTCTGATTCATTCAACTCAACATCACTAAAGGCAGTACTTAATCAATCGACATAACTACCTTTGCTCTGATGATTTCTTGGAGTCCCCACGTCGCCCTTTGTGGTGATGCTTCTTATGACGCTTTTTGTTCTTGTTCTTTCCACTTTCTTGAAGTCTATGGTGTCGAGACCTGTCCCCCCTATCAGCCACAGAGTGAGGATCACGTTCGTGAGTGTTTTTTAAATGGTTCTCGTCTGATTTTCTTGGTTCTAGGTCCTGCCGAAGACGCTCCATCTTGTTTCGTAGGTAAGCATTGAGGTCACTGCGTTGGAGACGTTCCCTACGTCTTAGTGGACTTCGAGAACGACCACGATCGCGTTCTTTTCCAATCCGTGAATAATAGCTACGATGGCTGCTACCACACCGTTCCTCTCTGTTTAGAAGTCGATAAGGTTCGCCTCTTCGACTAAGAATTAAAAAAAAATATCAAGGTCGAAAAACACTGCGATACCAGTTCAACTTTTAAAAATTGGCAGAATGAAACATGGGACCTCATCTTAAAAGACCTGCCAGTCACTATCAAAATCTCGGGTCGATTCAGAAACTACTTGATAAATATTGTATTCCCTCTTCTAACAGTAGTGCAAATTTAAGCGCCAACATCTTGGAATTACTCGCCTTTCGTTTAGAGAATGATTAAATGAACGAACTGTCGGTAACTACAGCAGAACTGATGACATTAATCAAAATCCCAAACTCTAGCGAGGCGTCAATCAGACGCCTATGAGTCGAACGCTCACAAGCAAACTATAACCAAAAACGTGTTTGGTCTTACGCATCTGTGACTCTTTAAGTATAAATCTACCTTGAGCCCTAAGCAAGACGGAAGCGAAGAACGCCGACCCACCTCATCCTCACACGAAAAGGCACTTTGAATACGCCAACTAGCTAAAACAAATTACGATAATCACCTACATTATCAGGGCAAAAAGAACATAAAAGATCGTTTTATAAGAAATTCTTAAACAACATTATGCTTAATTTGTATTTTTGGCGCATACGCATAGGTATTCACGCGGAAAAAATGGCCGCATTAAAGCACCAAAATTTTGTGCAATTACAGGAAACTTCACTAATATTTTTCAAACTTTTATAAAAGGGAATTTAAAACCACAGCATATTGAAGGCGCTTAAAAGCTATGTTTGCCGGCCAAGAGCTGTACTGTTATTTATTCAAAGCCGTTTATTACCATTGCCATTAAATTTTGCGCAGTCAACTCATTCCCTCATGATTTAATTTGCTCAACACTCGTTGACTATAATTGTACATATAACTTTGCTTGACTTTCTATTATTTGTGGATGTCTATGTTTCCTAATGACCAAAATTTCCCCCTCCGTCCTCCGCTTCATGATTCTTATGAAGCCCATTAGAGTCAATTCATCACCTTGAGGATTTAGAACCGTCAAGCCAAATAATTAAATTCCATTCCCTTACCTTCTCTACAAATTCTGGCGTTAAATGCATGCTGGGTAATTTTGAGGATAGGGCAATATTTTCTACTGCTGGCTAGTAGCGCGAGCAGTTGTATCTCTCACCAATTAAACCTCCAAGTTAGCTAGTCTTCACTGCGTGGCTTTCTACTTTGTTCACATTATTACCGAAATGGATCACAGCACTTGTCATAGTATAATCCGTTGGTCCCGCCTGTAGGTTGCGCTTTAGTAGATTAGGGGATGTTAATTTTCTTGGATAGGCATACTTGTGATGCAATCAGAATCAGAAACGGCCTACTAGAATTAATCTGAATTTTTAACATGATTGAGTTCCTGAGGATATTTTGTTTCTACGATGGTGTGCTTCCTTCCAAATATGGTTGCAAAGTGGCGATATTTGCATCATCCGCCGACAAGTAGATTAACACTCGTTTGTGCAGTCGCACAAATTATTTGCTCTTATGAGATTCCAACTTCATTTCTCACAATTTAGAGAAAACTTTCTTGAAATTTAGATAGTGGTTAAGCTGCTCTTTAAGAAGTAAGTGATATTGTGAGTAGTACCTGCAATACCAAAACTGCAAGCAATGTTTAAAAATATCCCACTAGTGTGCATGCCTTAATTGGTGCCAAAATACGCTAATGTAGCTGGAATAACTTGCCATTGAGCTCTTTTGTTCATCTCTGGAATAAGTGTATTTCTACGCTAGATCAGGCATAATACTCACGATCGATATATTTGCGTTGTTAGGCAATCAGCTACTACGAGTTAAGTCCAATTTCGCTTTATCTATCACACCGGATTGGCAGTAGAACTGCTAGTCCCATCACAAACGTATATCGACATGCAGTTGATCCCATTGGCTGACGCATTAAGCGCCAAGGTCAGATTTGCCGAGTCAATGCATCCTTAGTGGGTGAAACACACTTTTGAGGGTTTCGACGCGCGGATGTATGCTGTTTGTCTTGATGCATCTCCCAACCATTAGCCATTTCCAATATTAGCTTGAAGCAGATTAAAAATTCTTCTACTGATTTAAAACAAATTGCCAGTTCATATGATTTAAGCTAAAGTTAGTCTGTTTGGTTTTCTGTCATTTCATATAAAACGCAACCAGAAAAAGTCAGGTAAAGCAAAACTTGTTGCGAGTAGATAAATCTTCAGAAGTAGGTACGTGTTTAACACTCGTACTAATATGTGTGGTTAGGCAGAAGTGTAACTCATGGTACACAAACTAAAACTGGAACGAAGTTGAAAAGCCATTATAATCAAAGGTTACCGGAATTAGCCCTTTCAAGCTAAAAAAATGGACCTCAAATATTCATTCTTCAGCATAATCTTCGGAACATTCTGAAATTAGTACCTTCATAATCACTTAGGCATAGCAGCGCCAATTAATTTTCCTAGGCTAATTAATTGCATTGGACAATTTACTGGTCACCCCTAGAGGGTTTTATGGAAAAAAAATGCAAATTTTACTCAGAATGATAAATAAATACTAATAATGAGGCTCAAATATTTGACGATATCAGCACTTTAGTAAGAAATGAAATAAATGTGCACATAAATGTGATACTATAAAAGTGTTCTTAAAAATTTGCGTTTTGGAATCGTCATTTATGTTCATGACTAATCGGCTGACGTGAAAAAGAAGCAGTTTTCCTACAATTCAGCTCCACAATTTGCTCAGCGTTGCAAGCTTTTTTATTTTCGGCATACCAAAATAGTTTTTGATTTTCTAAACGTTTTGAATAAAGTTGCGTAGCACGTTAACTCTAGTTACTGGTACTTTGAAGTCCTTTTTTTACTAAAGTTGCACCTGTTATGATGTTTTAATACTTTTCGGACACGAGTGACAAGCAAACATGGTTTTGTTATCATTACTACAATTACGCTTCTATATATCATGCGGATATGAATTAGTGTGTATATATTTTACTAAGAGGACGACGAAAGTATTTAAAATAACGGAAGGGAAATCACTTTCAACTACCTAGTACACTTCATTTTCTTGAAATCTTAAAGCTATGAGGATATTCTAAGTTCTCCCACAATTCCTACCATACGAACTACCTGTATGCATTTCATCCTATCAAAACAATGTCAACTGTTGTAAATACATCGCTACGCCTGCCATTCAGACTCCACCAATTAAAAGTCAAAAGCCAACTTATTTTCCACTAAGTATAATTAAGTTAAACCCCTACGGGCCTCCCACTAGAATTGTTTTAGCTTACATGCAAATGCTTTTTAAACTACTCCGAACCACCGACACTTAAGTGTTTTGTAAGCAAGCGCCCATTTTGTACTAAATTTGCATGCCAAAGCACATCAGTAAGTAAAAAATAATGATTCCCAATGGTAGCCGTTGGCGTGCATGGTCCTGTGCCCTTATAAAAAAGTTGCGACGGCATTGTTTGTAGTGGATATTTTATGGTCGCACTTATTTTAGAAAAAGTATGTGAGTGCATTGATTAGTTATTAGATTTATGGCAAGATACCAATGTGTACGGTTTATAATGCTCCTCATTTACAACTTACTAGATCCAGAACCTGGTACGTATATTCTTACCAAAATTGTGTGGCATCAGTTTGCTTTTCTAGAGCATATATCGATGCCAGGCATCATCGCCAAAAGCGGTAAGCCACCTTTAATGCTTTTTAAAAAATGTTTCAATTAAGTAAAACTAACTCTCCTTAACTTTTACCGAATCAGTGCATGAATTTACTTTACAGCACCACACAGAACAAAGCAAATTTTCACTGTTTGGGTAGGATGAGACACAAAATTGTTCCATACTACTGCTAAGAATTTTGTTGACAGACGCGGGATGCATTAAGGGACCAGCTTGGTAGTTAACATCCTGTACAAATACTTAAAAATAAAAACTGGGAAATGGGTTTTGCTAAAGCATATTATCTTTTACAAGCTCTTAGTGGTGAACACCGGCTTCTGGGCGTATGCAGTGCTATTTTGCAGGCCACATAGCAAGAACAGACATATGATTTATGAAAAAAATATCCACAAAAAATATTCATGCATAATAAGGGATGTAACTGATTTCATATTCCGTCTCGTCCAGACATTTAAAAATCACAATGTGTATTTAACACTAAAATTGTTTTCACATCAAAATGATGTAGCAAATTATGCCAATGTAGATTTTACACAAATTTTGACATTTTTCAGAATATTGTTTTAGAAATAACATTAAATTGTTTAGGTGATTTGAATAGGGCCTTTTTTAAAGGAAATTTATGCATATTAGTCTGTGGCAATCTACCCTTAATTCAGCTTTTCTTTGTTACAAAAGGATATCTCATTTCCTATTTTATTTAGAACACTGTATCATTAAGTGATTCAATACGGGACTAAGAGACAGCGTTCACTACCTGTAACATCCTAGACTCTGGCAACATCTATTAAATTCCTTTGTATAAAACTTTTAAACTAGCAACTGAAATTAGATGCACTTTTTCGGTTTGTGAGGTCTTAGATACAATCTTCTGAATGGATTTTTTACTTTTTTTCTAAAAAGACTGAAAATAATTTTTAAACAGGGTGTAGACTTACATTAAGTTGAACATTATTTAATGGATGCTTTGAGAGTTTTCAGGCAAAATACCTACGTCGTCGTCAATTTGATGCACGCAACAATGATTTTATCTGCAATTTGTGCACAAAAATCTGACAGGAAATTCACTGCATGCCGAAGCAGCATTTAAAACAGCGAGCACAAATGGTCTGCATACTTTCTGAGTTGGGTAAGTTTTATTTTGCTCAGAAGCACTTTTTAACTATAATCCCATAATTCTTTTTGCTCTTGCCTGCAAATGCATTTATTTTTGTAAATGTTACTTTGACAGATAATTAGGATGTGAATTCGTCCCACTTTTTATTCATTGTATGTATGCATGCCGAAGTGGTTCAATAAATACAATTTTATATTTAGAAGTTGAGTGCACAACTTTTTCTAGAGTCACCCACATCTGCGATGCATTGCGGACGGGATCTTGCTAATTTTGCGTGTTATTAGCAAATGCGACTCTTAATGAATGTACAGCTGCCATATCACCTCATCGTGCGATAATCTTTCCCTGCCCTTCCCTTCGATGGCCAGGATTTTATCAACCCAAAAATCCCGAAAATGGTACGCATCAGCTGATTCTTTTCACTTACATTTTTAGTAGATTGTGCAAACTGAGCTACTTACTTTCACATTCGTAATGACGAGTACAGATCTTATCACCAATGGCAACGCGAAACCGCAAATCACTCACTTCATTTATGCTCCTGCCGCAATACTCATCCTGTTTTCCTGGCAATTTTTCAACCGTTTCAACACCCTTCTTTTGCCTTCTTCTTACAGTTTATGCATAAATTGAATAGAAGGGTGTCAAGTCTTAAATTAGAATGAAATAGCAAACGGCCTGCCAGATAGATGGAGGCTTTTTGTACCTTCATCACTGACAGGATGTGTACACAATGAGAATTTAGAGGCTTTTCAATAATGCGCCACTTCATTTTTTTAAGATAGTAAGTTTGAACAATAAAGGGTATGCAAAATGGAAACCGGTCAAAACCGGTTTCTTTGTATTGCACTTTCAACCATGCTGGCTTTTTAGTCAAACTATCTCTAGACACCACATACTCGATTTTAAATATATATAATTTCTCTAAAATTTAAAGCTCGTCAAATGAGTATCTCGACACTTGAGAGTACTTTACGAATATTTCTATTTTCATTTCGCTGAGTAGTAGTTGCAGTTTGGTAAACGCTTGCTTATTCGTGATATTTTAAAACAATGCTTAAGAAGTTATTGAAGAGCTTTTTCACATACAGGAAAAACTCTCACGTATCATGTTTCACACTGGTTGAAAAGTAATCAACGAGCATTCTTTACTGTACCATTTCAGTCCTCTTGAATAAATATGTATTATATTTGTGAGGTGTCGATTTTTATCAAGATTTTCCAGTTAGTCTCTAACAAGTTGCGAGAACTTTTAATTAGCAAAGTTGACCTTGTGAGAAACCTCCAATGCATTCAACCAAACGCACTTTCAATACAAAAACCAAACTTCAAAGCTGTAAACAACGATTACCTTATATAAGATGACATGATTTTTTATTAAACAATTGAAAACTTGACAGGCTTTAGCATCTTTCAAATTTGATAAATACATTCATTCAATGCTCTCATTCTGCGGAGAGTAGCACCCACCACACAGACACCGATATACAATAAACAACGGGAGACTCATTAATCGGGATTATAATGCATCGGTTCCAACATTATGTGATTGTGTAGTTGCGTATGCTGACGTTCTTACGGAATCCCTTTTTTGAAACCTAATTCATCGAGTTTAAGGTTTACTGAGTGGAGCAAATATTCTTCATTGGGAACATTTTTGCCGCGATAATTGCAAATAATTGAGAGAATATTACCTTAAAATGTGTTACTTATCCAAACAACAAATCAAAATTTTGTTTTCTCTATAGAGGTTTTTATAATCACAGCATTAAAAATATGATCATTTGGAATCTAAAACTAGGCATTAAAGGGAATTTTATGTAACTTATCAATTCAAATATTGCATTGGGATATTGCATTTTAAATCTTCAGCTATGCACGAAACACCTCCTAATTGTACTTTGTTGAAAAGTAAATGTCATAATTGGTTAATCGCTTTAAATTTAGTTTATGTTAATTAAAACGAATTTTAAACATTTTGTGCGTTTTCGTACCCCTTTAGCTCTATTTCAATCACAGAAAAGCTTTTGTCCAAACCAAAGGCTGTTAGTTTAATGCAACAAACAAATTTGTTGTTTTTGTTGACAAGTTACACTTACAAGTCCATTACTTTGTTAAGCTCACTGTTCTTTTTGCATTCATACAAACCGTATACGCATGATCTTAGTCACAATCTAACCGTTCACTGTAGGTCGTTTATTGTTGGAATTTAGACAAGTTTGCTGTTGGACATTACGTTTAATTTGGGCTCATAACATTCAGCTGATGTTATACCGAAAATGATGCTAACTTGTGTCTTTTCGTTAAGACTATATTTAGTAAGGTACCTTATAAATAATGAATGGTTCCCCAGTCAGTGGTCCATTGCAGTTGTATTTGTGTTTTATGACTTGTTTTATAATAGCGAAATTTCCCAAAAACCACCACGTGGACTCTGAAAGAAGTAGAGGTAGTAAGCGGAATAACACTGTCCATGTAAATAGACGTCCGAATGCGCATAAGTCATGTTCTAAAAATAAAGTATTAGAGGCCTCCTATTCGGCAGTTTAAACACCAACTCCCCTCGTTACACTTTTCAAAGGCCCTTTTTACCAGAATGCCTAAATCCTACTTTTGCACTTTTTTTCGTTTGCATATTTTACATCATTTGCATTTTGCATTCATCAAAACATCATTCTTAGTTTACAGATTCTTTGTGAAATACCTGGAAAGGCTTATCATTTTGGTCGTCGCAGAGGATATTTGTAAAGATATTTTTGTCTTTTGAAAGCATACGTGGCTTGACACTGTTTACTGATCTGATATCATTCATTGATGCATAATTGTTCATCTTTGATAAGCAATTTTTCCCTCAGAAAAAGGATGGTCATACTTTTGCTTATTTAATATTATTTTTGCTTAAAACTATCAAATTTTAATTCTTTTATAAGTGGCAGAAGTCCTCATTTCAATCATACGACGCCATCTAGGAATTTATCTACGCTGGTTACAACTCTTGGCCGTTTTAAAGCTAACTTTAATAAAATTTATTTTAAAACTGGTGCACAAGTTAAATACAATTGAACACAATTGTGGCCTAAATCGCCTCTAAAGAAAAGGCCTTATATTTGGCAGGCAAAAAGAAAAAAAGACTTGGCTGTCTTCAGTTTGCCGACTATGAGCAACCATCTCACTACACTCAATGTGGTTAAACGGATTAATAAGAGCTGTATACTCTTTTTTAATTTATCTTTTATTACTGATTAACTCAATGCAAATCGAATCTAGAATTCTTCACTTATTTTGAAGTTGAATATAAAATGTTTGTTGCACAATATTTTCTGTGATAAATGTGCAAACTTTTTAACCCGGTTAAAGTACCGTTTTTATAACAAATTGTCATCCCAATTCACTAAATTAAACACCAATGCCATAGTAGCGTACTTTGTAATGCGTAGTCCCGACTCCCAAAAGATATGCGTTTTTCGTTAGCCCTCACATTCTTTAACGATTGCTCGTTTATTTTTTCATGAGATGCGTTAAGGTTTTACAAAAGCCAAACATTGACAATAATTACGACTGGTCTAATACCTAGTAGAAAATGTAGTACACCACATTAATAGGTTTATATGTACACCTGTTCCGATGCCTTAAAAATGGTGGTAAAATACCATTAATTCAGCATTAATTGGAATAAATTCATCAATGAATATTTATTTAGTTCCCAGAATTACCTTATTCATCTTTTTTTACATAGCATGATGAGAGCTGAAATGTTCATGATAGCTGGCGGCCCATTCTAACGACATTCTTAAAGACAGTGTAGGGCACAGGAATCTGGAGTTTGCTTCACTGAAAATCACTATGACAAGAAGCATAGCAGGGCTTTGATTGTAGTCAACTAAAATATTTAAATTATTGTAATTGAGAATAAAACATTTTTATACCACATTCTTGACTAGGTTGGCAACAACGTAGGTATCTACCTTACTTTGATGTAGTAAACTTCACATCATAGTGCTGTGGCTTTAATTGGTGCCTGATCCTACACCGACGATGCGCTTTTCCAATTGGTCCTGCATAAGTGCTTGCTTTCCGTAATTTGGCATTACGATTATTAAACTTTGTAGTATCTACACCTCCAAAGATATTTAAGGCATTAAAAGGGGCAACCACCACAGAGAGAGCCTTAGCGGCTATTTGCTACTACCCGTAATTAGCATGTTCGGTTGTGATTAGCGATGGCTAATTTTAAAAGGGTGTCTTCCGGATATGCATGCCTGCAGTGGCTCCTATTATTAATTTTGGTATGCGTTAAAACTGCAAAGTACTATTCACTATTGCGCAAAAATTATTTTTTCGGGCATTTTTGAACTAAATCGTTTTTGTTTTTGCTTATGAGCAACAAGACTAGTGCCTTTCAACTGATGTATTTTGCCCCACGCACCCTGAGTGTAATCATACGTATTGACAGGATTAACCTTTCCTTCTCTAGCATAACTAAATAAGTTGTTTTTTAGTTTTAAACAAAGGAACCTAAATGGTCATAAAATATTTCTATCTGCTATTTGATCAAATAGGGTTATTGGGGGTGGAACTGGAAAAAATAAAATAAAGTATCAAAAACAGTCGTAGTGGGATATTTTGAGGACTTTAAAATAAGCAGATAGTTTGGTTATTATTTTGGTACTTATGAGAAACGTGACCAAGAATTTTTCTGCAGATAGCTACGAAAAAGCCTTGCAAAAATGCAGGTAAAATAAGAGAATAACAAATTTACACTTAGCTTCCGAGCCATCGAGGTCATGTGGCATATTCCAAATAGCTTCAAGCAAGTATCATTGATATCATTATAACCATTATCGTAGAAATATCGCTTTGATAACTGTAGCTTACACAATTGTAAATTTAAAGTATGTTTGTTTGCAGAAGACGGTAGTAAATGAAACAGGTGCCTGTGACCTTTGTGGCTTTACAGCACTTTACAATGTTTTTCCCTAACTATGTATATAGATACACTTGATTCTGCTATCTTAACTCGATTTTTTGATCCAGAACTAGTCTTAGAGTTCCCCATTACTGTGGCATGGCTTTCTCCTGCAGTTCATTAATTCTGCTTGAGAACGCATCTATCCCACAGGAATAGAATTGGGACCATTTTATTACGATGAAAAAGTTTTCTAATCTTAAATTAAGGATTGTACTAGTTAGGGAAGTCAAAAGTAGAGGCTGATTTTTCCCATACAAGTTTGCGATGCAGTAATTAAAGTTCCGTATTTCTGCGTGAGTTTTGTGGGTTCTAAGATCTCTGCACCATTGCTTTCTTAGGTTACATAAAAGATAATAACGCATTAAAAAATGCCTAATTGGGTTGCGGTCATGTACATAAATCAACATTATTTTTATCGCTGTCATAAATATTTAGCTGGCGACAAATCATAAAGCTGTCTGTATTTTACAGCAGGGAAAAAGATACTTATGCAAGCAATCTTAGATGTATGCATCTGACTAGCCGATTTTAGTAGTACTTCAGGCCTATAAGTGCACACGTTCACCGCATCACAAACGGCAGCTCTTTTTATAAGTCATACAAGCCTGCGAATGTGTGGGCATCGCTTGTTTCCTTAAACTTACTTGTGGATGTTGTTATTATTGCTACAATTTCTCTGTCCCTGGATTTGGTTGCCTCTGATTAGTCAACGAGTCATTAGGCTTTGCCGATTGTCAGCTACGGAAGCAGTCAATAAAGAGATGATGCCAGCAGTAGCAGCAACACAAAAAATAATTTTAACAAAAAAGTTATTCTTTCATCTAGAGCAATCCTAACTCTTTCAGCAATTGCATGTGTTTGTGCTTACAATTTTGTCTCGGAATTGGTAGAAGTGGGACCACTACGGTCGTACGCAATATTGAACTTTCTTAAATTTTTATATTAACTCAATTTTAATATCAATTGCGATGCTTTCTGATGGTCTCGGAATGGCCACTCAGCCATTTTACATCGGATAAATGATAACGTGAGATGCATACAAATCGACTAATTTACCATCATTACAGACTAAACAGACAATTTTACTAAGGTGGAATTGTGCAACACTTAAAATCTGAAACTCATTGGTGTGCTACTAAGAATGCATAATTTTTGAATTCTTACGTAAACAAATTTACTTTCCCGGTTAAAAAATAAGAAATATTCTAGAGATGCTTTTTTAGCTGTTCTTTAGAAGGCCTGTCTTCCCCTTTTAGATATCCATCGGCAGAATTTTTTTTAAAAAAAGAGTTGCTGCCGTTCTGACAATTCATTACAATTGCTCAAGGCGATTACACAGTCCCGATAGACAATTCCACTGTGTGAAAAAGTAGAGTTATATCAAGATATTCTTAAGAGATTTATTTAGATTTATCATTGTTCAGCAATTAGCAAGGTATGCAGCCCGCCGTATGCCGAAAAATATTATTCTGAATAAACAGGTATTCTTCAAAATTGCTTATCCTATAAGCGCAGTTGGGTAACTTTGGTTCAATAAAAAACACAGAAGCATCAAGCACCGACGTAAACCACCTTAACCCGTTGCATACATATTTTTTTGTGCAAAGTGGTTATAAGTAAACGCTTCTGAAGTTCCTGTCAGCATACCCATGTAGGATTCCAAATTATGCTGCTAAATTGCTTGCGGAAACGCCTAAAGTCCTAACTATTACGCTCACTGATAAAATTAGTGTTACTTTTTACATTTGATGAAAGGTGGTGCTTCGGACCAAGTTCTATTATTCCTTTCAAAAAATTCGAGTAGGCGTTAATCTGGTAAAGCCTCATATTTCCAAATGTTGTCAGCTGATTTGGCACGTCAGTGTTGGCAGTAGTTGCGTAGGTAGACAGACGGACAAATGGGCAGGCCTGGCACAATTAAGCCCAGGCCTGTCTGTCTCACACCCTCTGTATGTGCGTACGTGAGCGCGACCTTATTGATCAAACAGCATGCGCGTGCGCTCGCGCAACATGCACACGCGTGGCAAACGCGCGCACGCAGACATCGCTCCTTGTATCGAGGCTCGCCAGGAGATTCCGCTCACGCGCACAGTTCTTCAGACTAGGAAACCGGTGTGCACGGCAGTGCACTCTTCCAATTGCTTCCTCGGACGTTCGAATTGTCAGTATATCTACACACACACCTTCCATTCTTGGGTGCGCACGTGCGAATTCAACTAATTCATTGTGTGAACGCGACCTCCTGCGTTATCGACACTAACCGAGAGCTTTTTGTAATTTAATCCATTCATCGTGGATCTATTCAAGAGGCATAACATGAGCTCTGGCAAGAGCCAAAAGCATGAAAAGTGTACGTGCATTTATTTCCTAACTCTTTTTATCTGTCACTTGCATGCCTTTGAGGTTGGGAAGCCAAGTTGGAGTAACATAAATCCTCTGAGTGTGTGTGTCAAATTTGATTTAGCCGAAAGGCAAAAGCGATCGAAGAAAGGCAGTGGTAAGGAAACAGTCCTCTTATGATTACTCCAAAACAATACTAGTTTCGCTCTCTTTCGCCTCAGCATTACACTCCACTTATTTCACCATCTGCCACTTTATTCCGATAACAATACTGTTAATAATATCGCTATGCGCTTTCTTAATCTATGCAAAAGTATGGTAACCTTCTCCTTCCATAATCCAGATGATTTGCGATCTTATCGCTCCAGAAGCGGTAGGTGCATGGGTTGAGTTTGTTTTGCTAGAGGCGCTACAATAAAAGCTTGACATAGTTCTTCCGACAAATTAACTTTACGCCATCTTTAAAATACGTTCAACTAAAGTGACCATATCTTGCACATGCTCACAACACGCAAAACTTTTTTTGCCTTTTATTGGTGCAATTCAGAATCTAGTTAACCATTTTCGACCTTTTCATACCTGATTTTGAACATTACTGTTCCAGTACTAGCGTGTTTTAGGCAGTCATTTCACATAAGGTTTTTTTCTTAGTGAAATAAAACCTGTTCACAAAACGTGACCTTCAAATAGTCGAATTTCTATGGCTTGGGGTTCCCACTAAAGCACAGCAATAACTGTTGCTAGGATCGATGGAGTAACTTCCTGTTTTGTGTCTTACGATAATAATAGAAAATTATGAAGGGTCTCACTAATGAAAGCTGTTGTTGCAACGTATCTGTGAGTCACTTTAAAGTCTCTTAATCAGGAATTTTTATTAAAATATGTCTAGTAATTTTAAAGGGTCTATTTTAATTTAGTTTTATTTCTATTTGCTAGTCATTTCATCTTTTGTCTAAGATTAAAAAGTCTGGACATTGATTTGAATAGACAATAAGTAAAATACTTCTTTTTTAGCTCTCTTGCGACTACTTTGGGTCTGAGATTTTCTGCGTTTTGTGGAGCCTCATGGATAGTTTTATAACACGTGACTCAGGACAAAATAATTAAGGGCAAAATATTTAAGTTTCTTTTTCTTTTTCTCCTCTGTACTCACTGCTTATCTAACTATATATTCTTTCGACCTTAGCACCAGTACCACCGTTGCAGAATCTGATATCTGATATTTAACCAAATAATTTCACTGTTTTGAATACCTTTGCTCCATTTAGCTTCGTAGCCAAACTAAATTTAGTATAAGTATTCGAGACTCTGCCTCTAGACTTCAAAAAATTCCGTCTTCTTCACTAAATGTCATAAAAGCGATCACGACATGACGAAACACGCTCGTTTTTTTCTAACAGTAATATTTTTAGTGATGCTTTATTTACTTCAATCACTGCTATTCCTTAAAGATCGATGACTCATTTGCTTTACCGTTCTTTTGACTAGTTATGTAAAAATTTGAATAATAATTTTGAATAATAATTTCAATTTCGACACTAAATGCTCATTAGTATCTACTTTACTTCTTTTAAATAATTACAATCAGTTGCATCCAATCTTTGCATTGAATTAGAAAGAATTATTCATGAATTTGTAGCTGAAGTGTAACTTATTTTTTGATAAATTGGCGGCTGTTTTACCTTTATCATGCCATTATTTCGAGGTCAGATAATGCTATATAGGTACCACGAGTTTTTTTCCGTAAGTTATTCCGTTTGGATCCACAAAATCACAGTTTAGACATCACATTTCGAAATGACTTTAAGAAACCACAGGAGTGTCCAGTTCTATATAGTGTATTTAATCAACATATTAACCAGAGCGTATGCTATATTTGAAACCGTTATCATCTAGTGAATTCAATGACACCCCCTCACTTCGCATTTTAAATGTTTACCTTGGATTTGTCCTATTTGGTTCTGGATGGAAGCGGCTGTCGCAATTTATTTGTTTGTGTTTAGGGCCAAACAGCGTTGACTTTAACTCTGGCCTTATTTTTTTCAGAGTTGAAATTTGGGTCATCCGTTAGTTATACTGATTCCAGTGGCCTTTTGCTAATGACTGATGAGAATATTTGAATTGCACTTCAAAGTGCAACACTGGCACATTGTGAACATGTGGCTGACCTAAAGTAGTTATGGTACCAAAGTGTAAAATTGCTCTTGCATGAGAAACACTCATTAAATATTTTGTCATTATGGCCTACAGATCCATATTTTTACCGTTAATGGTTGAGATTATTGTTTCCTACTTTTTACTGCATGCTATGGGAGAGAAGATGGCGCAAATCTATAAATATAAAAGGCCCGATGTAGCCCCTTTGGTTTTTCCCATTTAGTCTGTTCTTGAACATTCCACCAACGTGGAACGGAATGCGGATATTTAGATTCGTTTTTGTTTGTACCATAACACAAACAAATACATTTCGGCCGCAAAAAGGCATGATAAAATAATATTGAATCAAAGATAGTGATTTTGCAAAAGGAAGATTCGTCTAAGCCTTTACTTTTTTCCATCCTTTGCTTTTTTTCTTCGCTACTGATAGTGGCTGCCATTTGGGCTCGATGAAATCAACTCCGAAGATTATGCGCCCCTTTGCTGAGAAAGATTAGCATGTTTTGCATTCGCATGAGCGTCCTATACCTAGCTCTAAAAAAGGCTCATTACTTCACTTTGTTACCACGTCCTCAAGAGCGGTACCAAGAAAATTACCAGCACACACATAATATCTTCGTTACGGAAAAAAACAAGAAATGGTTTAATCAACATTTTATACAATTTGTTTTAAGTTGGAACTTGCTTTAAAATAAAACAGCCTGTTATTTTTACTATGAGCACCATCAACAGGGTAGTTTTATTATACATACATAACAATCCAGGTTAGCAGTATGCTGTTTTCTCAATGCTTCTGTGAGCATGTCACTTCAATAAATTGCTGTATATTCTCCCTCCACTGATGAGTTCGTCCCTTTTAAGAGCGTCAAAAAGTCGTTTCTTCCTCTTTGAGACGTTACAGAGAGACATTAATGTAACAGCAAAACATTTCGATAAGAACAACATTGATAACTATACGCCAAGTCATTTATTCAAATACGGGAACGATTTCCGCTGAAAAAATCTACTTATAGCTCAAAAAGAGGCCTATCGGTTATAAGCTAGGTCTATTTTACAAAGCAGAAGTGTTAATAGTTTACTAAGTCTATCCAAACATTCCATGGATCAAAAATACTTCCACATTTTGTCAAAAACATTCTTACCTATGTAAAATCATGGAAATACTTTGCAGTTTCTACAATTATGTTAGTAAACATGATGCATACGATTTTCGGGAAATTTAAAGCTTCTTCCTTGTTACTCATTTCTCAAACAGATATAGTTTTTAAAAGAAGTATGTTTGATGATCGTCCCTGATTAAAATTAACTTTATTTTCAAATTAGTCTGGCGCATCGCGTCACAAACTGCTGAAGGGAGACCGCCGCCACGCATTATTCAACAATAATCCCATTCGAGACTAAGTGTGCTACATTTTTCTAATTTACATGCAATGAAGCAGTGCATAAGTTATGTTAACTGATAATAACTTGACTACTTGTAGAGGAATACAAAAGTATGAAAATACTATCAGCTCTCTTACCCTTATGTCCACTGAGTTTACTGGTCAGCTAGCGAATTTTTTAAGTGGGTTTTGGCGTTGATTTGATCCCTTATGTATTCCAAAAAAATATCAATAAAATTGCTAACACCATCTTTTTTCTAACTTCAAGTTGCTTGTTTTTCTAATTGCATTTTGAAAAGTGATTGGGTTTGTTTAATAATGAGGCCAGCTTCCCAATTCAGAAGGCCTCACAGTTGACTTTATCACGCAGAGTTACTTTCAGATCATAGGCAGGGCATGCAGCTTTTGTGTGGATTTCCATTTTGTTAGATTATTTTGTTTTGTGGCAACTAACTGGATTAACAATTGTAATTAAATTTACACATTGCTAATGTGTTTGAAGCTCGAAACTATAGACTAGCTCCGGACCATATATTGTTCAAAAGACTTCTATTTCACAACAATTTAAAGATTTTGCTTTACTTGCAGTAATAGCGAGTCATCGGGATTGCGTTCTTTAAATGGTGTCAATACACTGTTATGTCTATTGCTTAACCATTTCAAGCTATGTTTGATTTCAAATATACCACTAATTGTGGATATTATCCGATGAGATGGATCACTAGATTTTAGGTTTAATTGCACTTCGTTTAACATGGACAAAGATGTCGTTTTTGGGGGGAATAGGGGACTGTGGAGGACAATTTAATGCGTTTAAAGTCACACACACTTCGCGCTTTCGCTTAATTAGTTTTCCACAGGCATGCACATCTTGGCATAAAGTGCATCACTTAAACAGTGAACACAGTCAAAAAAGATTGATGAAAAACATGTAGAGTGGTTTTGCCCGATAGTGTAACATGTTTGCTGTTCTTACGAAGGGAAGCTTTGCGAACAAAGCACGAGTTGGATAAGCATTGAAGCGCAACGATAGTACTTAATCTAACTGAGTCAAATGCTTTGCAGAACTGTTGTCTTTACGCTATAGAACTTTAAACTACGGTGAGGTATTTTGCTTGACATTTTACTGTCATCCTCTCATGCAAGCTTGATGCATTATAAGTTATTATCGAGTTGGCTTATTCGCCTATTTTTGTTCTTTAGTGAAATTTTACTGCTTGGCTCCAAATGAGGTGGCTTTTATTGTTGGAAATTCACGTTATTCTCCTCGCTGTGTAATCCAAAACACACTTCTTAAATTTCCATTCAAAGAGGGACATATCAGTACACTATTTTTTAAAGAAGTTCATTACAACATTAAAAACGAGATATCCCCAACTTATTTTGACCCAAACTTGCGGTACAGCTTTTAAAAAAGCACTCAATTATTGTCAATACTTCAATTATAGTGGTTCAATATCACCTAGTATGAAATAACTGGGGCCCGATAATAAATCGGACTTTCATAATTTAAAAGCTCAAAAAATATTAAAAGCCGAAAAATGCCTGAAATTCAAAATTCAGCTAAGCATTTACATAGTAAAGACACGTTCTCATAACTGATTCCATGTTTATAATCTGAAAGGGTTAAGGAATCATCGCACTAAACTTTTTCAGTTTTGGAGACTTATTTCGCCCAAAAGAGAGGAAATAACCGGTTGAAGATGCCCTTTAGTCTTTCATTTCTCACGTCTCTCCTCTGTAAGCTGTATTTAGTCATTACTTCGGATCCTCTTCAAACATATTCGTACTTTGTTTTGAATCATAGCCGTTTCTCATAGAAAATTCGAACTACACTTCGGATGAGTCCTTTTTACTTTTTCGAGCAATGCTGGTGTATGTAAATGGGGATGCTCAAAGCAAATTTCATTTACGAATGCAGTCTTTCATCGATGATTGAGAGATATGTTAACAAAAAGTTTTCTGTTTTGATCCTCTTGCTGTGTTAACCGAGTCGTTTATTCATCGGCTAAGGAAATCTCTTGATCTCCTTAAAAAATAAGTTTGCAAAATTTAACCCAAGCTACTGAGGCACTGCTAATATTCTATTGTGATATAGTTTAGAAGTTTGTAGTTTTAACATAACCTGATAGCACATTCAGTAATATCTTTACCATTCGTTCAAAGAGGATTCTGCAAATAATGCGAAGAAGCGATTTCATCTTCCTTTAATTCGTTCCGGTACAGAAACTGCAGTGCCTAAGAAGACTAGCGACTTTTCAGAATGTAAGTTTCCTCCGTACGTGAATAAAATATGTACACCGTCACGTATAGTCTAGGTCCTTCAATCTGATATGCAGCAAACATTCTCGCTATTTCATACTTCCAATGCAACGGTAACTTCTACTAGTTTCTTGTACATCAAGCGTTAGGCCTGCCTGGAATGCTAGCATGTTTTATCAGCCACGAATGTTTTTACCTGACCATCCAAGTGATTTGCATTCTAAGTTTGCGTTTTTCCTGTTAAAAGGCGTGATTGAAGTATAATAGGCTTTTTAAATGAGGACCACTGATACTGATACTAGTATTGTAGCTAAACATATGAACTATCAAAAGATTATCTTATTTTTACTTAAGTTTCTAGATTTTATTCATTTGTTCGTAAAACCTTGATAGGCATCGTTTCAGCATTCTTTTGCTTTCCGCACACAACTTCGTAAACGTTAACTCGCTGAATTGGGGAGAAAATTGGATTAGGTGTAGAGTTCTATCGGATATAGCTTGGTGATTAGACTGTTAATCATTACGTAATTACTTCTACTTGCTACAGTGAGTGCAGTGAAATGTGAAGGTTATCTGAAAGAGCAGAATACTAAAGCAAGGAAATTTCAAGATTTCCTTGAGAGGGTAACTTTGCGTTACGATTAATTCTACGTAAAATTAAAACTTATCAGTCTATGACCCCAACTGGCATTAGTACAAAAGGGTCTATTCAGTCCGAAATTTGTAACGGATTACATTACACATGGAGTTGAGTATTTGTTGCTGCCGAATATTGCCTTGTACTTTAAGCATTCCCTCTCACATGGCGAAAACTAGAACACAGGTAGGCACAATTCGTCGTAGGGTTATTACAAGAATGAAATCGAGTCCGGAGAGGATGCATGGTTGTTGTAGTTCTTTATTACGGATCAGTGACAATTTGGTCGAATAATGCAACATGGAACCTTTATCATTTGTGGATCCTGATTTATTTGTGCTGCTTTAGCCACTAGTACTTTGGGCACAAGTTTGCAAGCAAATGCCGTGAATATTCTCCATTAGGTCATTTCTAGATTCAGCCCTTTCCAGAAAGTCAGTTAAAAGTTCCGTTGTCAGCCAAAGTTGATTCATTAGGCTCTCTACTCGAATCGTGCAGGAATTTCGTTTGACATTTCGCCCAAGCATCAACTATTCAACATTGAATGGTAACGACCAGTGGCATTTTGTTTATATCCCCATGCATATGCTTTTTGTAAAAGAAAGGTAACAACGTCTAGAACTTCACGAATTATCTACAAATTTAATACACGTCTTTGTGTTTTACTATGCCACAAATAAGCGTTCAAGGTCACGCGTGATTTGGATTGGCTTCAGCAACTACTTGCATTCTGATGGGTAATACCGCTTCAATCAAAAAGGGCGAACCAGCAGATGGTAGATGTGACAATATATGCTTGCCCTCATTAGATACTGGAACTTACGCTCCTTTTCTTTTCAGTTAAGGCGTTCTTAGATGATGCGAAAAAGGAATTCCTTGAAAAATGGGAAAAACCCTCCCAGGTATTTTATTGCTTTGCGGAACTACTTTCTTTAGAACACAGCCTGCCTAGACGACTTTGACAGAATAAAAACTTTGGGAACTGGGTCCTTCGGTCGTGTCATGCTTGTTCAACACAAAGCAAAAAAGACGTATTATGCCATGAAAATTCTTGACAAGCAGAAGGTCGTGAAGCTAAAGCAAGTTGAGCATACGCTTAACGAAAAGCGAATTTTACAAGCCATCTGCTTTCCTTTTCTAGTAAAGTTGAACTATTCATTTAAGGTATTGTCCCCGATTTTTCCTCGATTTGTTTTCCAGAGCTCTTGCATCTAATATATGCTTATTTGGCGATTCTAGGACAATAGCAATTTGTACATGGTCCTGGACTTTATAAATGGCGGCGAAATGTTTTCTCACCTCCGCAAAATCGGTCGATTTAGGCGAGTTGGTGTTTATTTCTTTGCCTATGTTGCTGCATGTCAATCACCGTTGGTTGTTTTTGCATTTTTTACATCAATGCAGTATTGCTACTGCAGTCTGAAACTGGGACTGAGAAGCAATTTTGGATTATTCAAAATTATTGTTTGCTCCTTTTCTAGTCAGTACGTTTGTTTCTAACTTATATCCATAACCACTATTCAAAGCCACCTCAACCGATAGCGTTTCAACGCATTGAAATCTTACTCCTAAAAATATTGCAGCTTTGTCAAGAGTGATTGTCTCTTTTATACGTGACTTTATGTTTCATCATATTTTAGCTGCCAACTAACAATGAGAAATTATTTGGTTTTACTAAAGTCGAATGTGCTTATGCCTTTTTTAAATTGCACAACATTAATCTTACTTCATTGGGTTTTCCAGGTTGTAAGCGCCCTGTAGTTATCTATTTATATGTTACTTTGACGATCAAGGGCCATAAAAGTTGCGTTTAAGCCATATGGACTGCTTAATTTTTCGGCCATAGTGACCAGAGTCCCGTGATATAAGAAATGGATCTGCCATGAGTAAAATCCGTTGCTGATACGATATAACAGTGTTAAGTTGACCTGGTTCTATTGATACTACCTGCAAATAGCAATGGAAATTCATATTGGAGTTTGGTTTATTTGAGTGGCCCCGTTGAAGTTTATTCACCATTTCCATCCTGACGTCCTCCTACACTATTTACACGGACACCATCTCATATGAATAACGGCTTTGCTTTAACCTCATTCGGTTGTTAAAATGAATCGACTGCTATCCTGAATGCCACTTTGTTTTAGTGAAAGTCATGCACGCTTCTATGCTAGCCAAGTAGTTCTGGCCTTTGAGTATTTGCATCACCTCGAATTGGTGTATCGCGATCTCAAACCCGAAAACATCCTTATCGATGAACGTGGTTATCTTAAGGTGAGTTCAGAGTTCATTATCGGATTCTTGAGTGTTTCCTCAGATAAGAGAGGACCCCTAGAGTGAATTCATGTTTCTGATAACGAAACCATAGGTCGTGTTATGATATTTTACAACTTCTGAATGTTTAAAGCACTTTGTTTTACAGCTTCATACATGATCCACCAACTGTATGCTGACCATTGTCTTAGCGAGGTCATCAGAGCATAAGTATGGAATTTACCAAAATTTAGTCTCCTTGTAGATATTTCAATTTGAAGTTTCTGTATTTTTGGATCTGTTATCCATAGTGTGACGAAGTTTTAAAATTAATACACCAGTTACCCAGCTTAGCAGCTGAACATTTTTTTGGCTCACAAAAATTAATTTTAAAAATTTTTATATAGATGAGTGGAGATCTGAGCAATATACTACTTCCAATACACTTGCTTATTATTTCAACATTTATACTCATCCATCTTCTTCATCCTCTTTTGAAATAAGAAATCAAAAAATGCATTTATAAATGTACTTAAGATATACTCATCTTTATAATTCCAAATCGATAATAGATCAAAAAGGTAATTAGTTCTCCTTTGATCCCATTCACTTCTCACATTAGGAAGCAATTTCTATTAGGAGGCAATAACTGCGGTGACGAAACCTGCAGTCGATGCGTGCACACACGCTTGGCCTGTTTGCCTTCTGGACCACGTTTGACCTGACAGTAAGGCCAAAAATGTTGCCATAGTGTTAGGTCGTTTGGCATGGACATTACCTAGGCTATGGTTATTTGTAGTACTTCTCTATTGTTTTTTACCACTACTTTTCTATCCTTTTATAGATAACGGATTTCGGTTTCGCCAAACGAGTAAAAGGACGAACTTGGACTCTTTGCGGTACTCCTGAATATCTAGCTCCTGAGATCATTTTAAGCAAGGTAAGCATAATTTCTGTCACTTGCTAACCGTTTCCTTTTGGCTGTTGTAGCCATGGGCGTCCGCCGGTCTCTTTATTCTAGACATACGCTGTTAATGAGTTTTATTTTGTTCCATTAATCATCCTTTATCAGAATTTTTTGAAGTTATTCCTTAATAATTTCAAATAAACGTGGCTAAAGTGGAAATATTTAAATGGATTTCCTTATAACACGTTGCATCTTAGTCACTTTAGTGGTGAGAAAATGGGGTCTATGCGGTAACTGCAAGGATGGTTGCCCTAAAAAGAGTGGTAAAAGAGCCGTGACACGCTATACACCGGAGATAGCGTGGGGATCAAGCGTGCGTGCGCGCGTGCACAAGCTAGCATATACACACGCACATGCCAATGCGCAAGTGCACGGGTGCGTGCAGTTTTTCATCGATTTCTGCAAGGGCGGTTGCGCGAATCCATGGTCGATTAGGATTGCACGTGCGCACGCGTACATGCGAGGTCAGCCGTCGCCTGTCTGTTCCACAACCCACACGTACACGCGAACGTCTACTCCGGCTGTCCAATCAGCTGATCGGCCGCGCGCGTGTACGCGCAAACGTCTAATAGTGCCGTTGCTGCTAACACTGCCCCCGCCGGTGGAAAAAATAAGCGAATTTTAGTCTCGGACACACGTTTTCTCAATGTCGTACATGCGATGCATTTACATTTTAAGAAATTTCGGTTACTAATCCCTGGATGCGTTACATGCTGATGGCATAATCTTGATTCCGTACTTGGTTGCAAGTTCGTTAAATCTTTGCTCTAATTGAAACTTATAAAAATGAGGAATATTCCAGAAGAACACTTGGAACATTGATTAAGATTAGGTGTTTAGCGAGGTTCAGTCTATTTTCCTAAGCTAATAATGGGTAAACGTCCCAAGGTTTACTACAACATCATAATAAGTGTGTTTTATTGGACCAAACTGAATGATTTGGTTGATTTTAGTATCCATACCGCCTCTTTATGCCTAATCGAGTGTGTAAACAGATTCAACTTGTGCCGAGCCTTCTAGTAAATGACATCAAATTTACTGCAAACATTGGAATTCTTCTTGGAAATTGAGTTGTTTAGTAACCATTTGTTTCACGTCATGCTGCTCATTTTCGCAATCGCATGAAAATTTTCTGGGAGCCTGTTCGGCAAATAACATCAAAAGAAGCGCGTATCTTCGATAACCTACCAGGAATGAAGTATCCACTGAAAGTTCGGTTTCTGTTCCTTTAGGTAACCTATTTTTTGTAAACAAGGAAGCTCTGAATTTGCTTTCTTTAGGGCTACAATAAAGCAGTTGACTGGTGGGCTTTGGGGGTGTTGGTTTATGAGATGGCTGCTGGCTACCCACCCTTTTACGCCGACCAACCCATTCAAATTTATGAAAAGATTGTCTCTGGAAAGGTATGTTTCCCCGTTTTTCCATCTTCCAATTAACTAATTAGGGGCAAAAATCCCTCTGGTCTATTGCTTGGTCAGATTGTTTAAAAGTTAATCACCCAATTGTTTTTGGCGTTTCTCGAGAGATTTTGGTTAAGATCAGTTTTGGTACTTTGAAGCATTGAATTTACTATGGTCTAAGTATTTCTTCATAGGATTTTTAGTAATCTAACTACAGGTTCAGACTTATTTTAAGGTGTATGATTTCTTATCTTAATGAAACGTCGGTTTTCAGTACTTTATTGCCGTTGATGTAAATTAGGGCAAAGAATCCTGTTCGCTTTGGGTATCCACATAATGCTAATAGAGTATAACGGTATTTTCTGTATTGCCATTTACACTGCTTTATTTGCTAGTACAACTTGACCAATGAGTTCTACAATTCGGCAACTTGCTCTAAGACTTGAAGTCACTACACAATGCATGCTTTTGCTTCTTCGTTATTCTTTCTTCTTACGGGTTGCACTGATTAAATGGCTTACTACATAACTGAGTAAATTTGTCTTCACCTCCAAACCATACTTAAAACCCAACATTTTTTAACGTGCTATAAGGTTTATGCGTTACATCTAAAAGAGTGAACAATTGTTTACATCGGTCAAGTGTGCTGCAGTATTATGGAGAGATTATATGGAGGTTTATCAGCAAAGTCCATTTTATCATTAATGCTCCATTGTTTCGAAGTTGTCTTAAGAACGTATCCACTCAAGTCTGCTTTGAATTCCTGTACTGGTCTGTAAAAGGCCACCGCCTTTAACCTTAACACAACTCAATATAACTTATGTTCAGTCAAGAACGTGCTCCGCATTGTTGATGGGATGCCTGCTGACCAGTATACCTGTATGTTTGCAGCTTTAGGGATCTCCTGTTATGCTTGCTTGTATAGCTATTGGTCAGGCGTTTACCCGAGTGATTAATTGTTGAAAACATTGAAGCGTTTTATCCATTCGCTCCTGCTGAAAAAAGGCGCATTTGTTACCCAGACGTCGCACAGCTATTCTGCACCGTATGCCACGATAACGTCATTTCAACTGTAGTCTCCTGTTGGCACAGTTACTGTGTTCATGCAAAAATTAATGCCAGTACTGTCGCCATACGGTCCAACGCTTCATACACTTTGGCTGTACGAAGCAGGTATCTTAATTAAAATATGAGAATTTTGTGCAAGGAAGCAACTCATTAGCGGCTGTGGCTGTGGAAGATTAACACATAATTACAAGCTTAACTGTTTTGGCACGATAGTCGATGATGTAAACATTGTCTCTACACTCATTTACCCTCATGTTATTGTCTAAGTTTGTCTGCTAACCAATACTATTCTTGTGCTGTAAGTTTCCACCTCGATTGTTTTCTTTACCCATCTTAGGCACCCTTCGATCTGCCAAAACAAAAGTTCCATTTGAGTGCTTTTCGGCTAATTTGGCTGATTTTTAGCAACATTTCGACCAAAAACGAAACTAATATAGACTGTCTTTTTTCGATGCTCCATTCTGCTTTTTACGTTTGGTTAAGCGTTGTATTAAGGAAATTCATGTTTTTGAAATCTAGATTTTTGTACTTCGACCAAATTCGATGAACTCTTGCTTCTAACAGATCTTTCTGAAAGTCCGTTTTACTTTTTGCATTTTAAAATATAATTTCATAGTTTTCCATTAAATTGAAAAGGGATGGTCTCACACCAGCGTTTCACTCTCCAGGTTCGATTCCCGTCACACTTCAGCTCGGACCTGAAGGATCTACTTCGCAATTTGCTTCAAGTGGACTTGACAAAGCGCTATGGCAACCTGAAGAATGGTGTCAATGACATCAAAAACCACAAATGGTTTGCTTCCACAGATTGGTTTGTTATCTACAAGTGTGAGGTGAGCATCAGTTTTGTCCCCCTTTGATTTCATCGAATTCGCTGCTTATCTCGCATTTGCATCAGCTTTCGAATCAATTGCAGTGGATATGGTTGGATGGATATGCTCTTTTTGATTGCACCTGGTAATCGTCGTTATTTTTCATAGTTGGTCTTAACTATATTAGTGGTCGTTTTTTGCAAAAAAGTGCCTTTATGCTGTCTAATATTTAAATTTCACTCGGACCCTCTGGAAACACTAGAACTTGCACGTTTGCTTTTCTATATGCTTTTGTGAGTTTTGCTCAACAGAAACTCTCTCTCAATTTCAGTCCAATCTTGCATTAGGCACTAAAGTCCTCTGGCCATTTCTTTGCACATGACCCCCTTTATCAAAGGAGTCTTTGTTTAATATGAGCGCATGCACGGAACTCTTACACGAGTTTACTTGCTTTAATTAACACCACTATTACTTTTTAGTTGTTACGGGAGTTCATTTAACGATTTGTTGCGTCTCTTAGAGTAGGGCTTTTATGTAACTTTATTGCTCTATTCATCGCCGATATCTAAGGTTTATCAAATCGAATTCGGCTTCAATAACTTAGAAATATAGTGTTTTCAGAACCAATGATTTCATATTTGCCAACTATTTTACCCTTTTTCTCTCATTTGATATCAGCTGATGTATCAAATCAAATGTATCAATATCCTCCTTCTCATCACTTCACTTTTAATTTCTCCACATTTTTAAATTGCCCTTAAAATGCAACCTGTTCTGTTTATGCATTGGTTGTTTTGCGCTAATCCGATTTTCCTCTGGGTGTTTGCTTTTAATAATCTATGATATATTATCTTGCAACATTTTGCAACTCTGATGCCTGACGCTATTCAGTCCTTCGGGAGTTTTTTAAAATCTCATCTGTGCTAGAATTTTATGCTCAATGGAAAGGTGGTAGGTTTCGTATCTGTCCCATTAAAATCCTCGCTAACACCTCCAATATACAGATTGGACTCCTTTTAATGCCATCTTTTGAGGGTGTTCGAGTTGTCAGTGTTTCTCGTTCGAGTCGCACCCTCTTAGAGGCGCGGTTTTTGCACTAAAAGAGCAATTTAAAATGCAACAATTATTGCAGTTAGGTGCCACATAGCATCTACCTCAAAACTCCCCTTATTCGCATTTTAGTAGATCCTGGATATTACCAACGTCTTCATTCGTTTTTGACTCTAATGAGTATAAGAAATTGCGAAGTTAAAACAACTCTCTTTTCACTAATCGATATTGGCATAATAATTCATACTTATATGTATTTAGTATTTGTTTTTGAAAATAGTCCCTGAGTGGTCTTAAAACTTTTCCTTAACACCTCTTCCTCTTTTCGAGATTAGAATATGAGTGAACACTTTATTGGCCAGGTTTATGAGAAGCTGCCATAGCATGGAATTCGGCTATCGTGCTTGCTTCATTTGAAGGATGCCCCGTAATCATTGCAGGAAAAATGCTCGGATAATCTGTATACTTACATAAGGATCATTTATCCTTGATCTTCTTCTTATTCATCTTTTAAAGCTCATCTGATCTTATCACGAATAAAATTAGCTTTTCGACGCAAAGACGGATTAAAGGGAATCGGATGTAGATTCTAGCAGACTGAATCTATTGCTAAAATAAGTGTTTCAATTGTTTCATTTTAAATATTGTTTTTGGCTTCTCGGTTTCCATGATCCATTGAGGGATTCATGCCTTCATATCCTCCCCTTCTTTCGTTAAAAAATTGAACATCTGAAGGAAGGGTATAGCTGCTAGTTGCATAAGTCTCTGTTGCCTTCATATGTAGCACTTTGATTTTCTCACAAAGCCCTACAGCAATTGCGATGCTGGTTAGCCATCTCTCTGGGTTACTTCCCCACCTTTTAGCATAGATAAGTAGAGGATAGAGTGTCGTCTAGCACTTTAAGCAATTATTTGCCATGGAGCTAATTTGACCCACAGATTTAAAGTATACTTGGCCTTAGACATAACATACCGTGCCCCCATGGGGGGTCTGAATAAAGTTTCTGAACGTATAAATGACTGAGACGTCAGAGGCATAGTGAGATATGTGGTAAATACGTGTCTTTTTCTCCAAAGGCTGAGGCGCCATTTGTGCCCAAGTGCAAAGGTCCCGGTGACGCCGACAACTTTGACGAATACGAAGAGGAACCACTGCGTATATCAGCAACGGAGAAGTGCGCCAAGGACTTTGCCGACTTTTAATGCGCAAGTCTGCGCGTTTTAGCACGCTTATATGGACCTCTCTCGGCCTTTCTCCTTCCTTGATCGTTATTCCTCACCCACTTCCACCATCCAAAAATTCAATGGGTGCTTCTTCACGTGTTTACTATAGGTGTGAATGTCTACAGCTACTATGCCTGATGCGTTTCGTGCATTTACATGCTCCTTTGCAACGCCTACTTAGATAAAAACACAACAACTAGGCGAACAAAAAAGCGGACATACTGTTTACAATGGTATGTCGCATATGCGCGCAGGATTATAATCTCGCTCCCTCATCCGTTAAAGTCGTAGATACCAGCATGCCATCCTTCACTATCATACTCTTTCTCGGTGTTTAGGTTCGTATGTTGTGCTTGGAGACAAAGATTCCATTGCTAATCCTTTCACGCTTCGCTATGATAGTTGTTGTATATACTTCTCACTTACTAACTCGATCTCATCGATTGTCTTCGGGTACTACTACTGGTAGTTTTTCCCCCTCCTCAATTTTGCTTACACTATCTTCTCAATATGGTATTTAACTTCTTACTTTCATGCCCTTTTTTCCTTCTCCTCTTTCCCATGTATTCACATCATAATTGAAGATGGGGTAGCTGTTTGAATCATAAGTTATTATCAGTTTCGCCTTTATATGTTGAATGTATTTGACATGGATGTCAACAATTGGGTGCCCTGCTTCCTAAATAGTCCCGTTCACAAATGTCATTCGGCAGTATTTTTATGGTCATGCTACCAAAATAAAGAAATGTAAATGGTTATACTGCAAATTGTTCACTGCTCATAGCTCAAATGACTTCTGTTTTCAGCAGTCGATTCAAGACCCTAACAACAATCGCTTTAAAGGCTCCCAAAAATGTAGTGTGTAATGAGCAGTTATATTATCGATGCTCGCAACATGTTATTTTTGCATAACTCGCGCTTTCTACGATTTGGCAAGCAAACAGTGAAAATGCTTAATAACTTTGTGTTGGAAATGTTTGCTATCTAAATGGAATTTATGAAGGACAGCATAATGTAGTTTTAAAATATAATAAATATAATGCAGCGTTACCAATTTTAATATTCGGCTGACTGTTAAAAACTTCACTGTTATGAAGTACGGATTCGTACGTTGTTTTACGTTGGCATTCGAAACGGCAATAGTTTTTTAGAAATGCTTCCACTAATAAATTTACCTTGGAACAAAAAGACATTTTGATGCAAGGCTTTCAATCTCTAGTTGAATCCAGCAAAGGACTTGAATAACCACTAGAAATGCTTAACAGGCTTCCAGCTATATCGAAGCGTATTTGCCTATTTATCAAATCAGTAACTACCGATCATTAGCATGTTATTCATCAACTTCTCAGAGTGGGGACCATTTTCGGTTTGTTTCTACTTAATGGACAACAGATCCCTATTTAAATGCCCTACAAAGCATCGTAACGATCATTTGACTGGCAAATAAGGTTAAAGTAATGGGCTAGGTATAGGAGAATCATCATATCCCGAAAAGGAACGGTGGAACATACATCGTTCTATCTTCCTCGATCGACTTCTTTTAATTTCTTTTTGATGAATGCATGGGGAATTTTGGATACCAAAGTTTTATAATGTATAAAATGGGAATGCTGAAATTGGGTCAATTTTTGAATTTTTATGGTGGTGAACACTGGTAAGGGCGTACAACGCCTTATTTTCTTAATAGAATCCAGCCAATTTACAAATATCATCAACCCTATGATTTACAGCGTTAGGTAACAAATATGCCTATTATTGCCTCCAACCACGAACGGAAGTTCATTAAAAATGTTCCCGTTTTTGTTTATCCCACCACAAATAATAGCTCTAGAAGTTTCTACTCGATGACTGTTGAAATGAAGTCGGCTCAAAAACTGCTCCGTCTTTCCTTCGCTTCGCAAAAAAACCTAGTATTCTTTGACCGCCTATCTTCATTAACAATAGTTTTAAAACCGTAGTTTACTAGTGTCTTCTGATCATTTCCTAATTCAAGGTTGCTTAAAACTTTTATTATCTCGGAAACAAGCACGCATTTTCTACAACCAGGGCAAATATTCTACTCATTGACAGGGTTTTTATTATGCAAATAGAAAGGTGTATTTTGAGCTAAAATATGCCTTAGGAGTAGTTAATACGCGATCACTTTGAACACTAAAATCCAACTTTTCGTGTTTCCGAACCCAGTCCAGACTTCTGATGAATTCCACCAAGGACAGAGGTATAAATGAGCTCTTTTGTGCATGCCTCATCTTCGGTAACATGATAAAATGGTTCAATACACATCTTAGATAGCAGATGTTTGTAAACCTCATCTTCGTCGCACCTTGTGGCTAACGGTGATTGGTTGAGTACGGAGTTGTGCGTTGCGGACGAAGTAGTTTCTAGGTGAGATGACTTTCATCATTCGGAATGCCTCTTTGCTCCACAGATGGTGGAACTTGCGGTGTATTCCAGGTGGGGGATCCGTCCGTATAGTTGCACTAAGTCTCCTTCTCGGTAGACGTTATTCCCCACTGTGTTTCTCACCATAGTTCTTCTGCCTGGTATATGGCAGCGGTGTTTGCGTGCGATGTTGAAAAATTTTCTTATGCCTTTTTTCAGGTGCGGTACGTACTCTGGGGCATTGTTGGTAGCTGCTTCCATATTTGGTAGGAAGATATCAGAAGGCACTTCCATTTCACAAATTGTAAGCATCTTGAACGGTAAAACGCCCGTTGATGTATGGATTGTAGCTCTGTACGCGAGGAAGACACGTCCTAGACTTAAATCCTAGTCATCCGGTTGTATATCTTTAGTGAAGGCCTTCAGTAGTCGAATCAAGGTACGACTCGTTCTTCTCACCTGTCCATTGACTTGTAGATGCTAAGGTGCCGTGCATTTATTTGAAATCTGGAAGGTCTTGCATAGTTCAGTAAAGAGTCAGCTTTTGAAATTAAGGCCTTGATTGTTATGAACCGATTCGGAGAGTCCATGCTGACAAATCCACAGATTGAAGAAAAATAAAGCAACCGTTTCAGTGTCTTGTGTCTTCATGGGTTTTGCCCCAGCTATTTTCGTAACGCGGTCCATCATAACCAGAATACATCGGTTTTTCCCTTGGGAACCCTGTGGGCATGGGCTGGAGTGGTGGAATCACTGTTGGGTGAGGCCTTTTAAAAATACTTCAAGCGACGTGGGTTAGGAAGAAATCACTTGTGTCCAGGGTGAGCGAAGGCCACTAGTATCTTTTGCTCGAGCCATCAAGTATCTCCTTTTCACTCACGTGGCCGGGTCGCTCGTGCAATTCTTGAGGAATTGTTTATGCTAGTGAGCCAGGGACCACTAGACGCTTAGAAGATTCGACGTCTTCTTGACACCATAAAACCTTATCCTCCAGAGAGAGTTTCTACCATTCTTGCCAGGTCCATCTGGCCGTCTTGCTCCACGAATTCATCTCTTTGGCTGTGGGTTTATAGGAAGATCTAGGGAAGCTCTCGTATACCAGAGCCGTGTCGGAATCGGTACTCTACGTATTCCTCCAGTGCCGTTTAGTAGGTTTGCTCAAGAACATGATATGGACTACAACATTGCCTGCTTCTGCCAGGAATAAGCTGCAAGACAAAGCGTCTGCATTACCATGCGTATTTCCTTTCCCAAACTGTACTGTAAAATCCTGCTGCTTCAGGTCTTCGTACCGGCAGCCTGGCTTGTTTATTGTTTTAACCAGGTGGGCGCCTAATGATCCGTTCTCACTATGAACTTCCTCGCCGTCAAGTGGTATGAATTGCCTAACCATTGTGAAGATAATGAACAGCTCAAGCTGCGTTGCACTTCCCACTTTGTTGCTGTGTCTGGTACGCGCGTAAGCGACGACGTGTTCCTTTACTTCTTTGTCCTTTGTGAGAGTACACCACCCAAGGCTCCATCACTAGCCTCGGAACCCAGTACAAGCGGTGGGCGTTTTGCTTCAAGATTGGGTGATCCTAAAATCAGTGCGGAGCAAAGCGTTTGCTTCGGTGCTTAAAACGCTTCATCTTGCTCTTGTGCCCACTTAAAATTCTTTTTCGCCTGCTTTTCCGTTTATTTATACTGTGGACTTGCGATCTCAGCAAAACCTATAGTAGCTTGTCTAACCTAGGAAACTACGGAGTCCCGTCTGATTTTTGGTGTAGCGCATATCCTTACTTACTTTGTACAACCATCAGTAACTGTTATCCCATCGGACAGGACAATATTTCCCAAGTAGTTGACAGAGAGCTGCAGAAAACAGCATTTTTTGGGTTCTGGGTCAATTCTGCGTCTCACAGACGGTCCGACACTAGTCTCAGTTTGGTGTTATCCTCCTAAATATCTCTACCACAAACGGGAATGCCATCGAGGTAGATTTTACAGTGCTTTGGGAATAAACCAATTAATGCTGTTTGCATCAGGTGTTGGAAGGCGGCCGCTGCGTTGCGGTGTCCGGAGAGCATTGTTTGGCGATATGAAAGCTGCATTCTTGCTATTCTTTTTCTGCCACTTCCACTTGTCAGTATCCCAATTTAAATCTAGGATGAAGAACAACTTTAATCCGTGTAGAGAGTCAAACAAATCCTTTATGTGGGGTAATGGGATGGCGCCCTCCTTCGTTATTGCTTTCAATTTCCTATAGTCGACGCACAGCAGTCGAGTTCACTCGTTCACATTTACCCATGGTGCCTTAAATGCTTTTATGACCTCATCCAGATTCATCACTTCTAGCAGAGGAGGTGGTATATGTCCGGGTGGTTGCCAGATGACCCTAGCTTCGCTGTTATCTATCGTATGCTTCACGATATTTGTTTGTCCCAGCTTAACCCCTTACTAGGAGAATATATCCGCACACTTAGTCTGCAGCTCGTGAAGTTCCTCTCTTTTGTCATCGACGACAGGAGTTACCTGCGTGAAGAGGTCATCTAGGCTGTTCGTGGGTATGGCTGTGGCCTCGAAGAGAACGTTGTAATTGTCATTAGCGTCTTTCT